AGGGTGCCAACACTGGCGCTCAACGTCAGGGCCAGACCGGCGCCGCTGCTCAGGCACAGCAGGGTGCCAACACTGGTGCTCAGCGACAGGGCCAGGCTGGGGCCGGTGCTCAGGGCAACGGCAACTAAGCATCTCTCGAGAGATATTGAGGCGGGCGTGGATATGTTGGCAATGCGAAGTAGGATGGAAGATGGATCTCCTTGTGTAAAATTTAGTGAATAAAGATAGTGAGAAGGGGCATTGAAGGGAGAGTGTGGTAGTTGTTTTATAGCCAAAGTTCATCTTAAATAACAACCATGTTCCGGAATCCGTTATTTACCGTGATGTTGAGAGTTGAGGTGGGGTCCAGGAGTCGAGAGAGAGCGATGCCTTTGCTCCTTCAACAACCCAACATCCTGTTCTTCTCCTTCGATTCGTTACGAGATGACGGCTATACCAATACACTGCGCATTCCTCTAGCTGGAAACGATGTGTGAGTCCATAGTTTCGAGAGCGTGCAGGTCCAGAACCAATCACGTGATGAATAGATGCCCCAGACGGTCCCAATAAACATACCAAGCTTTCACGATCATCGCAAGGAAGCCTGACAAGCCTGAAAACTCAGGTTTCGAAACTGAATCCAAGGCAGTGGTTTGGCTCAACGGGATGCACGGCCGGATCAGCACATTGCCGATGTTTCATCTGCTGCAGGCCTGCGACGCGACATTCCAAATGCCCTCGCAGTTGGAAACATTAGTGTCGTTCAAACTACTGCAAAAGGGTCTGAGCTGGCAGCGACTCAGACAGGAGGGGGGTGCGCTGCCGAGGCGGTTAACGTGAGGAAGGCGTGTTGGTAGTGCGACGCTCCAGACGCTGCATAGTCGCTTTGTGGCTGTTTCCTTGCAAACATATCCTCTCTGCGACGCGAAAGCTGTTCCTCGCATGAAGTCTCGTGCAACAGCCTTGTCTTCGTACCGCAGTGGTGATATCTCAAGCTGACTAACATGCACGTCGTGGGACACACGAACCGCGTCGAACACGTCGTCATGCGCCAAGGCAAGCCGGTATCCTCACATCAGGCTGGCCTTGCCTGTTCTCGCCGGTCGCAGGCATCCACTCGCTTACCACTCTCTTGTCTCTTTCTATGCCTTAGTTTGGCTGTCGTGAGGCGCTGGACATGGTTCAGCCCGCCAAGCGCAAAACGGCTGACGGCACCGCGGGCCCTGCTGGCGACCTGATCGAACCACGTCCGAGGATATCTCCGTGCCACCCGACGTGAGCTGGCCTGGAGGACTCATGGCGGAGGCTGAAAAGGCGGGACCCGCGCCCGTGGACTTGGAGAGAGAGTTGACGTGCTCGGTGAGTGAAGTTCTGGTGGTGCGGTGCGGGGGAGGGGCGCGTTATGGCGGTCAGGATGAGTGTCGCAAAGACGTGATTTTGAGCGCGGAAAGACGTCCAAGAGTCGCGCAGAGCTACCGTTTACTCTCGTTCAAGCTCAACGCTCCCTTTTTCTGCTTGTTTGTTATCAAGCTATTCGTGCACCCACTGACGCGCTCTGCACGCAGATATGCACCGACCTCCTCTACCAGCCGCTTACGCTGCTTGACTGCCTCCACACCTTCTGCGGCGCGTGTTTGAAGGAGTGGTTCGCCTTCCAAGCCTCGACCGCCACCTCCATCCACCCGTACACCTGCCCGTCATGCCGGGCTTCCGTCCGCGCGACGAAGCCAAATGCCACCGTGACAACGCTGCTAGACATGTTCATACAAGCACACCCGCATAGAGGAAAGAGCGAGCAAGAGAAGCAGGCTGATAGAGACAAGTTCAAGTATGGGGATGTGGTCATGCCAAAATTGCGGAGGAGGGCCGTGCAAGACGAGGACGAGGAGCGCAGAGTGCTCGAAGAGGTGCAGCAGTTGAGCCTGAGAGAGGTGGGCATCGATTCAACGACCAACGTAGCTACTGTGGACCATCTAGAGCCGCCGCGGGAGAGGAGGAGGAGAGAGCGGAGAGAGCACAGCGGAGACAGACGTGAAAGGAGCGCGGACACGAGGGGTGCAGATAGACGATCTGGGAGTCGGAATCAGGCCGGTGTGTCGTCTGCGACCCGCGAGGTGGTCCCTCCAAGAGTTATCGAACATCAGTCGAGCTTGAGGAGCTTGCTTAGTGCAAGTGAGCTGGATTCGCAAGAGATGGAAGAAGAGATCATGCGCCAGATCATGGAGGAAGGCTTGTTGGATGGTATCGATCTCAACAACATCGATGTTGCTCAAGAGGATGAGATCAGCGAGAGGATAGCTCAGGCATACCGGAGACGGCAGGAGCAGAAGAGAAGGGAACGACGGGAGCGAAGGGAACGGCTTGCAAGAGAAGGCCAGATCAGCGCATCGGGCACCTCCACGCCTGAGATACGAAGTCCGCCTGCCCGGGAGGATGACCCACAGCGGAGGAGAACCCACGCAAGGTCTTCGAGTAGCACACCAATTCCTCGAGATAGAGATAACAGGCCCCCGGTATCCAGACCAGGGCTCTTGGATGTTGCAAACCAAGGATCGCGTACACGGCACACTCGGTCTTCTAGTCAGGGCAGCTCGAGATCAGCTAGGGAACACCGGCCCACGCCTTTAGCAGTCTCATCCACACGGGCACACAACAACTCGCAACCAGAATTACTTGGCCCAACCTCAGCATTGGCCAATAACTCTGATCGAAGGCGTCAATCAGATAACGAGCAGAGAAGTACCCTTGAAGGACGAGACCAGTTCCGGAGTAGCCTCCAGACCCACACTTTCTCAAATCCTGACTCCCCGCGAAGGGCCGCCTTCAATTTCATCACAAATTCAGAGAATCCGACCACTGGTTCGCCAGTTGTGGCATCGCCCGTGACGAGCCCTATCTCTTCAGTTCCACCACCCGCAACTGCGCCAGCCGTTTCTGCTTCTCGCCGAACTACAGATCCCACCGGCATCAGACAGCCCCGCGCCCCGCATACTACCACACCACCCACTGCAACTCCACCTACGTTCCCTCGCTCCACGACTGACCCGGCTATTGGCCAGTCGCATTCACCGGCTGCATCGGCGACCGCACCAGCAGCACCACCAACCATGTACCCGGAGCCTCGCATTTCGTGTCGCGGTTGTGGAAGGGATCACATTGAGTACGAGCTACACTACAACTGCTCACAGTGTGATGAAGGGGGATACAATCTGTGCCAGCCTTGCTATCGTCGCGGAAAAGGTTGCAACCATTGGTTTGGATTTGGGTGGGCGGCATGGCCAGCCTACCAAGCAAAGGCACCACCTGGTGGCTATCCTGCGAATCACGACCTTCCTCACATCATGCGAGGGCATCGGTTTCGAAAACCGCAAGCGCGACTCACTGAAACAGCAGCAGCAGCAACACCACATGTTTTGCAGAGCGAGGATGATCCTTCACATAGACTCGAAAGCGGCGTCTTTTGCGACAGATGTGCGCAGTGGGCGGATGGGTGTTATTGGAAATGCGACTACTGCAACGAAGGCGAATGGGGATACTGCAATGACTGCGTGAACCAGGGCAGGCATTGCACACATGCACTTCTTCCCATCTCGCATGTAGGAAGGGAGCGCGCATCTTTATCGTCCACTCCTGCAGCCACGAATACTGAACGACCATCAACGCCTCGATCAAACCACCTCGCGCCCCCTTCCGCTCTCGATTCTTCCCCACCAACATCGCCACCCCTCACACCCAAAGCCGCATCCCTCATCAGCGGCCCCGGCCACGTCACCCTCGCCAAATCCACCTACCGCCCTCTCACATTCACAACACTCTGCAACATCTGCACATATCCGATACCCCCGTCGCACACACGGTACCACTGTCTGCAATGCAACAGCGGAGACTACGACATCTGCTCCGGTTGCTACCAAAAGCTCGTCCTCTCGGGTCGCATCAGCAAAGAGGACGGCATGCACGGCTGGCGCCGCTGCCTACGTCGTCACCGCATGATCGTTGTGGGCTTCGAAGACCGCGACGGCGGCCAGCGCCGCGTTGTCGTCCGTGATCTCGTTGGCGGCTTCTCTCTCCGCGATGAGACGGAATCTGTCTCTCCACCGTCGCCCTCCCAGCCAGCCCACGCGGAGAAGTGGACGTGGCGCGACACTGACGGCTCCCGGCAGCAGTTCCGGTCGCCAAATATGCCAAGGTCGGCGCTGTCAACGCAGCGCTTCCCGCCGGATGGTGGTGTCGGGTTGAGGATTCAGGCTCGCTGGAGCTACTTTCCTGCTGAGGGGGTGACGGATGAGCTGGCGTTTCCGAAGTTCGCGGAAATTACGGAGGCGGAGGATATCAATGGGGACTGGTGCTGGGGTGTGTATGCGGGGACGAAAGGGTTGTTTCCGGGCGGGTACGGGAGGGTTGTTGGGGGAAGTGGGGAGAGGGAGGGTAGGATTTAAGGATGAGTAGGATGTAATTTGGTAAAGCCGTTTAGGGAAAGGTTTCAGGTAGTGAGTTAGCCTAATGAAATAATGAGACATGCGAATTAATACCTTGACAGCGCGAATTGAGGACTTCAAATGAGGATGTGCAAGGTTCACCAATGGACTTGTGGTGTCGACTCCTCTCATAACGCATAGGCTTTTGAGAATGCTTCACCCCCTTCTATGATGAAATAAAGTAGGCTGTCCATTTATACAGTTGCACAGAATATAATAGAGCTCTTAGTAGAGCTGAACTCTTTTGCGTACGTGATGAGGACAACTAGTGTAGTAACCCAGCCACGTAGGAAAAGTAGAAAAGTCTGCCATTGTCCTGATTGCTGTTAAGCAAGACCTCGTTAACTGCTTCAAATGTTGGTAGAGTCTACCTGTTTAGTAGTAAGAAGACGTAAAAACTAGGGAAAGCTATGCATGCGGCCTGGACTGGTCGAGGTGTCACGTCCACTCCGTATGCTTGCATTGTTACGCATCCCGAAATTTCCGTCATCACGCAGAAAGAGATGTGTGGAAGATGGGGAACATCGGAATCGTTGCAAAAAAATTCGACACCTGAGAGATTCGAACTCTCGCTCCCGAAGGAACGGGCTTAGCAGGCCCGCGCGTTAACCACTCCGCCAAAGTGCCGCGGAATCGCCGATCAATTACTTGATCCGATGATTGATGTAATTACAACAAAAACTATCGTAAATATAGTAGCTATTAAAGATGAAGGATCTGGACTGAGCAGCGCGCGATAATTCTAGCCTCCACATTGTTCGCTGTGACTTGCGTTAGTGCGTAAGTAGAGTCTGACACGTTGGTCCCCCGATTCACGATAGCGTCGGGGGGCCGGAGAAACCGCGACGCCGCAAAGTTCTTGGCAACCCCAGACCTAAGTTCACGATAGTTCAAGCGCGTCCCAAGCTACAGAGCCAACAAACGCCATACACCTCCCACCCTCACATTGCGGACTCAGCGTTACGCGGACCAACACAGAATTCTACTCCCACAGCTGCTACGAAAGGTTTAAGATGCCCCAAGCCGGTGCGTATTCAGGTGCTTTGCGGCGCGCCGTTCCATTCGCGCACAGCTACACGCCGAGGTCCTTTCCCTCTGCGAGCTTCACTGACGTTGCCTAGCTGCGCGGGCGCTCTCCCAGGCAGACCTCCCGCCGTCGGTGGAGAAGGCCTACTACAAGAAGTGCATTGATCTTCGACGGCGCATAACCGACATCGAGGAGAGCAACGATGGCACCCGCGTGCGCATCCGGCGTCTGCACCGCGGCATCCAGAAGATGCGCCTCGAGCGCGCATTCCTCCTCGAGCAGCTCCAGAAGCACATGGAATTCAACATGGATGACTCGGACCGGAGTAGCAGTCCGCCGCCGACGCCCACCGACAAGCCGCTGAGGAGCAAGCGCAGCCATCGCAAAGGCACACCGCCCGCAGGCTCGCAGACGGGTGGCGCTGCTTCCGCGCAACAGGAGAGCCCCAGCAATTCCCACCACCAGCCGCTTCTCCACGCGATGAACCCCATGTCCTCGGCGCAGAGCACGCCCGACCCAAGTCGCTCCAACAACCCCTTCTTCACCAACGTCGGCGCGACCGCTACCTCCCCACACGCCGTCAATGGGAACGCGCAAGCAATCCTTCCACCCCTGCACTCGCTGCCCCCGCTGCAGCCCCATCGTGCTCCGGAGCCCACGCGCGGCGCCTACTTCGACCCCGTGAACGACGAGGCGCGACCGCCGCCTGGAGAGACCGATCCGGAGTATGCTGGCCGACGACGCACGCTTTCCGGTACGAATCCGCCTGTGTCAGAACCACGCGAGGTGCAGAACGGCGATACCGAGATGACGGACGCCGCAGGCTCTGGCTTCACGTCCGTGAACAGGGGTTAGAGGTCCCATCTCGGGCGGGTAATGTTTGATCCTACTCGAGGCTGAGCTGGTGTGCACGCGCCGGAGATGGTTAACCACTGCTTCTTCGGGAACCTGTATTGCCTGGTCCGGCTTTGTACTTCCACACGTGGTCTTTGGTGATGCTGAAAGGTAATGGCGTTAGGCAAGGCTTCTTTCTTGAGCTTGAGTGCTTTGTTTGGGTCGAGCGAGCGCGCTCATCTGGTTACATGGAGTATTGATTGTATGAGTATAGAACGGGCCCCGTTCACATTTTTAGTTCTCTACGAGCCGATTCCAGAGCGATTGGCGGCTAAGGATAGTTCAGTCTCAATGATATCGCATGCGATACAACATCAACACGACGAAGCGCCCTGCAAAACTATCATGTGTCACTTGCGTACATCGAAGTCAAAACCTGTTGGTGGTGTTTCCACTGACATCACAGACCGTGAAGTGTCTAATCTTAAAATTTAGCTGCTCGTAACACCGATAAAACAGATGTTCGAATCTTCGAAGTAGAGTGTTCCCTACTATAAACTATACACATCATCCTCGGGCTTTCCAAACGGATCCCCTATCCCCTCACTTGAGGGAAGCCATGCATACTCGAGAACACATTGCAAGTTGCAAAGTAGTAGGAGTGCGTGGCTGGTGCATCGGTCCAGTCCTGCTCTGATACCTCATCGCCGAGAATCTTTCTGCATCACACCTGGCCGGGAAGGGTTTCCATGAGCTGGAGCTCGTGCAGCTGGGGAAGAGGTCGAAATCGGTAGATGCGGAACTTGAAAAGAAAAATATTCAGGCAATTCCAGTCGGAACCTGGCAACAAAGCTTCGAGGTGGCTTCTCACCCCCACACCAGGCTTTTCAAAAGAGACGGCTCGTTTCTTCAGGGTGGTTGCAAAGTTCGTCTCCATAGTGGTGTCGCCTCAAGATTCCTGCATTATCTCTACCAGGCTCGAAGATCATGTGATCCTTTGTCGCGCAGATAAGGTGCTAAGTTGGGTCGATGAGTTGCTTGCCAATGAGTGCGTCGGATTTCCCAAGCCTCTCTAGTAGTGGGTTTGAGGGCTACAACGATCCTAGAGATCGCGGGGTATTGAAAGACTGACTGACCTGTGTGAAGGTAGTTGAGTGCCAACTCTGCTTGTTTGACACTTGCCTAGATATGATCATGATTGCTGCCTGTGTACGTCCAACTCAATGATAGCGCCGCTGAGGTGCCTCGCCGTAGCCTCGACAGTGTCTTGGAAGTCGAGTCATGCCAGAACACATTGTCCCTCATCAATACCGACACCGCGACCGTAACTAAATTCATACAAGCATAAACTACGCCCTGCCAGGATAAATCAGCTCAGGTTATATTAGAATACACTTTGGATGCCTCGGAGTCCAAGTATGTTGTACAGGCTGCGCGTATTCAGTTTTTCGTCCTGGGTTCGTCGATGCAGCCCGATATACGCACAGTCACTCACGTCCACACACACACAACACTATTCCTGAAGTACACCCAGGCCTTTTGATTTCTTCCATCTTACGAAGCAATACACACTAGCTATATCAAACTCACCCCAGCGCCGTTAAGAACGCTCATCCTTGCACAAATACATTGTAATCGAAGTTCCATCCCTAGTCCCAACCCATTCGATCAACGCCACAGAAATGTACACCAAGAGTGTAGAATGCAAAATGCACTTAAAAAGCAAATTCTCATGGTTATCGTCTCGAACTCGCCATGTGGCCGTAGCGGTCTCGTTCGCGCGTCGTGTCGTATGCCTGCAGTACGCGTGCTTGCGATTCATCAGTTTGGGAAAAGGCGTAGCCACGCTGCTTGCGCATGCGCTGCACTTGTCGCACTTTGCGGATGGCTTTTTGGAATTGTTCCATGCTATCATGAGTCAGCACATAACCCAGAAGGGGTGGGAGATGGTGGTACATACCGCGGTCTATAGTCTTGAATATTGTACTTCTGAATCTCTTGTACATGGTGGTAGCTCTGAGGGAAGTACATTCTCTTTGCGTACTTCCAGGCGAAATCTCGAATCAGACAGAGCGGAGGCAGCACGCAGAGCATTACCCAGAAGCGAGGGTCTGGGAATAAGCGCTGGATGACGCCAATATATTCGGGCGACACGTTGATCATAGGGGCGACAGTCGCGTAGGCGGGCATGAGGATGAACCAGAGGGCCATCGAGCCCGGAATAGCAACGAAAGCATACTTGGTCCAGATATTAGTGATGAGTGCCGCTTTCAACAGTACAGTCGCTAGTGCAGCTGTGTAGAGTGCAGTACCCCACACCCAGTGGCCTGCATTCAAACCATCTGGCTGAGGCCAGTCCCATAGCACGATGGCCTGCGAGACAAAGTATAGGACCAAGGAATGGTAGAAGCCGTTTGCGACCCATGACCAAAAAGAGTGCATCTTGAAGAACACCCCGCTCTGACTGAGTCGGTATAGTTGTGGGTAGCGATCCAGCAGACGTGCACTGACAAATTGATCAAAAATACCCATGACGAAGGGAGGTGCAGCCGTGAAGAACACGTTGTAAAATGTCAGTGTCCACGACTCGTAGATAATTTGTCCGGAGAAGGCATTCTGGAAAGAGTACCAGAATTGGGTCATGAATAGCGCGATATTCTTGTAGAAGGAGTAGAGAATGACCTTGCTGACACGCTGGTAGCTCCAAGCTCCATGGACTAGAAGGAGCTTGCGGAGGTACCGGAATTGGCCAATAGAAATATCGGCACTTCGCGCGGCCTGGAGACCTTCGACACCGCTGATACCGACTCCAATGTGAGCTGCCTGGATCATGGACACGTCGTTGGCCCCATCCCCAATGGCGAGCAAGATGGCCTTTAGATGTCGCTTGACGAGTTTGACAACCAAGGCCTTCTGAAGCGGGGATACACGACAGCAAATGACGGCTTTGCATTTGACAGCCAAATCCAAAAACGTTTTCTCCAGATCTTTTTCCAAAGCGTAGGTTAGCGACTTGCCGTCGATGACAAGAGCGAGAACGTCCATTTCAGCACCACCTTGGTTTTGGCTATTGATAGCGTTCAACTTCTTGTGGATATTGTCCTTTGTGGCTTCCTTGTTCTCCTCATTGATTATCAGCAAACTCATATCCTCACTGATCAGCTTGCAACTCATTCCGATGTTGATAGCAGTTTCTTGTCGATCGCCCGTCAGGACCCAAATCTTGATACCCGCAGTTTGCAGAGTCGCAATGGTATCCGGAACGCCATCCTGAAGTTTGTCTTCGATGGCAGTTGCTCCAAGAAGGGTCAGATCGTGCTCAATGAGTTCGGCCGCCTTGTCTAGCTCATCCGCTCGATTGCCGCTAACAGTGGTCTGCGCTTTCGTGAAGATCTTGTACCAGTCCTGGAATTCATTCTCTGGAATCTCGCGCATCGCTAAGCAGAGCGTACGTAGTCCTTCCGCAGCGTATTCCTCAAGATGAGTCAAAGTCACCTCTACATATGGATTGTTCTTCCCTAGTCGCTCCAGAATGACAGTATCAGCGCCCTTTGTGAAGCACGCAATCTTTCCTTGCGGAGTGCGGAATATTGTCGACATTCTTTTTCGTGTGGAATTGAACTCCAAAACCGCCAAGAGCTCATACTCTCGCTCTTGTCCATCCACCAAGATAGTAACCGAGCGAGGTTTGCGTGCAATGAACGTATAGCCGAGCTGTACAGCGCCTTCGACCAAGGCGCCCTCGTCAGGTGAAGCAGCTTGATACTTGATCTCTTGCTTTTCGCCACCTCGTTCGGGAATGACCGTGTGACATGTTGACAACAACGTGAGAAAGTTATCAATGATGTCTCTGTCCCTGTGGGTTTTGCGGTTTTCCTCAAGTTTCTTGAAGTCATGAATACCAACTTCGACTCCGTCCTCGAATGTTGCCCTTCGGTCTTCAGGTATCTCATCCGAGTACTGGATCCCCGCAATAGATGACTGCTTGAATACCATCATGTTCTGTGTTAGCGTGCCGGTCTTGTCGGAAAATATATATTCAATCTGTCCCAACTCTTCCACCAAGGACGAAGTACGACAGTTGGCAGGTGTGTCCGTGGGCTCGTAGTAAATGTCGAGGTCGGAATCAATCAGGATACCAGTCCAGTATTTGACGATCTCGATTGTGACGAATAGCGAGATAGGAACCAAGTTAGAGTAAAGAACCCAGTAGGTTAGTAGGTCAAGGAAGAACTGGGAAGCGCCGTTGAAGCTATCGTATCTGAGATACTCAAGGGTGCCTCCCTTGGTCGTTCTGATCAAGACGTCACCAACGGAACTGATGATGCTGAGTCCGATGAGAATGGCGACAAGCATAAGAATTTGCTTGTTCACCATCCTCTCAACCGCTGTGGTCTTGATGGGTGTAGCTGTTGCATTCCGCATGAGCTTCGTCTCGTGCCCAGTGAAGACCACCACACCGTGGATCCAGGGTGTATTCCTAAGAGTGGCTCCACGCAACAACAACTGATCGGGTGCCAATGGCAATTCCTTCTCTCCCCCACCGGCTGCAATGGTCAAGGTCGCCTCGTATGTGTACAAACTACTGTTTGGCTGTTCCGATTTGAGTTTGCCGCCCAGACGCCCCAGCTCCGCTGTGCTGACGAGATCGGCTGTCTCTGGAATGGCTTGCTTAATCTTTAGGTTCGTCTCTCCGTCCAAATTTGCCGTTTCGATGTAGCACAGACCTTCCGGTTCCGAGGATGCGAGCAATACGAGATCGGCGGGAAAAGGAGTTTCTGACTCTACTCGCACAATGTCTCCGACTGCAACCTCGATCCATCGGGCGTCTTGGAAAGACGATCCTTTGAGCACCTGCGCCTTTGAGTTGTTGAGCGTAGAGTCGGACTGTCTTCGTCTGTAGTCCTCGACATATTCTTTTACTGCGGAGACAAGCAGGACAACTCCGAGGGGTACGATGGTGGTGTAGCGTTTCGTGGGAGAGATACCCGGAATCTGTTGGAGAATAGCAGTGAATAAGAAGAACAAGTTGGCGTATTTGGAGAATTGCTCGTATAGGAATTTCGGGAGGAACGTAACGATGTTGTACTTTGTGGTTGAGACGTGATTGTCGACGTACTTGTTGGCGGCATTTGCAGGCGGGTTATTCAGATGGATTACTCTGGGGCCGAGGGTCGACGGGTCTGGAGCGCCGCGTCCAAAACCAAACTTGAACACTCCGGAGCTGCGCTTCTTGGGCGCCTTTGCCTCGTCGTCGTAGGCGCCTCTTGATTCTTGTTGGCCCTGCTGTGCCGCGTGCTCCGTCAAGGGCAGGTCCATCTCCGAGTACTCTGGTCTCTGCCCAAACATGTTCTTGACGCGCCCTGTGAGTCCGCCGCCGAGACTGAGAATGCTGTTCCTATTTGCCTTGCCGGTGTTGGCGCGGCGCATGCCCGCGGGAGGCTCGTAGCCTCCGCCTGCTGCATAGTAGCCCTGCACGGACTGGTCCTCGTCGATGTGCACGTCTGCATCCGAGTAGCGCGCGTAGTTGTTCAGATCCGACGTCTGCGAGTACATGCCCCCGCTGTTCGAGTACGGCGTCGCACCTGCCGCGGGCGCACCAGGCCCGCCAGGCAAGCCTGGCGCAGCGGGTCTGCCACCCAGAAACTCATCGTATGATTCGGAGGGCCGTCCTGGGGTTGTGGCTTGGTCTGCGTTGTATCGGCGGAGGAGCTCTTCGTCGTTATGGGGCGGCGGCGCGCCCGGGTTGTATTGATACGGCTGGTGTTCGTCGTGGTCGTCGAAGTCGATTAGGTTCTCGTTGTGAGACGGCGGTGCACCTGGCGGCCTGCCGGCCATGGCGGCACAACGGGTTCAAGGCGCTTGCTCCACTCGTGAGGGCTTCGCTGTCTGCTGCATTCAAGGTGCTTGCAAGTTGCAACGCAATACAGTGCACCCGCTCGTCCCGGCTGTCTCGTTGCGCGTTCGGGGGTTCGATGATGGCGGAGAAAAGCGTAAGACGCTCCCCCGGCTCCCAGCACAGCACAGCCTCCAAAGCTTGGCCAACGTTTCGAAAAGCGCGCGGGCGGGCGCGACAGCAGCAATGGCGCGAACGTGGGACGGGTGGTAGAGTGTGGGGAATGCTTCGCAGTGCGCGGTATAGTGTTTCTTCTGCTCAGAAGGGGCCAGCGTGGACGAAGTTCAGGCGCAGCTAAAAGCCGCCGATGGACATGCAAGCAGACCCTGGGGCGGTGCGATGCGATGCGATGCGCCTGCGAACCAGCAAACGCGCGGCGCCAACCCGTCACTGCAACTGTCCTGGCTGTCCGAGCACGGCTAGTCCGCACGAGCAATTACGCGTAAACCTGGAGGAAGATGAGCTCGCGGACGCTGTAGCAACCACAGCTCGCCCATGCAGCGCACCGTTCGCTCGCTGACGCCTGCCAAGACTGCGCAGCTCTGGCGGCTTTTGCCAGAAGTCAACCTCGCAGTGTGCGTTTCAATACCTGCTCGCATCGGAATGCTAACCTGAAGAGTTGTTCTCGAGCAGGGACCTTTCACATTCCTTCAATGTAGAGCAGTGAATTGGGCCAGACTGAGTACATCTTTCCCAGATGGAACCTGCGTCTACACGGCGTAGTATTGGAATTTGGGGCGCATTTCGCCGCTACTGTCTGCTAAGGAAGCGACAGTGCGTCTTTAAATAGCATGTATCTCGCTCAGAAAGACAAGTTCGCACAAGAGTCGGCAACGTCCACTTGTGGCCTCTTTAGTGAAGTAATTGCCACGCGAACATCCACTTCGCGCTGTAAGAGGTTGTGAGAGCAGAGCCGTATGGGTCATTCTAGGTGTGCAGCCATCACTTGATTCGATTTGGCAAGTCGAGCCGTAGCAGGCTAGCCGAGCCGACCAATGTGGCACCCCTCTCACAGAACCCCACCAACCTATGGACATCAAAAGTAATTGTTTGGCTTGAATTACATTCTGGTATATATATTTTACATTTGGCCACAAGTATATCAAATCACCGACTAGCCCGGCTAGCTCAATCGGTAGAGCGTGAGACTCTTAAGTATTCACGGTCTGAAGACTCGATTATTCGGTATCTCAAGGTTGTGGGTTCGACCCCCACGTCGGGCTTTTTTTTTTTGTTTTCTTTTTCCTTTTAGGACCACTTCTGCATACTCTGTTCCCTTGCGCTGGAGGCATGTTTGAGAGACTGTTCTTTTTCCTCTTATACAACGAAGACCTCCTGCTTATGGTAGATGTAAGTCTTCCACATCGGCATCAGACTACAATCGGAAGTTAGTCCCCACTAGCACAGGGACTGGCGCCAAAGGACTGGCCTCTAGAACACCAAATCCCCTCTAAATCACCTTAGAGTATAAATCCCAAAGTGTTGATATAACAGTCTATCATGGATTGTAATAGCTACAAGTCCAGGCTTTAGTATCAGCTACTGCGAAGCGTAGATTAGGCTGCTAAAAACGCAAGACGTTCGTGTTTGGGGGCGGTACCTCTTGGAAGCCAGATGCTTTACCGTCCATGTGTCAAGAATCGTAGGCCAGCCAGCTGATCAGTTGTGTTTCATTGACTTTGTTGACGTGCTCGTTGATAGCAGGCATCGCGGGGTTTAAGTGAATGAAGGAGCAGCTCAACATAGGGCAAGAGCAAGATACGCTAACCATATTGAGTACCCACTCCCACGCTCCACAATCTCTCACTCGTGCAACTTGCTTCCTGCGTCCAAAGTCGCATGGATGCTGATTTGTTTACTTGGTTTCGATGGAGCGCTACTCCCGCTCGCCCTCACCTTACCGGACCCAGCACCGGCGTCGGCATAGATCAAGCAGGCCCACGCGATCACCAACGCCCTACAGATGGCGCTCGCCGCGAGAGAGGTTAAAGCGGGGACGATCGTTTCAACGCCAGGATAGCTACGAGCTTTCTGATTCAAGGAGAGCCACTTCCCAACAGCGTGGGCACTCGCGATATCCGGATCGTCATCCGGAGTACGCTGCGTATCGCCCGTACTCGATCGGCCGATATGCTCGTCGAGAGCGGCGCGATGGCCGAGATCACTCCCCTCTCTATTACGTGCAGTTCGAAAATGGCAGTACGAGGATTTTCAAGGAAGTCACTAGGTTTCCTGGCCCAAACTTGGACCCGAGAATGATCTACGATAGCAGCTAAGTTTGGACGCGTGATCAACCGGAAACAGAGGGCAGACTAATTCCCATCAAGCAAGAGAGCACGTCGAGCAAACACTTCGGAGACCATGTAGCCTCGTATCACGGGCCGAACCTCCAGCAATCACGCTGGGCTGAATCACCGGTAAGAAAAGCCAGAAAGCACAAGTCGAAGGCGCCCAGCAAAAGACAACAGGCAGAACTGCTCAAAGCTCGGGCTCCACGAAGCGCCAGACAGAAGCGATGGCTCAGGGATTATCAACGCAGAAACCCCCCACGCAACTTATGGCCGCCGGAAGACGCTTGGGAACCATCAGAGACGTGCAATGACGAAGAGGACAATTCCCTACTCCTTGCTGCGCATCCGCAATATGACAGTGACTTGGCTGATCAAGATTACCCTTGGCAGCAGTATGAGAATTTCCACAAGCAAGGGCGCTTGCACCCTCTGCGCTCACGATATTGGACAAATCAGGATATCTACCACCAGCAACAAAGCCTCCGTGAGCAGGAGCGATTGCAGATGGCTAGACACGAAGACGTGCAGGGTGACGATCCACAGCAACGGCATCCCTGTATCAAACGTGAGCCGATGGTAGGAGGACTTGATATTTTACATGAGAAGTCACGGCTCACAAAATTGCAGGGTGACTCACCCAACCAAATCCCCCACCTTACGTCCACCCGATGGGCTGCACATGGGCATGTACAGGCGCATCCCTATTGTCTTCTACGGCTCAGAGATCTCTGCGTGACGACTATATACCTCATGGTGGTCTCGTACAGCCACCCTTTCATGGAGCAGCAAGCAGTTCCCCAACACCTATGATAGAGCACGAACCTTTGGAGTCGCTTCTCAGTTCCTCGATCCCTTCGATGAAGCAGGAATTTGTAGAGCCTTATCCAAACGGACTGAATCAATCAAACGGAGCATCCTCCAAGTCGAGCGAGAAGCACACTGTAAGTAGTCGTGTCTGAAATCCTACGTCCCGACTGTTTGGTTTCTAACAGCGGTTTGGGCACCACGGTTGAGCCATGGGGGATTTTGGGTTCGCATTTTGCAATGGGTTGGACTCTAAAGAAGGAATCGATCGAATATGGTATGGGTTTTCCTTTTGTAATCACGGACAAATGCATGGCGGTCATACCTGTTATGGAAGCTGCTCTAAGTCTACCCTGGCCGGAGGGATACTGGTGATTTGAGAAGGACCAAGTTGGACAGTGGTGGCAGCGAGGCGTTGGGACCGGAAATATCATGCTATGCCCGGGAATAAAAGTTTTTGCATTCTGACATCTCGCAAGACTATGGGCTTCCGCCTATACACTCTGTATCAAATGAATTAGCAATACCCCACGTTGCACTCTTCTCAAGCTCAAGCGTACTATGGCCCGGTCCGCGGTGGGCAGTGTTTTATCTGGGTTAGGTTGCACAGTGGGTGACAAAAATCTGGACTTTTCAGAGCGCACACGGTCTTGTCACCACTCACTCCATCATATGTCTTTCAAACCAAAATTCGGTAATCAAGCGTGAGTAGTCACTGGGATGGTGTGCGATAAGAAGTCTCATTTTTAATTGTCGGCCACTGTGTTGTGTACTCGCGGATACGTGCAAAATACGAGCACTGCGAACAATTGCCGATCCACGTACTTCGGCTTATCGGCAACTGCGCGTGCGCTCTTTTCCCGCTTGAATTACCTCATAATTTCGGGAACAACCCCTAAGCGCTTCTACTAAGCGTCGGAAAACCATCTGTGACTCAGCAACAATGGGACCTTCCTGGGGAAAAAAATCTGGGGTTGCCGTGCGCTCCTTCTGCTGCGTACCCTACTCTTTTGAACATTCGAACGGCTCGTGGACGATATGGCGGCCATTGGGTTGGACCCGTCGACTGAAGAGTTCAGCGTCGTCGACGAGGAGAAGAGTCTTTCGGAAAAGGAAGACGCGCCTCCTGCATTCGATATTACGCGGATATCTTCGATCGAGCCACCTCCGAATGGTGGATGGGTCGCGTGGCGGCAGGTCTTAGGGGGACATATCGTCACGTTCTTCACATGGGGCTTCATCACGTCGTTCGGCATGTTCCAGGCGCACTACACATCCATTGGTCTCTCCACGCCGTCCAACATCTCGTGGATCGGCGCGCTCACGGTGTTCTTCCTCCTCTCGACGCCGTTGATATCTGGCGCCGCCTCAGACACCGGCCACTTCAAATTGGTGCTGCGCATGGGAATTGGGCTGTGGCTAGTGGGCATTTTTATGACGAGCATCTGCACGCAGTATTGGCAGTTTGTCCTTGCGCAGGGGTTCTGCATAGGGCTGGCCAATGGCTGCATGTTCGTGCCTATGATCTCGGTCATCTCGACGTACTTCGACGCGACGAAGCGGAGCTTTGCTATCAGCATTGTTTTGTGCGGATCGGGGACTGGGGGCTTGGTCATTCCCATAATGTTGAACAGGCTCATCGATCGCATTGGCTTCGGGTGGGCTGTCAGGACTCTGGGGTTCATGGCGCTGGGCCTGTTGTTGATCGCGGAACGGCTGCTGAAGAAGCGTCTGCCGCCGAAGGACTCAGTCAGGATGCTTGAGCCGAGAGAACTGAAAGATGCGGTGTTCGATCTCTTCGTATGTCGTCATGTCATAACTTTGCTCGAGTTTCGCTAACCAGTACAGATCTTAGGATCGGTCTTTTGCTTTGCAGGCCTCTGGTTCGCTTTCTTCTATGTAAGTCGGTTGCTCCAAGTCAAAATTCTCGATCTGACAATTCTTAGATCAACGCATTTGCGCGCAGAACACTGGGCCTTACCCTAGAGGAATCAATACCATTTCTCCTGGTCCTCAACGGGGTAGGCATACCTGGGCGCCTAATTCCGGCATATATTGCTGACCATTACTGCCGCCCTCTCACAATCAGCTTGATCGTCAGCTTCGTGACAGCTCTGCTTCTTTATTGCTGGATAGCAATAAGATCGGTGGCAGGCATGTATACCTTTGCCGTCCTCTACGGTCTCTTTGCTGCAGCTTTGCAAGCTATGTTTCCCGCGACTCTGGCAGATCTTACATTGGAGCCGAAGAAGATCGGAACACGTATGGGAATGGGGTTCGCTTTGTCCAGCTTTGGATGCTTGATTGGAGGACCCGGAGGAGGAGCTTTAGTAGAAGTGGGTAACGGAACCTACTTGTATGGGCAAGTGCTTGCCGGCTCCTGTGGCATTCTTGGACTTTTCTGCTTTGGGGCTGCTGCCATTATGCATGAGAGAAAAGCGAAGCAGATGGAGGTGGCTAAGTAAATAAGGGTTGCATCCATGCCCACTTACAGATAATCAAACACGCAGGCCATTATTGCACTCTGATGTCAATCTCATACGTCATGTTCTGTGCATGATTCCTTAAGACTTGATTTTCAACGTCTACGTTGATACAACAGTCAGGCGAGACGAGCTCTAGTCAGATTTCAATGACTGGGATGAGTTGTGGACTCTCCAGAGACTCTTAACATTGCTGCTGACAGAGATCGCCATCCCATCTCAAGCAACCTCTTTTCGATCCACACTACTATCCTTACCATTACTGTCTGTACGCAGTGTTTCAGGCTTGCTGATGCTCTGAGCACGAGCCTCGAGCGCGCGCTCTTCCACCTTACTTGTTCTCCAAGGAGGGATCTTGCTATCGAATACAACATCGATCTCTTCAAGTGTTTTCCTAGCCGTTTCGGGATATGTGAAGAATATGTGAATCGTCATCACCGTACAAAAGACGCCAAAGATTATGTATCTGTATCGCGGGTGAGTTAGTTAGCTTGCTCAATGCGAATGTGAGCTATCGACAAACTTACGTTTTCCAAGTGATGTTTTTGAACGAGGGTGGTAAGAAGTAAGCTAGGGCGAAGTTGAATATCCAATTCGTCGCAGCACTAAGCCCGACACCTTTGGCACGATACTTGAGCGGGAATACCTCGCTGCAGTAGATCCAACCTGTTGGTGCCCAGGTCAGGCCGTAGATGCCCGTAAAGATGTAAGAGAGTGCGATGACTGCTTTTCCGGGAGCACCAGTAATCTCCAGCTTGAGGTTTTCGTTGCCAAAGACATTGCCGACTGGGTTGCCATAGGTTGCCATGATTGCAGCTGTGCTATAGTGCAAGCACATGCAGATAAGTGCACCTCCGATGAGAAGTTGTCGGCGGCCAATGCGGTCGATGAAGGGAAGCATTAGGCCGGTGGTCACTAGGAAGATGACATACTGGATGGCAGATGAGTAGAGGTTCGTGTTACCAGAGAGACCAGCCATCTGGAAGATGTAGACCACATAGTACATGGCCACATTCCCTCCAAGCAATTGCCTAAGAACAGTGAGCGTAGTTCAGGCAAATGAGTATTGATACGGTGTCTATATCTTGAAGAGATAGCGACATCGAACCAGGGTATTACGTACTGCCACATTTGAACGCTTGTGCCGGCAAGCGTCCTCTTCCAGATACGTGGTCCGAACAATTCGAAGAAGCCGACGCCCTTGGATTCGGCTGCTATGCGCTGCGCCTCGCGCACTTCTTCATATTCAGCAAGAACAATTGGGTCATTTCTGTCCCCATTTCCGTGCAGCTCAGCCAGGATTTGATGAACTTCCTCCCATCGCTCACGACCGGCTAACCATCTCGGTGACTCGGGAAATAGGAACAGCGCAAAGAAGAGAATGATAGCTGGGATACCCTGAACCCCCCAAGCCACGCGGAATGCTGCTGGACCGGAAATCCCTTGGATGCATCCGTAGCAGATCAGGTACATGATCAGGATACCCCATTCGATCGACCATTGTTGTATACCGACAATCCTTCCTCTGATCTTGCTGGGAGCTAGTTCTGCCAGATAAACGCAAACCTGACTGGAGCAGATGCCAATGGAAAAACCGTTAATCATGCGGCCGACGATCAATTGGGCAACGTTCTGTGAGGAACACACGACTGCGCAGCCGATAACAAACACTGCGCATGCAACCTGCAAAGCTTGCTTTCGTCCGAGCTTGTCTGCAAGAAAGCCTGCTGCAATGGCGCCAATAAATGAGCCACCACTCATGGACGCGGTGATGCCGCCCTGGAGATCCGAGTTGGGATGGTTGAAGTACTCGAGATATTGGTCTGTATCCAGCCAGGCTGACATGCTGGACACATCGAATCCGAACAAGGCGCCGCCGATGGTGCCAAAGGCAGCCAGCACGTAGATGTTGCTGAAACGATACATCCTGGCGAGGGAAATCGGGACCAGAGAGGACCGGCCACCAGGAAGAAAAGCTGCCCCTGTGCAATGGACTTCTCGTGCCGATTTATAGAGGAGGCCAATGTCGACGATCTCCACTCCGAACCAGGTAGACATGACGTCTCACCTCATTGACAAGTCAGGACAAGTCGCCTCAATGGTCACATTCATTGCAAGGCCAGTGCATGGCAACCGTTGCATTATGCGGCTCTTGCACGATCATACGGTCCCACTCCGATGGTGCCCTTCAAAACGCGATTCGACAGAGATCGGGAGGTTCTGCACCGTTGTTGCTAAAACCGACAAGCCAAACATGATCCAGTGTTTCGCAGCATGGTCGATTGATGGAGAAATCAAGTTCCGCGGAGCAGATCGGGGTTGTGGGGATGAAGATGTGGAGAAACCGAGGCTGGAATGGGGGATGACGCTGCCAAGAACGAGACAAGACGGCAGCACGAAAGCACGCGGTGACGTAGCTGCGAGGGTATCTTTTGAGGGCGCTATACGTATATCTTGTCGAAGTGCATGCTGCCTTCGATGTTTTTCCGCAGTCCTGGACGGTGCAATACCATAGGTTTCTTCCCCAGCGCGCTGCAAGGCTTATAACGACAAGTTTGGGGGTGTTACCGATGGTCCTCCGTACTCTACGAGCTTCCGCCGTCTCAGGCATAGTGCTCTTAAGCGCTAGGGTGCTATTGATACCTAACAAGCGCCCAGAGTGGGTCGGGACGGTCTTTTGCACAGCACCGATAACATAGACCCTCATAGAGAATATTCCCCGATCTCTTTGTAAAGTAAACAGCCATGTCGGGTGCACTTACATAAAGCATTAATACACAAAGCATTCAGATACGACAAGATGTGGTGATGGACATGATATCAGGTGCCGTCCACAATCAATTTTAGCCGGAAGTGCTCAGGGCGGCGCACTGCATCCTCCTGGGCGCAGCACATAGGTAGGCAGCCGTTCCTCGTCACCATCTTGCAAAAACACCCATCCTCTGCGAGCAAAGTACCTGTCTAGCTCCAACGCGCACAACATGGAACCTGTAAAGAATCAAATAAACAAGATCAAGACATCGGTCCAAGCGTGGTGCAATTTCAAGGCGCTTGAGTCGTCGGTCGCAAACATGAGCTACAGCCAGCTTGTCAATCTACCCACCGAACTTCTTCGAGAAATCTTCGAATACACAACTGTATGCGACAAGTCCAATGCGATCTCAATCATGATACTACGTGCAACATGCCAGCGCTTTCGCTGTTTCTTTGACGATCCTCTCGCGACCATCGAGCCAGCCGCGAAATCTGTGATGCAGCAGCGATACTCTTATTTCTTGCGATCGAGACATCTGTACAGCTTGATCCGTTCCGAAACGAAAGGCCGCCTTGTATGCATCGCTTGCATGCGATTGCTTCCAGCGAAACTTTTCTTCTCCACGCCAGTCAAAGTTCCGTCTCATAAACGACTATGCAAAGGCCACGAAGGGGAGCTCGATTTCTTTAGGCCCGGCTATGGAAGTCAGACATGGGAGAAACTCCATGCTGGAGGACTGCAATACTGGAATCCTGTGCGAGACTATTGGTGGCCAAGTGAACCATCACAGCAATATCGCGGTAGTCCTGTCGAATGGTACCATTCGTTAAGAAATATGAGGCGGGAGCTTGGCCCAACAGACAACGCCCAGAAAGGAGTCTTCTTCGGACCCGCAAGTGTGCACAACCATTACTACGGGCGCATGAATGACAATCAATTGCCAATCGAAGCAACAGACTTTCTCCTACGTCGAGAATGGGTCTTATGTGAAGCACCTCGTATGGACGACAAAACAGCATCTGCTGTGGGGAGTAAAGTGGACTCCGTTCTTTCGCGCATCATGGACGGAAAACAAATCGAATACATCAAGATGTGCCCTCACATGTGTGGGAGAAATGTGGCTTCTAAATCTCAAGTGCGGAAACTGCTGCGGTTCAAGACAGTCCATTGTCCAATACGATCGTGTAAGACATGGCTACGCATTGAGCAACAAACGATTGCACTGCATGATAAAGATGTTAGGTTGAGTACGGAGTCCGCGAAACCCCAAAGAGAAAAGGCCAATGAAACCTCGTCTACAGGGAAGGCCAAAGAATGGCTGGTACTGGTGGTTGTTAGAAACGTCGGCTCGATGAAGGACCCGACTGACCCAAGATGGATATCGCAACTAGATGTTCCTCAATGGCCTGGGCCCAGCAGAACCAACTACTGCCCACCTCTATGGCTTATAGCACAGTCTGGTTATACAACGTAGCGGGCGGTTATTATAATAAGAAGATCACGGAATAGAATGTGTTCAGTGCGATCATTTGGCTTCCAGTTGTGTCTCAATGCTCAATTTTCAGCGGCGCTTACTGAGCCAATAGCAATCCCAGACTCTGAGCAACCGTACCCTAAAGGTTCGTCCTGACCCGCTACTCGCACGAGTGCAACTTGACGAATCTGCCTTCTGACGACCCCGCCTACAAAACATCAGCCAGCGAGTGCGGTGCAGCCATCCCGACACATCCTGCATTTTAATGTGGCTCACCACCACCAAAGTCAACCAACATTGCAACAGAGTTGAATGTCAATTCTTGCCCAAGCATCGCAATATCCAGCAGCATAACATATAATAAATGTCGACGGCCCCATATCCCGAGGCCAATCGAGTGTGCGACTTCTGGTTCAACCGACCTCCAATCGAGTGGATCATTGCACCAGATGGCCTCGATGCTCAAATGAAGTCCGAGTTCGGCGATCTTGTCAAACAAGCCCGCTGCGGTGAGCTGGACGATTGGACCTCCCATCCCGAGTCCAGCGTTGCCCTCGTCGCGATACTTGACCAATTCTCCCGCAACCTCTTTCGTGGAACGCCAGAAGCATTTAGCGCTGATGTGAAGGCCCGCGAGGTTGCCGCAAAAGCAATTGCTCAAGACTTCGATAAACAAGTCTCCGTCACAAAGGCATCGGCATTCTATATGCCCCTCATGCAAGACGAGAACTTGATCTCATTGATCGCGGCACGTTGTCTGTTCGAAGCATTGAAAGCAAGATGCACCAACGAAGAAGAACATGAATGGGTGGACGGGGCAATCGAAGCTTGTCCGAGACACATAGTACAGCTGGAGAGATTTGGAAGATATCCGTCCAGAAACACCATTCTGGGCAGAAAGACCACCAAGGAGGAGGAGGAATTTTTGAGGAACCGCAAATTTTAGATCGCTTACTGCTCATATATCGTCCAGATCTCCAGGAGGTTCTGAATTCTTGCATACGTGTGGCGTCTACATGCGGACCAGTAACTTCGTTACATCAACCACGAAGCAACACTGTCGCCTTATGCTGCCGCAACGATCTAGACTCTTGACCTGTATTAGTTGAGGTGATGATTATTCAAGTATAAGTGATCAACGAAATTGCAGATTGCTCTATACCCGTGATACATACTGATAGCCAAATGAGTGTACATGTCCCAATGAGGCTGCACATAGGTTTAGCCCATGAAATTAGCCGTACACGCCGTGCTTAGGGGACTTAGCCTTGCGGCGGTGGCTGTGGGGTGCCTCTGGTTTCTATTGGTTGCCGAGGTGGGCAATGCCCCGGGGGCAACAGCTCGTCTCGTCAGCCGCGATACAACCAAACACATTCTCCTTCTCCAAAACGTCACCACAGCTTATTACCAACATACAAAGCGTTCCCAATCTTTAAAAATACAAAAGCATATACAGGTCTGCCCATGACATTGTGCATCGGGTGAAGGGAGTCGCTGCCATTCCAAGAAGGTCTCCGCCTGATCGTGCGTGAAGCTGTGAGTGTAGGCCCTCAATTTGTAACGAACGACAGCAAACTCTGCAAGTCAAAAGTGGGTGGTCTTATGAGTTAAATGCAAAGAGAAAGGTTCCATCTCGCAATCGGTCAACCGTCGAAGGTTGAGGCGTTGTGCTATCGAGTAAATTAGATTTCGGGCTCGGTCCTGTGCCAGATCGAACCTTCTTAGAGGATCTTTCGAACATAAATCATGCCAGGGCAACCCCATAAAGTCTATCCGAGGCCTGAGGATGTTCCTTATCAACATATACAACCAATCGGCCATGGAGGACAAGCATCTGTGGATTCTGTCAAACGAAAGAATAGTGTGTACGCTCGAAAACTATTCATGCTATCGAGGACTCCGTGATACATGGAGCTAGAACGCATTCATGAAGAGGTTAGGATCGCGAATGGACTAGTTCATCCGCACATTGTTCGGCTGATCGAAACTTATCAGTGTAAGAACATGTATGCCATCATCATGGAACCCGTTGCACAGGGGAATTTGGCAGCCTATCTCTCTGACCTGGACGAACTGCCTGTTGGACAAGACGCCGGACGAAGGGAGTGTCTCGCTCAGTGGTTCTACTGTCTCACTAATGCCCTGTACTACATACACGAATCTGGGATCCGCCACCGCGATATCAAACCGCAAAATATCCTCACGCTGGATGGATTTGTCTATCTTACTGACTTTAGCATTTCCGAAACGTTCCAGGAAGCGACCATCTCAGGTTCAACTGAGATCGTTGGAACTCGTACCTACCGCTCACCGGAGCGGGATTCTCGCAAGCGATCGGGGCGAAGAGAAGATATCTTCTCTTTAGGTGCTGTTTTCCTTGAGATGTTGACAGCGTACACGAGACAAGGAATGCTCAAAGAATGGCACGATTTTCGAGGCGGGCCATACTGCCACAAAATCGACAAGATAGAGCAGTGGATACAGCGTTTACATACTGTTTCAATAGATATGCAACGTGTAACCCATCAGAACGCTCCCAAAATGCCGTTTTGGTATGGGGCACTGCTGTCTCTATGTGGCTTCATGCTAGAGCAACAACCAAAGAACAGGCCGCATGCAGATGTCCTGGTGGCGGCATGGAGATTTAGGGCCATCTCATTCGATTACAAAACTTACTGGCTTCCCATAGCACAATGCGACTGTGGTCCACTATCTCCAAATCATGAGTCGAGGCCATACCATCAATGGACACATATTTTACGCATACTCAGACGAAGCAACTGGTCACCGGAGCGCGACGTCATTGAGGCACGCAATACGATCACTGAAGAATGGTACAAGCATAGGATCGAAAGGCTAAACGTGTGCCAAGAACTTCGAGAACCTCTTCAAGATAGGCACCAGATCCTCGGCGAGAACCTTGGGGCGAGTGCCATTGCATTGCCTCTAAAATTATATTTTCGGGCATCCCTAGTCTTGGGCGATGCTCACTTAACAACTGCCCTCGCAACTGCCTAGGAAATCGTGTCTCAACTCGTGGAAATTATCAATCAACCGAAAGATTGCAGTACCGTCGAAGCTTTACGCCTCGTCGTTAACGCCATAATGGATCATATTATCCAAGATGATGACGGGACTTACTCCTCGTGGCACGCAGATATCTGTAACGAGCTGAGCCTCACCACCTCATTCGTGATCAACATCTCTACAGAAGAGAATCCGCGTCCCAACATCAAACTACATTTCCAGATGGAGTTTGCGCGAGTGCTATTGTAGCAACGCAACCTGAAAAGAAGACTTTCTCACGGATTACTCAAGACTCTTGATGCTCTGTACTGGTACTGGGAAGATGATAGATCGTTCTTGGAGTTCATCATCAAGCCATTGCTGTTCCTTCTTGACTTGGCCGGGGACCCTTCTCGCTCGGAGTCATTCAAACATCGAGAGGATTTCGAAGTGATCACAGAGCTCGTGCATACTGCCGTTGTCTTCGTGGAGTTCCACCCTTCCCACCCCGAAGAGATCAATGAAGTATTCAAACGAGTTGAAGAGCTGGTTTTTTTCAATCTCAGTCCAAAATTACAGGAAGCATTAGAACGTGTGCCCCGCGACTTGCAGCCGGATGCGGAGATCCCCTGCATCATGTCTAGACGTTGTCATGGAAAGCCTCTCGGATCGTATCACACTCTTTTGCATCATATCTGTCACCATCTCGTCCTAAGGAGGTAGCGGAGAGGCTGGAATGCGTCTACAGCTACAACAATATATTTTCTAAACCTACGTTCCACAAGCGGTCGATAAATGTCAATGTGATTCCAATGGACTGAGTGAGTTGAATAAGGGAAAATAGTTTCCATCGTACCTGGAAAAGAACGTTGGCCTGCCTAGTCCACCTAAACGGCAGCACTGCCCGCAGCAAACGAAGGCTTATCGATGAACAAGGAGGCGTCGACCAATTCCCACAACATCGACATGAAGATTGAGATTTTATGAGGTCATGAATGATTCTCTTGCACATATTGAGAGTGTCCCGTTAGTTAGGTCTCATAGTTCACTAGGTCATGAGCGCCGTGTCATCATACCAGCCGATTCCTTCTTATATGATACAAGAGACAACGTATCCAACTTGCCAATATCCAATACCGCCTACGAGAACACTCGTTCATCTGATCAATCTACATACCACGTCGCTAACCTCCCCTGGCACTTCATCGTCCCCTGCGCCGAAACCCTCCCGCCATGCTTTCCCCCGAACCTCACATTAACCTCATCAATAATATCCACAATGTCTTGATTATCCATATAAAATTGGTAATCACTCGGCTCGCCCGTTCCCTGGTGGCAGTGAGCCCGTACCCCTTCAGTCACCCGTAACAAGAGATAGAAGAGACTTACCCTCCCAACGCTGAAGCTGCAGTCTGAATTGACCATGTGCTGCACGTATCCCGCCGGCTTGCCATTAAAACTCACGATCCAGTCTCCAGCATCAGTAAGGACGTCCTTGCAGGATCGTTCGCATTGGGATGTTGAGGGCGGGGAGGTGTTGAGGGTGGTGCGGTCTTCGTAGGTGAGGACGGTGCAGTAGCCGGCGTTTTCTTTATGGCCGGTGCATTGGCTTGCTGTGACCAAGGTGCTCAAGAAACCGAAGAGAGCGAGGACGAAAGAGGAGAATTGCATCCTGAATGCCTGGGCGAGTTGCAACTTGCTTGCTTCTGGGGGCTGATGTGCAGAGGCGGGAGAACTAGGCTTTTATAGACAGCTTGGGGCGGCCACCAGGTCGGGACGGCCCGGGCGAAGAGTCACGATGGCACGCGGTGATAGAGGCGCAGAAACATTCGCCAGTCGTTCACGCACCCGGTGGTCCCGTCGGCCGTAATTCGATGAGGCGTAGCAACGAAGCCCCCAAATTTACTCACTCAGCTATGGTCCTCATGCCGCCTCATACACCGCGGCCGTGCCTATCCCTAGACATCTTTTGCAGCCAGGTGATGGTAGAAGTGGAGTCACGCGTGGTGAATGGTGTTGACATTGGTCGTGCCGCACGCCCAATCAGCCGTCGTTATGCGTTACGCGCCCATGAGAGCGAAGGGGCCGTCGTACGATTGGTCGCACGAAACTCGTCACATTCCTGCGTTTCATGCGGAACACCAATTGCATGCGGTTTCTGGCTTGTTGAGGTGGAGATCAGGAACATACATGTACGTCAGGCACAAATCTCACGATGGCGAGCATGGAGGTGGAGGGAGCGTTTTGCGATGTCGGCGTTGCAGACCGAGGTGGAGTTGCGCCCTTTCTTGCAGGGTTACGGTGTTGCTACCCTGCGTTAGATCTTATAAGCTGATTACAGTGAGGTGCTTCCTTGCCGAAGAGCAAATGCTGTAACTACGCCTTGTCGTCAATTCACCTCTGCATAGTCGCCCCCAGAAAATACACGTCGTGTCCGCTGAAGACAATGCACAAAGACGCGGCGTAGCAACTTTAGTAAAATTTGTGCGCACCGCCGCTTGTATACGCACTCCCAAACTTTGAGTCCAGAGTATCGATTTACTCAATTTCCGAGTTCATGCAGATCGCAGGACCATCTTTACCTGATTTGTGACTGCATCGAGCGCAAATCGTTACGTACGGAAGATATTACTTCCGGGAAGCCGGGGTTTGACCATACGATTGCTCTCTGTGCGGTATGATTTACTGCTGTAGTAATAGTAATAGTTCTCCCTGGGTAGACTTGGGGGCGCACTAGTTTAGGCATTTCGAACTCGTAGTTCGGCTTCGCTACCTTGCCTTAAGACGAGCAGGCGATATAACTTTGCACCTCAGGAGAGAAACTTGCCGTCACAAGTTCAAGATTTCTACAACGATAGCACGCGCATCCTTCCATTGCCCTCATCAGTGCGTGTGGTCATGCCCCGAATGGTCATGCTCTTCATCTACCGCCCGTCCCCATTCGGCCCAATAGCTGTCATCCCAGATGTCCTGCAACCTCTCTTCCTTCTCTTCCTCACTCAGCTTGCTATCATGCATCACGCCCTCCCACTTGCGCATCTCCGCCCGACTCAGCAAACAACCATCCAACATCTTCGTCAGCCCCTCCATGTCCAGCTTCTCCCCGATAAGCACGAGCTCCTGCCGGCGATCACCCCATTCGCCTTCAAAATCCAATTTGATATTTTTCAGCGTGTGCTCGTCAGCCATCCACTGGTCCTCAGAAACGGTGCAGAACCATGGCATCTCAGAGCCAAGTGTTAGCATCGCACCGGCGGTGCTCCACGAGCCCATCTGGCTGGGGCGCGTCGCGAGCCAGAAGATGCCTTTGCTGCGGTGTAGGCCTTGGAAAAGCGAGCAGGCCTTTTTGTTGGCGAGGATCTCGCTGGGGTCTATGGCGGGAGGGTCGTCGCTGGCTTCGCTGGCGCTGTCTGAGTGCTCGAGGTTGCTGCTGCCCTCGTCTACATCGTCGCTCATTTCCTCATCCTCATTCTCGTCGGCTTCATCCTGGAGCAGGAAAAACTTGCCTTCCAATGCGCGGTATAGCCTTAGCGGATCGAAGGGTCTTCGAGCGCGGTACACGAAGCTGCCGATGCCATATCTGATGACCTATTAGCAACCTGTGCCAACGAATTTATGCAACGTGGAACTCACTCGAGTGTCTCCGGCTTCGGCGCCACGCGCTTCTTCCCATGTACATCCATCACAGTCATCTCATGCAAGCTCCTCAACCACCCAGGACTCGCAACCGCCTCTGCAAAGTCGAACCGCCCCGTATTCAGGATCTCCTTGACATTGACTTTAGAATACTTCGCCTCGATGACTTTCGCCGTAGGGTTCAGCGTCTTAACGTATGCACGCACACGACCCAGCGTCTTGCGGTCCACCATGTCGACCTTGTTGACGATTATGACGTTAGCGAACTCGAGCTGATCGGCGAACAGGTCGGAGATAGTGCGCTGGTCTTCCTCGGGGACATCATCTTTGCCGAAGCGGTCCTGCAGGAACTCGGCGGTGTCGAACTCTGCGAAAAAGCGGAAGGCGTCGACGACCGTGACCATGGTGTCGACGGTGGCGATGGACTTGAGGCCGCCGATTTTAGCGCTGCACATGGTTAGAGGAATGCTGGTGGAGGGAGCGTGAGGGGATTGTGGGACGCACACTTGCAAGAAAGTCTCGCGCTCTTCCGTTTCCATTCCTTCTGCGTCCACAATCGCTTCTGTCAGCTCCGCCGTGAATGTCTCCGCAACCTGTTGCGGCTCGCTGATGCCAGAGCTTTCGATGACCACATGGTCAAAGCTCTGCTCGCTCCACGCCAGGCGCGCGAGCTCAGTGAGTAGATCCTCCCGCAAAGTGCAACAAATACAACCGTTCTGCATCTGAATGACTTTCTCTTTGACGACGCGCTGCGCGGGATGCTCGCCGCTCCTCGATTTCGAGGAATTAGATTCTCGGGCAATGAGGTTGCCGTCGACGTTCACGGCTGCCATATCATTCACTATAACGGCAATACGCAGACCGTGGTCGGGTGACTGGAGAATGTGCCGCAGCAACGTCGTCTTCCCGCTTCCCTGTTGCCGTTCTGTTAGTCAAATCTTCCCAAATCTCTTATGCAAAGGTCTTTGTACTCCTGTTCACTTACAAGAAAGCCTGATAGCACTGTTACAGGAAGTGGCTTCTTCTTCTCCGCCACCCTGAGCACCTTCCGCTTCGACGCAGCCATGTTGCCTCCCAAGTATGTGAATATTTGATACACGACAGGATAGAGAATGCAGAAGGTCATCAAAGAGTTTAATATTCGAAGTCGACATTTTATATGGTCTCGATGTGTGGTGTGGCCATTGAGCACCTCAATGGTGACCGCGCATCATCGGGAAATGAGCGCGGCCCATTGGTGGAGCAGACGGCAAATGCTGCAGAGCGCACAGCGATATACCTGCTAGAATTGCAACTTGTCTCATGGACCAAAGTGTAGAGCTAGGAGGGCGGGCAAGATGGTGTGCGCTGCCGACGTTACGCGCCATACGCTGGTGGTGCACCCCCTGTTCCTGGTTTCGCTACATCGATGGCTATTATTGCTGTTATGTTCGGGCGTTGAGGAACGAAATAGTTCTGACGTCGCCAAGGTTTGCGGTATTACTATGTGTAGATTACTGCCTTCTATCGTGAATCATCAATCAGCTCGGGTATCGTATGGCGGTACGCGCTGCATCTATTTGCTGCGCTTGTAAATTTTCTTGAGGAACGCTTCAAAGACCTCCTTCTTCAAGCCCTCGCTCTCGTCCACCTGGGCGATCTTGGCCTTCAAATCAGCCACGCGCTCCTCCTCCCACTGCTGGTAGAACTCGGCCAGCTTCAGCTCCTGGTAGAGCTCCTTGACCTTGGCCTCCTTTTGCGCATCCTTGCGGCCATAATTCTCCTCGAGCACCTTTCGCTGCTCCGGGGTGACCTTCTTCAATGCTTGGTTGATGACCCACGAGCACTTGTTGTCTTGGATATCGGTGCCAATCTTGCCGAGAACCTCTGGGTCGGCGAACGCATCAAGGTAGTCATCCTGAGCCTGGAAATACTCGCCCATAGGAATCAGGATATCCAAGGAGGTTTGGAGATTCTTAGGGGTAGCTGCGCCCATGTAGTACAAAGCAAGGGCAACAGGGAGGTAGAATGAATAGTAAGCGGTCTTGAAGATGACGATGAAGGAGAACTTGTCGAGGCTGAAGTTGTCGAGATCGACGTGGTCCTCGGGGGCAGTCAACAGGTCACATTGCTGGCCAAGCTCGGTCTGGAAGCTGACTTCGTGGAAGAGCTCCACCATGTCAACGTAGTTCTTATGCTGGCGGAAGTGCTTCTTTAGGAGAACATAGATGGAGGACTCGAGCAGGAAGGCATCGTTGATGGCAACCATGCCGACACCGGGCTTGAGGTACCAGCAGGGCTGCCCACGGCGCGTCTTGGACGCATCCATGATGTCGTCGGAGACGAGGAAGAAGGCCTGGAGGAGCTCAATCATCCATCCGAGGAGGGCAGCCTGGAAGTAGTCCTCGGATGACGGGTCAAGGGGCTTGTTGAGCAAGATGGACGCAGTGTCGACGACGGACATGCCGCGGTTGCACTTCCCGCCCACAGTGTTGTAATCGAGGGACTGGAGGCACGTGTGAGCTAGTGGGTCTCGGGATCAGGACCATGTGCAAGTACCTCTTTGAACCAATCAAGGGGCTGCTGGGGCAGTTTGTAACTTTTGGCATGGTCTGCAACGTCGGCCGCAATGCGTGGCCACACGCTCTCGAACTCTTTCAGGGTAGTCGGCATCTTGACGAGAAGGATTTCTACAGCAACGCAGGAAGGAGTCGGAGACAGAGCGGAGAGGCGGGCGGGAGCGGTCAAGGGGATGAGGAAATTTGGCGGGGGCGGTCGAAGGTTGTTCCTGCCCCGGCGTTGTTTGTTGCCCCACTTCCTAAACAGGCACATGCCGAACAGGAAGCCAAGCATCACCACACGCGTCCGCGTCGCCCGACTTGTGCAATACCGCGCTCACACCACCTGAGACGCACGCCGCATGCGACGACAAGCACTGCGCAATGGGCTCGCTGTCGCAGGCCGAGACGGCGCAGCTGAAGGCGCAGCTGCAGGATGCCGTGACGTGCTGCTCCGACCGCGGCCTCTACCAGGCCGCGAAGTGGTACGCCGGGCCTGTCTCCATGGCCAGTGACTGTGCTGATGCTCGCCAGGGCTGCAGAGCTCCTCGTTTCGTTCCCGGAGTCGGACGACGACGATGCCCTCACCGACGTCGACTCGCCCATGTCGGACGCGCCGCCGCGCACGCCCAACGCCGTGCCCCGGGACGCGACCGAAGCGCGCCTCGAAGCCCGCGAGACGCACAAGTACCTCCTGGCCAAGGCCTTCTTCGACTGCCGTGAGTACGACCGCTGTGCCGCCGTCTTCCTCCCCAGCGCCCTGCCCAAAGGCGCCGCCATCGGCACGTCGCCGCCCTCGGCCAAATCACAAGCCAAAGGCAAGGCCAGGCAGGGCACGCCCACCACGGCACAGCGCTCCAGCGGGGGGGTGCACGCGCTCAGCCAAAAGTCGCTGTTCCTGGCGCTGTATGCAAAGTATCTTGCCGGCGAGCGGCGCGTGAACGAGGACAGCGAGGTCATCCTTGGCCCTCGCGACGGCGGCGTCGTGAACAAGGAACTGCAGGGCATATCGACGGTGCTGGAGGAATGGTTCAGCAATCTCCCGTCAAGTGGCAGGCAGCCGCAGGGCTGGCTCGAGTACTTGTACGGCGTCGTCTTGGCCAAGGGCAAGAACGAGAGCCTCGCCAAGGACTACTTCATCCAGAGCGTGACCTACTACACGTTCAATTGGGCAGCCTGGCAGGAGCTCGCCAGCCTCCTGGGAACCGCCGAAGAGGTAAGCACCACGCAACTCAGACACTATGTGAGCTAAGCTTTGCCAGCTGGACGACATTGTCCCGCGCCTGCCCCAGAATCTCATGGCCTTCATTTTCCACGTGACCGCGTCGCAGGAACTCTATCGTGCCGACGAACAGGTCCATGATTCTCTGACCAACATACTCAGCATATTCCCGACCTCCGCTTTCCTGCAATCGCAACGGGGGCTATTATACTACCACACCAAAGACTTTGAGCCTGCAGAAAAGGTTTTTTCCGACATACTGCTGGCTGAGCCGCACCGTCTTGACCATCTCGACAATTACTCCAACATCCTGTATGTCATGGGCAATCGACCAAAACTCGCATTCTTGGCTCAGCTCGCATCCAACACAGACAAATTTCGGCCAGAAACCTGCTGTGTGATTGGCAACTACTACTCTCTCAAATCGGACCACGAGAAAGCTGTCATGTATTTCAGGCGAGCTCTGGTCCTCGATAGAAGCTTTCTATCGGCATGGACGTTGATGGGTCACGAATTCGTTGAAATGAAGAACACCCACGCCGCTATCGACTCGTACAGACGTGCTGTAGACGTCAATCGCAAAGACTACCGCGCCTGGTATGGCCTGGGCCACACCTATGAATTGCTGGAAATGCACTCGTATGCCCTCTTCTACCACCAGCGCGCCACGGCTCTGCGTCCATTCGATCCAAAGATGTGGATGGCTGTTGGGCAATGTTTCGGCAAAGTAGGGAAAATCACAAACGGCATCCGGGCGTACAAGCGCGCCTTGGTAGCTGGATCGTACTACGACGCAGGGGCGGGCTCGTCCTTCGGCTCTGGCGACATGTCTGCGCTTGGTGGGGGAATCCTCGATCCCGAGGTTCTCTATCACATTGCGCTGCTTTACGAGCGCCTTCACGACATGCAGGAGTGCGCTGCATACATGGAGCTTGTTCTTGCGCAGGAGGAAGGACCCGACTATGACGAGTCAAATCCTGATGCGGGTGGCGGCGTCGGCGTCACGGCTACGACGAGCAAAGCGCGGCTGTGGCTAGCGCGCTGGGAGTACATGCGCGGCGTGTACCAGAGGGCCATGGAGCTCGCGAACGAGCTGTGCCAGGATGGGGTAGAGGTCGAGGACGCGAAGGCGCTTGTCAGAGACATCCGCGCCAGGATGGAAAGAGGAAAGCACAATGAGTTGGAGACACCTTGAGTGGGTGGGTGCATCGCGACTGCGCAAGTACTGTTAATGGCGTCAAGGTATGATACCCGTTATGTTCAACCTCTGAAATAGATTCACTTCATATACGCACGTACTCATTGCTAGCCCCCCACAATCACCTTCCCTTTGGGACAGCCTGCCCGTGTCGAGTCCAGCGGAGGGTTTTGCACTCGGAGATTTCCAATCCGAGTGGGGGAAGGGGTCAGGGCTGGAGCGTGTTGGTGGCTGATGCGCTGTGACCCATTCCAAAGCCACATGGCTTTGCAGGGATAAGCGATACTTGGCACAAAACGGCGGACCCACCTCTCTACAGATTCGTGCTTGCGTGGCTTGGGGTGAATATTGGGGAAGGCGAGAGTCATATAGAGCTGAGCACGCCAGGTTTAGCCATGACGGAACTTTTGTAGTTGATACTGACCTCTGGAACGAAGAGAACAATAGGCGGACTCGCACGACTCACAGCAAAAGCAACGCAGACTGTCCACCTAGAACGGCAGGTCAGGTTCAGACATCTGTGCTGTTCAGTTGCAGGATATCCTTGCTTTCCGTCGCGGGATGCTCACCGTTCAACAACAGCTATGTCACTACGGACACTTGACAGAGCGCTGCCGGATTCAGGGGAATGGTTGCTCAACCCATCACGCTTGGCTTTCCACACTGCATACCATTCTCGTTGATCCATGCGCAAAGCGATATCTCTGCGCTCTGTATCGAAGTTCTATGGTATCCTCCGGGACTGCTTATCCCGGCCCTCGATATCCTCGCAGCGGTTTATGCATTGAGCTGAATCCTTCGGCTTTGCTCCGCGGACTCAAGGGGACCCCACGCTATACACTCTTGTCGCGAAAGTAGCTATTGTTCGTTAATTGAGGACTGTCCCATGTATACGAGAGCATCGAACAATGAAAAACTAACACTTGGTCCCACCTCATCATCACATCCGCCGGCGATGTCATCCTGATTGCCGTCCTGGGTACCACCAGCCCAACTGGTCGCAGATCAAACTTGCGACTTCGCCGATCAGCCAGCACTTATTCCCACCGCATTCCAAGGGTACCATTCCCGCCACACTAAAGTTTTCGCCCGTGCTCAGGAGGTTTACCTGACCGTCTGTGCGCGCCCCAAAGGATCACGCACGTGCGCCATATCAGCAAGTTGATGGCCATTCAACGTCTCTGTATGGTTGTAGCGCGATTCCCATACCATGGCGTCGAAGATAACCTTCCGCGCGGACGGGTACGCGGCGTCCTTTAGACATGGGAACGGACACACCCGCTGTTGACTTTTGTGATCTTCGACTTCTCGTATTCGAGGCGTCCCGGGAAACCGACGCCCATCACGTCGTCATTTTCATTTCAGTCAGTAATGGGAGGACTGTACCATGGAGATGTAGCAAGGGGAGATACTGGCATGGGGGCGTATGGCTTCAACACCATGCGCGTGAAGCAAAAAGACTTCCTCGTACGTCACTGCAACGGTCGCGATACTTCGGGTGGACTCATCTAATTCCCCACAGCCCGTAATATGGTCCATGATAGGCTTCTCTTTCATCTTCCTCCCCATCCGCTACTGGACCCGCTGGCGCACCTTCGGCCGCTTCTTCGCAGACGACCTCTTCGCGCTACTCGCATGGCTCTCCGCTGCCGCCATGGGCGCTGTAGCTATCTGGATGGTCGACTCCATGTGTGTGTATTCCCTTCTTTTTCCTCCCACCACTCCGCGTCCCCGAGCCACACTTTAACACCCACAGACTGGACCATGAATCTCGCCTCCAGCCCCATCGACCCCTCACTTTTTAACCCCTCCCTCCTCAACTACGTCCGCCGCTACTCTTACGGCACAAACATCTGCTACATGCTCATGTACACGTCACTGTGGAGCGTGAAGCTCTCCTTCCTGCTATTCTTTTACCGGCTCGGCCCGCGACTCATCACCGGGATCAAGTGGCACTGGTGGAGTGTCGCGGTGGTCACTATGGCGGCGTACGCGGCGACTTTCGCGACCTACCCGTACATGTGCAGTTTTGGGACGTATGAGCAGATCATGACGCCGTACTGCACCGCCGAGCAGAGCATGAGCTTTGTGAATCTAAAGGTGAATGTGGGGCTGGATGTCGGGACTGATGTGCTGAGTAAGTTTTGCACAGTTTTACGCATCGACCATTTTGCTTTCTCTCATGCGGGATGAAAGGTGGAAAGCAGTTCGAAAAGAGGACGCGCTAACATGCCACGCCCCAGTCATGACCATCCCCCTCAACATCCTCTGGCGCAGCCGCATCCCCCGCGCCCAATCCCTCGCCCTCGGCGGCGTCTTCTCCCTCGTCCTCGTCACCATTACCATCGCCATCGTGCGCGCCGCGCTGTCCACCGTCGGCGTAACAAAGCAGATGGACTCACCGTGGGTGCTCGTCTGGAGTGCCGCGGAAGCCAACATCGCCATCGTTGTCGCGTGCATTGGGTCGTTTCGGATGCTGTTTGTTGTTGCTAATCGGAGGGAGGAGGGGATGCGGCGTGGGGAGATTGATATCAGGGGGTTGGGTTTGGGTGCGAGGAGAAGGAGGATGGTGGTCAAAAGTACGACGGTAGAAGGGGGCCAGAGTGTTGAGGAGATGGCGAGTGTTGGGGGGAGTGGCGCCGAGTGGGGGGAAATGGGGGCGGTGGAGAGCACGGTGAGGAGCAGTACAGTGGCGGAGGGGAGTACGATGCAAAGTACCATGCCGAGTACGTTAGCGACAGGAAGTACGATGGAGAGTTCTGGGGGGTGGAGGACGAGTTCGAGGACTTAGGTATGCTTGGTTTGGGATTGGCGTTGGACGGCACTTGTAATGGGTTCGGGTTATTTCGGGGGTTCCGATCTGGACACAAGGACGCTATATACCACTGGGCATCGCAGTACATGTATTTCTTGTTTTACTACAATGGATTGGGATTTGTACGCACGCTCTGTATGCATAATTGTCATGTCTGGTTCCAAAATGGCGTTTCGTTTGATCTCTAAATTTATATTTTGTATCGTTGGGGCTTTCGATCTGTTCAATATATGTGTTTTGGCCGTGCATAAGGTTGCGGGAGACATGTGCAGATCCCGGAGCCGTGGAAGACAATAGGGAAGCGTCCGTGGGTGCCCCCTCATACTTACCACAGAGGTTCGTCACCTATACCTCTCGGAATCCCCACATCCCAGATCTGCTGGTCATTGGAACAAAGAACCGCTCCCCGATCTCCTTGCGCAACTAGTTCCACAGACTCGTCGCACCGTCTACTCGTGCCACTAGCCCATCTTGCATTTCCGTTCTTCCCAAGTGGCACAAGATTTCCATCAAGCCTATCACTATCCGGCATGTAATTCCAAGTTTTGGATCCCCATATAGCATCAAGCAACCTGTGATACAGTATGAAGTTTCCGTCAGCTTGCTTGTCAGCATGACCATACCATTCGCCGCGCTCAGTGATTCGCTAATCCCACGCACGCCACCCTTGCTCACGACTACCGTTAGGCTGGGAATGTGTCCATCGGAGGACTCCACATACTCCTCCGATTCGTTATGGTCGCACATGAATATCCCCTTGTAGTTCCTCTGCGCATCATCGCAGATCTTTCCGGTGTTGGTGCCATAGCACGTACCTGGCAAGCGCAAGCCCTCACGCTCCTCTTTACTACGCAGAGGAATATTGGTCAGTGGCATGGCGAAGCGTACCTTCTTTTGGTCGACCTTGGGCTCGGAAACGGCAGTGACAACCGGATGGGCGAAACGTACCTTCTTCTCCTTGCTGCTGGGCAAGAACGGATCTGGGCTTGCGTTGGAAGTCGCTGGAAAGAGCGACGACACCGTCTCTGAGCTGGCGCGGGCGTTGATCGAAGGAACCGAGGACACGGTTGAAATAAACGAAGACGAGAACGAGAACGAGAACACGGATGAGTACGAGGGAATCCGGCCTGCCGGACTACGGTTACGCCGAGTGTTCAAATAGGTCTCGCTCCCGCGATGGAATCCCGTGAAAGACGAGAGATCCATGTTTTCTGTTTTGAGGTTGAGGCGCGTGAAGGCGTGGCGGTGGTACAGACTGGGACGCTTCGGAGGTGGAGGTAGGGTGTAGAGAATCTTGCTGTGAGTCTGGTCGTCGTGTGATGTGATGCCAGGATAGTGCTTTGGTGATGTTTGCTGAACTGACCTTGAGGTGGCTTATATATGGAATATATCAGGCCTTATAGGCTCTTACTTAACGAGGGGAACATGCAATAAGGTCCATTGTTCATGTTGTGAGTGAACAAGGTTGCCCTTTGGCCAAATAATAGCGTCGCAGTAGGCTGTGGCATCGCGCGAGATCCAACTACAGCAATACTTTCGTTCTTTCCAGCTATTATTCTCGCTAGTATATTGGCAAAGACCGGACTAGTCCAGCGTTAGTGGCTACGTGGGAGCCCTCAGCTACTCAGTTCATAGGTTTATGCGCTAACCCTAATTAGCGGCATTATGAGTACAGTAGCTGGAAATGAGCAAGATAGGAGGATGCACCGTGGGTGGTGCGATATCGCTCTGCGGGGTGCAAGTGCGCTTGACTGAATCAAGGTTGATCTCTACGGCCGCTTCAGCTAGCGTGGCATAAGAGCGATTGGTAAGAGGCCATTAGTAAAAGCTGGATTGGCAAACTGCTCAACTTCCATAGGTACCAAGGAACCTATGGTATTATTGGAAGCCTTCCCTCCTGTATTGAACGTTGCGCCAAAACAATCCGACCATGGACGCCGTCAACACAGCACATGTTGGGGATACACCCATCACGTGCGTCAACATGCACACTACTGGCGAGCCTACTCGTATCATCATCTCCGGCTACCCCGATCTTAGCGGCACGCTGTTGGAGCAACGGGTCGAAGCCAGGGCAAAGCACGACCACATACGCAAGCGGTTGATGTTGGAGCCTGCCGGCCATGCAGTAAGCAAAGCACCTGTACAAAGTGGATGTGTGGGGAAGGAAAGACCTTTCTCGCATATCTGAGATATATACACCATGCGGTCTTGACTCATAATGACTTTTCCCCCGTACTATAGGACATGTACGGGGCTATATTGATAAAAGAGACGGAGCTCACTAAGTCTGGTGAAGCACACGTAGGAGTTCTTTTCCTGACCAATGAAGGTTATAGCACGATGTGTGGACATGCAACTATTGCCCTCGGCCGGTTGCTTGTTGATACACAGGATCTCAGTGTCTTCCCACGTCGAAAAGATGTGCAACATGATCCTCACACAAAGACGGCTGTTGTCAATCTCCATGCTCCGTGTGGACTCGTCCGAATAACTGTTCCCACCACCGAAGACGGAACTCAATCTGATCCAACGCGTCCGGTGACGTTTGTGAATGTTCCATCTTTCGCCACGGGCAAAGATATCAGAGTGGATGTCCCTGACGCCGATGTCTGGCCGGAACTGGGGCAACGGGGACATGTCAAAGTTTCGTTCTGCTACGGTGGGGCGTTCACATGTCTTGTTTCAGTAGAAGAGCTGGGGTTCGACAATTTGAGGCAGCCGCTTGATCATTCAGCGTTGACCTTCGCGACTCGCAATCTGAAGAGCATTGTCAATCGCGAACATCAGTACCAAAAGTATATCACCCACCCTGAACACAACGATCTCAGCTCGGTTTATACCCTCATTGTAGTAGACAAGAGTTTGGGCAAACCAATCGGAAATTCGAAAGGTGCAGAGACTGGGCTCTGCTACTTCGCGGATCAGCAGATTGATCGCTCGCCGACTGGTAGTGCAACTGCCGCAAGGGTAGCTTTCGCTTTCGCTACTGGTGACTTGGCTCTCGGGGAATCATGGACTTATCATTCCTTGGTATCGAACGCGTCAAACGGGCAAGGCGGGTTCGTGGGCACGGTCTTGGAAACTATTCCTGAGTTGTACGACGAAGAGACAATGCTCGCACAACCGGTGTGCGTAAGGGTGTCAGGCCAGGCCTTCTACGTCGGATCGAGTACTTACGTCTCGGAAACTGAAGATCCGTTCGGGAGAGGTGGTTTCCTCTTCAACAACTTGTAGTGCATTCAAAAATCATGTCTGTCAACATGCTGTCAAGTACTTCTGGGCTGTTTTGCATCACAGATGCAAGCGGACTTTTCTTAGTCCAAGGCCAGTCGTTGTTCACGAATGATTTTCCTAAGTGTGATCGTGTTGAGTTGGGGAGCGTTGATGCGGGGTACGCTTCCTGATTCAGATTCACGTATGTGCGTTCAGGAACAGCTCGATCCCAGCAACCAAGAACCAAGTGTTGGCCTTTCCCGGTGCGCAGGTGAGTTTGGCCTGGAAACAGCTGATGTAACTCTTGGCATCTTTTGTTTTCAGCATCGGATTTAGCATTGCTAGCATACCATAGGTACGCGAATACCTAGGAGATTGCGAACAATACATGCTAGGAGTGGCAAGATTCTCCGTACGGAGTTTGTCGACATGGCGACCTTGCATACACGGATTTGATTCCCCACGATTTGACTCGTGGAGCTCCGTGCGCACCCTCCCCACTTGTGCATCGGGCCGCGCCACGATCGTGAGGAGAACCTGAACAAGCACATCTACTCAATCTGCAACTTCGTTGAGGTCTTTGCCGGTATTCTGGACCCATACCTGCTTCCGCCTCACACGTCTACATTGTATGTCGTTAGCGTCGTCAAGACCGATCTAGACTCTCGAACTGGTCATGCATTATTTTGCTGGCTATAAACAACTTAAGAGTCATTACCTAAACCCGAGAGATGCTCAGATGCGTCTGAGCAGCGTCTCCCTCCTGGACGACATCCTCTACATACGTCCGAGTCATCATGCAATCATACTATCCATAAACTGGCTTCTGGGAGTAACCAGGGAACTGCTTCAGCTGCTCGTTATCGATGGCTTGCAACTGCGGGCAGCCAAGCTTGCCAATAATGCTACCTACAGCGTTCGTCAACTGATCCAACACACCGAGGACCGCGTCAGGCTTCGCTTGGGCAGACAGCTGGTACACGAAGCATGCGAAGTTGTTCCCTTGCAGCAGGTTTGCGGAGTTGAAGACGCCGCCGGTCAGGTCGGCAACATCCACACCGACGAAGGAGTCAGTGGTTCCCGTGTTGCTGTCATCAAGTCAGTATTAGAATATGGAGACGAAAGAGCCAAGTAACTAACCCGCCAATGTCGAGAAACTTGGGATGAAGAGCAGCCGCGTTTAATGCGTCCGCAAGGAAGTATTCGGTATCATACGGGTACTCGATCGCGCGGCGGTACTATTCGAAAGGTTAGCATGATTGTGTTTATTCGCAACAGTATCCACCCAACGTACCCAGTTCTCAGGGATGCGCTCGGTTCCCTGGACGGCGTTATAATTCTTATTCGAACCTTGCACACCGAACCACGATTGGATAACGTCGTATGACAGCTGGCCTGCAGGGTGTTCGGCACTGTGGTTGGCCATGAAGCGGTAGATGAATGTGTACGCAGCAGGTTGCACAAGCACTCCCGAGAATGGGCCATTGAAGAATCTTGGGTTCTGGGAAATCTGAGTATCAAACCGGTGTGATCGGAACGAAGTGAGTGAGTCCAGCGTAACCTCACCTCCAGGTGAGTAGTCGATCAATTCCTGGAACTGCGAAGTAACAGTCTTGTAGTTGTTCCCTGACTGGTACAAATCAGGTCTAGTGGGAGAAGCATCACCCTCATACTTGTTGTGCGACCCAATTAGTCCATTTCCCAAGACGCCAGTGACGCCGCCCTGAGCAAGAGACGGCGTGCCACCCATACTCCAGTTCAGTATATCGCCATCGATGGCTCCGCCCAGAGCAGACAAAAAGATCGACAGTAATGGACCCATGCCAACAACCTTCGTTGTGGCATCGATGTATTGTGTGACGGAGGCGTACCCATTATGGGGGAGGAAATCTTGGAAGACATCAGTGTGGAATCAATAAAGTTGCCCTGAAGAGTACTCACTGTGGTTCGCAAAGGCATTCAGACCAGGGCATGGGCCTCTGAGATCATTCGGCCCGGGAGCCACGTACTCGTGTCCCGAGCCCTTTGTCACATTGATATACTGTGCTTGAGCATTGAATGTGTTCACCGGCTCGAAGATTCCAGTTGCGGCATCTGCACCAGCCTGTCGGTTCTCAAGTAGCTTCGCGATTTCCGCAGCACGCTTCAAGATGGACGGGTCGTGGGCTGCGGCTTCAAGTACCGCAGTTGGGAAGGCGCTCGCCAACGGCGCAAAGCATACCAAAAATGAGGGAAGACTGGATTGTAAGCGCATATTGATGGAGTACGATCGACCTGAGCATTCGGTCGTGGCCGTGCGCTTTCACTTATATCGTTGCTCGCAGATATGTTGCCGCTACTTGCCGTGGTACTAGAGCATCGGGAGGGGTATGTTGGGCCAACAACATCGCCGTCTTACACCATACACGACATCGACACTGCCTAAACAGGCAAGGCACCCATCTCACAACATAAAAAAGTTCCTCGGCATCAACCTTGATGGTAAACTCCCCGCTGTCGATCTCCAAATTAGCTGACGGAAGCACGGTCTTCCGGCCCTAATCAGCAACCCTCTGATTGGACAGACTAGTTCCAAATATCTAACACGAGCAGACTACAACCCGATTTGGCCTTTCGGACCTCCTGTCACTCCTTTTTGGGACATCTTCCATGGATTCGACGTCATTTTCGCGATGTGTGATCTAACAATCGTAGATCACGATACCCTTGGGTAGTAGTTGACAACGCTACATTCGACGCCATGTTTTCCCCACGATGGCTGAAGTGGAATTATGGAGAAGTGCCTCGGTCTGTTCAGCTCTCCCGGATTTTGCGATTGGATAGAGTCCTTAAGCAGAAGTGGCGATGGTTTGTATAGTATCATGCTCTACGAATCGATAGCCGGGTCAAAAGAATCTAAACTCCCGAAGGGCAGGTGCCAAACTCAAGCATAACTAGGACCCCTACAAACCTCATCTTGTACACGCTGTTCTGCCTCCAAGTTCACGCCTGACTACGATGGCCACAGCGTCAGCAAGACGCCAGTGACGCCGTACTTTGCGCCACCAGCCGTAGTTTGTGGAACCTCAACATGTCTTCGTAGGTCTAAGGTGATAACCCCGCCTCTCTGATGCGGCCAAGGAGCCTCAGCGTTTGCTCATTCATCCTACCGCCCCAAAATCGAAACCTTGAAGTGGCGCATAGAACGATCATCTGATCTTTCTTCAAGTGCTCCTCACATGCAAAACAGTAAGCGTAGCAGAGTGTGAAGCGTGTGAAGAAAACACTGGTCGGTGATGCGACGCCCTTGTTTTATTGCCACAATAGTAAAGGCGACTTTGCTCAGGATCACCATCATAGACGCTCACTTCCACCTGCAGCGCAGCATGATCGAGGCTCGTGCAGGGACTTCTTCTACAACTCAATCCCTTTCACGGCTATTAATAATCTGACCATTGTCACAATAAAACCTACAAGAGCACATGGCATTATCCATCGTAATTACAATTGGCCAGAAACTGAGGGTAATTTCGATCCCTGTTGAGCCGTACAGGTCTCCATTTATACCACCTATAAAGTCTTTTCGAGCAGGCTATTAACATGGAACGTGTATTCGTATTCAATAAAGCTTTGAGACTCTACGTAATAGTGTAAGGAAAATCTGCTACGGAAATTGCAGAAGTTTTCACGAGTGCCAGGTCTTCCGTGTATGTGCTGCAAGACCTAGATTCAGTTAGAAAGACGCTGAAGTTTCCTGTACCTAGATAGTCTAATACTTGCCGCATTTCATGTGTCAGCAGCTGCGATCACGCCAAATCTGCTATGCAGAATTTGTGCGCGATACGCAACGGTATAATGGCTTTACTCACGTACCTCTTAACTGATAGCCCATAGATTCAAACTGAACCAGTTCTCCAATGACCTCCTTTTCGCCAAAATGACATACGCTTGGAAAATTCGAACCGCTTTTTGGCTATGCTCGTACCGATCATTTTAGAGGCAGCCTCTTGCAAATTACCCCCGCGCGCGATCTCTGTCGAGCACAAGAGTTGCCCTAACCCAAGCTACTTCAATTTGCGACACTACAAAGCTCTGTTACGATGATCCAGGCCCATATAATCTTGCATGGCGGTCCACTTTTCCTGATTTGAGAGACACGTGGGTCGCACGTGGAGTTACCCCGTGGGGAAATTGGAGCGCAAGCGCGGTGTGGCTTGCGGAAACCCCAACGTAGTAGTCAATTCCACAGCGAAATCCCGCATTAGTGGTACCGAACCCCAGACTGGATGGTGGAGTTTTCCGTGTTCTAGGTGACCCTATCCAGACCGACGGATACAAATACACCATGAAGATCCTCGTAAAAGACTCACTTCAGCAACCACTAGGCCACACCGACGTTACTCATCATTAATTCGGTCTCCGCGCTTCATTTTCGCTCATCATGGCCATTGCAGAGGTCAAAGACATCAAGGAATTCGCAACGCACCATGAGTTCACGGAAGACATCGCCATCTCCAACCAAGTGGACATACTCGAGTTGGATGCCATCGAACAAACACCAACTGGAAAATTCGTATGGCTTGTCACTCTTACCGCCTCGATCGCAGGCGCACTATTCGGGTACGATACCGGTATCATTTCAGCTGTGCTCGTGTATCTGGGCACAGATCTTGATGGTCAAAACATGAACGCGGGACAGAAGGAAGCCATTACCTCACTATGTTCTGGTGGCGCCTTCTTCGGTGCCATCATGGCTGGTCTCACTGCCGACAAGTACGGTCGCAAGGCAGGCATTTATGTTGGCTGTGCCCTATTCACCATCGGTGCGATTCTCCAAGGAGCAGCATACACCTTCGCGCAAATGTGCGTCGGCCGTCTAATTGTCGGATTTGGTGTCGGCTCAGCTGCCATGATCGCGCCTCTATATATTGCCGAAATTGCACCTACTAAGTACAGAGGCCGCATGATTGGACTCAACAACATGTCGATTACTGGTGGCCAAGTCATTTCTTATGCCATTGGTGCCGGGTTCGCGCACGTTCCCAACGGCTGGAGGTGTACGTAAGCTCGGGTTACACGTTTTAGGTGCTGGGTGGAAGGAATATCTGAATTCTTTCAGATGTTGCTTACGCACTCTAGCCTAGCTCAATCCTCTCCTCTCCCCTAATTCTCTATCCCTCAATAGAATGTACATATCACTGACTTGTACCCCCAACTTTAGACATGGTCGGCCTCGGTGGTGTTCCTTCGATCGCATTGGCTTGTCTGCTACCCTTCTGCCCGGAGTCTCCTCGCCAGTTGATCTTCCGTGGGCGAGAGGATGAAGCGAAAAAGGTATTTGCACGCGTCTTCCATGCTGCGACCGAGGAGCAAATCAACAACAAGATCCGCCTGATCAAATCCTCCATCGAGCAGGATTTGACAGTCACCGAAGGTAAAACCCGGTGGCGGCTCATCAAGGAATTGCATACGGTTCCGCGCAATTTACGCGCCCTGGTTGTAGCGTGCGGCTTAATGGTCATCTCCCAAATGAGCGGCTTCAACACGCTCATGTATTACTCTTCCACGTTATTTGCCCTGGTAGGCTTCTCGAATCCCACAGCAGTCGGTCTCGTCGTCGCTGGTACGAATTTCGTCATGACTGCGATCAATGGGTTTGTCGTTGATCCATGGGGCCGCCGAAAAGTGCTTGTCACGCTTTCCTGGGGTATGTCAGCTGGACTTTTGGCTGTAGCTGTGGCCTTCATCTACATTCCTATCAACACTGGAACTCTTGAGCTTGAGCAGTCGACTGTTTCCACGGCCGCCGTTGTCGTCTTGGTCTTCATCATCTGGTTTGTAGTCTTTTACGGTGTCACTGTGGGCAACACCGCCTGGATGAGCACCGATTTCTTCAGTCAGGAGGTACGCAGCATGGGCACTATGTGGCTAACCTGCTCTTGCTGGGCATCTAATGGTAAGTCAGCCATATCAAAGCAGTAAGACGTTTGCTCACCCACGATAGTCATCGTCTCCTCCACGTTCCTTACGCAGATGCACTCTCTCACTCCCTGCGGGACCTTCGGCTTCTACACTGCCATCTGCTTCATTGGCTGGCTTCTCATCATTTTCTTCTACCCTGAAGTCTCAGGGCTCACAATTGACGAGACGACTGAGGTGTTCGACAAACCAACATTCAAGATGGTCAGTGAAGCTCGGAAGCTGAGAAACGAGCGCAGGGCTGCTGGCCAGCTCCTAAAGGTTGAGAAGTCGATGGGTGGACACTAGAGCGGAGAAGGACGTGCCCTGGGTCCCTGTCACAGGCGTATGGGGCGACATGTTGCCGTCTGTGCGCAACACGTGTGCTTACCGCGCAAAACTTTGACCGCTTTAGGTAGTTCTTTTGCGACGGAATCGATCCGTAGTTCAGCATCTTATAGAATATCGTTTGCGAGCCAAGGTCTCTGGCTGAACCCATGTAGTACTTCCTGCGGGCGGTGCAAAGCTTGCCGTCTCCATAACCCATACCCCGTGGTTGGGAACCGTTTACGTGGGGCTAATCCCGGATCTAGTAGCAATAAATTTCTAGTAATACTGTAAGAAAAGTCTTTCGACGGGTCTCATGGAGTCGAGCCAGTTCGGATTTGAATTACCAGCGATGATCGCCGACAAATAGACAACTCTGAGTCTGTTGACTACGCGTGGATTGGAAGTGTGCTTCGCCCACAAAGACTATGCTGACAGACAACGGTACAGTGGATCTCCGACAGAGGAGCATCCGAATACCCTGCTCTGTGAATAATCAAGACGCTACGCTCGCTTGGCAACACCATACCAAGAGCCAACCCTTATACTTCTGTTCATGAAACCAATGCTTCGCCCCTAGCGCTAATCTTGGACGGAAGTTGTTGCTGTTCGCCATCCTAAGTTGGAGTTCGTTGCGAGAGATGAGTATGCCTGAAAGTCTGCGCCTTTGTCCTAGAGGTTGTCACGAGGCTATAAAAGACACTAGAAACTTCGTACACTACCTTTCCACAGCCGAGTTGTTTTCCTCTTCTCTTGAAATGCCTTGTAATGCAATCTCTCTCGTCGTGGCACTCACTGCAGTGGCGCCCGTCTTCGCGTTTCACAACTTCAATCCTGATTTCCTGCCCAAGCATAGCGAGCTTGACGTATCGCCGTTATACAATGGACTCCCACCTGAAGGGATCGATCAATTGGCGCTAGGCTTCTATGCGACCCAAGCGATCACCGATCCAATAGAGCTCGAAGTTGAGGGTGATATACCACCTTGGGTTTCTGGATCACTATATCGGGGTGCACAGGCTACTTGGGACGTGGGCAACTTCACTTCGGAACACTGGTTTGATGGATTTTCGCGACAACATCGATTCGAGATCAAGAATGGTAAGGTCACTTACCGAAGCCGTAATGGAAGCGATGAGGTCCAAGATTGTGAGTCGTCTCTCGAGTCTTCGCGCGTCGTTACAGACCTAGCTTACACAAAGTAGTTGTTCGAGAGACCGGACTTTATCCCGGCGGAAGTTTCGGCAACGACCCATGCAAGTCAATCTTCGGTGCCTTCGAAGTGACATTTCGAGACAAGAGCGGCAACAAGGGCGATAGCGATAAGAACAGTGTAGCCATAGCGCATATCAAGAACTTCCCCGGCCTCGCACGCAACTCGACGAACTTTGGACCGATGGTGAATCTGGTAATAACAACCGACGGAGGCAACGCGTTGCAGCAGATTGATCCAGTCACGCTGGAGCCGATCGAGCTTTTCATATACGACGGCCCCAATTTCTCGAACCCAGGATCGACGTTCACGTCTGCGCATCCAGGCATTGGGCCGAACCATGAAGTCTACAATTACATCTTGGATTTCCAAGCAGATCCTCCTATTTATCAGGTCTTTGCCATCGAAGCCGATGGCCGAGGTCGTGTGCTAGCCAACATAACCGATGCGCCTCCGGCATACATTCATTCCGTGTCCAGTACTGAGAATTACGTGATCCAAATAATCTGGCAATCGGACCTTGGGCCTCCCCCAGAGGAGGGTGCACCTCTCCTCGATTTTATCCAGCCTTGGGATCCTGAGCGACGTACTCTCTTTTATGTGATTGACAAGAAGAACGGTGGTATCGTTGCAGAGTACACTGCACCGGCCTTCTTCGCGTTCCACGAGGTGAACTCTTTCGAAGACGGAGAAGATATCGTGATAGACCTCGCCGTCTTTCCCGACAATTCCTGGCTCGAGAATGCTCGGCTCGTGCACCTTCGCAAAGTCGGCCCAAACAATCCAAACATCGATATCGACTTGGCCGCCAGATTCCGCCGGTTCCGACTAGGGAACTTTCGCGACGCTCGGGAAGGCGACGATCTCGAAGCAAAGATCGAGCTTGAGATCCCATATGATATCGGAAACATTGAACTCCCACGCATCAACGACAATTACCACCATAAACCATATCGATATGCTTATGGCGTGCATACCGTGAAGCGTGGCTTCTTCGTCGACTCCATAGTCAAGATTGACATCGAGACGCAGACTACGACCCTTTGGGTTCCAGAAACCAATCATCTTCCCTCCGAGCCGATCTTCGTGCCTCGCCCGGGATGCGACGATGAGGATGACGGTGTCTTGTTGTCAGTAGCAATGAACTCGGCGACCAGCCGCAGCAATTTGGTCGTCATTGATGCAAAGTCCATGAAAGAGCTTGGAAGAGCAAAGATGCCTATCGCAATGGGATATGGCTTCCATGGACTTTGGGGAGCCTGAAGGAACTCTCATCTTGTGTTGGACGTCATCTCGCGAGAGGTCCTATCTCTCGGACCATCAGTCTGTGTTAATCACTTTGTATGTGCCCTGTAATTTGAAATCGATCTGAAAGGTAGATAAGCCGTGCCTTTCCATAGAGTGATTTGCCCGTCTATGTTCGCCCAAGTGTACAGGTCTAGTCCCGGCTTATTGCTACTGGGGATGCATCAGTGACCCTGGGAAAGACCCTGAGGATCACAGATAGCCGTTGGCCTGAATGAGCGTACAATTAGCATGGTTAGTGTGGGATCACACTTACCCGCAACAGGGAGCATTGCGAAGGAAGGCTGGCTCACACGTGAGGACGCAGCGGCTACTCCGAGCCCCTTTGTAGGGTTTTATGGCCATACCAACGGCTACCAGCACGCGTGCTGTGATGGGATAGGAATGCGAGGAGCTGAGGGGGGCCGCTTCCGCACGGATAAGCCGCCATTGTTGCATCCCGTTTCGCAATCCATCCCCAATTCGGTATAGCGCCCTCACTCTCTTCCACTAGCACTCGACCACGAACGGGCTATAACAATGTCTGGTTAGGCTCTACAATATTCAAACAAGGTCCTGAGTTGAGTGTAACTAGATTCTAGTTCGCATTTCCGATCGTACGAAAGGTATTCTATAAGATATCGCAAGAGATGGCCGCACCAGCTCCTGCCTGTCCAACAACGTCCTCCATCACGCAACACGATCCATTCACATCAATTCCTTCCTCCGACAACGCCCCGATGCTTCCTCTCTTCACCGTCCTGATATTCGGATTCCGTGCGCCCAACACCACCATTCAGGAATACAGAAACCACTACGACAATGTTCACGTCCCACTTGCGAAGTCATTGACTGGCGCCGCCTTCCCAATTTCACATACGCGTCACTATTTCGGCGAAAACGCAACCCTGGCAGCAATTTCAGCGCCTGTTCAATGGGACTCATTGGCGGTGCTGACATTCAAAGACGACACGCACGCGGGCACATTCAACTACCTCCTCAGCCAACCAGAAGCAGCAGCGAAGATACATGCGGATGAGAAGATATTCATGGCTGATGGCAGTCCGAAGATGGTAGTGATTGGAAAGGATACGTCGATCACGGAGCCATAGTTGACAGTCGAAAGACCTCGGGTTGCTACAGCAATGGTGCAGGACAAACGAGGAGAATCTGACGACAAGGGGGTGTACATCTCAGTGGTGGGACTTCTCCACGATATGTGATAGCGCAAACCCTGGTGTCTGCCCATTCTCGGGAGCTGCTATTATATCGATGGAGAGTGAAATGCTATCACAGCAATGACGACTATTATTTGCAAACACTAGTCATGCCACCAGAAATTACATTTTAAGATGATCTAGGTGTTGAGTCCTCCTGCGAAGGCACATATTTCTTAATCCTGGATATTTTGATTCTACGGGAAGCTTATTATCTCACTCCCTTCCACAAAGCTCTCATGTTTTCATGCTCATAGGTTTTGATCTCTGAATGCGTCCAGATGGGCGAGAGCGCACATTCTTCTTATCCCGTCGTTTTTGTGATTCGTGGAAGCAGCGAACACGAAATCTCCGACAGGCTATTTCTGTGTCTAAAGCTTATAGGCGGTAGTTATTTTGTTGTTTATTTCCATGCCTCCGTTTCTTTACGTTGTGTCACGGCCCTAGTTACAGACAGTCATCAGTCATGAAGAATCTTTTCACTGCATACGTAACGTACACAGAGCAAGGAGCAAACATCACTATGGTGATACAATTTTTATTTATTCGCACAGCCAATCCACATGAATCGATCTCCCGCACGCTTTTCGCTCTCACCTTACTTGCGAAGAAATGTTGCCTCAAAGCAAGAACATATAGATCGACACTGGCAGTTCTTGTAGTTTCACAGAAGAATGCACTCCTATGTAGGTTTTGGCTTCTGCTTTGGGCATCCAAAGAACACCTATGTGGCATCTTGATGTAAGATTCAAAGATCATGATAAACCACCATTGGCGATTTTTGTACTATGTGAAAGCAATCCACATCCAATCATTTTCCCATGTCTTGAATGTTCGCAAGTAACATCAAATGGGCTCCTCCTTTGATATGTGGAGACATACCTAGGGCGTCCGTGTAATTCACTTGATAGTATTTTGAGGTTCTCCAAGCATGAACACATGCCAGGGCTTTTCCGGACTGTATGCTCTTCGAAAGAAACCAAAATCTTGCTAGTGAACGTGAAAACCCATACGGTTATTCGCATCTTGCTTTCTAAGTCTTCGAGAGACGCGCATTTAATCTTCGTAGTGGAATTTTGTGTCCTCGTCACCGCCCTTGCCTTCATGGCCGATCCTTTTTCTAGTCCCTGTAAAGCTGCACATGAGGTCTTCCTGGAATCGGTTTGCCTTGCCGGAAGTAAATCATATGACCGTGGCAATAAAGTCTTTTGTACTTAGAAAGCACACATACGCCCTGGATGCATGATTTTTGGTCTTTCCCAGGCGCAACCTGGAAATAACGAGCGAGAGGGTCATGGTAATACCTGAGGCGCGAACATGCCATTTGAGAAGGCCCTTGAGGATCCCTAATCAACGCCGATACGCTGTTGGGATGCTAGTCTTCTAGTTGTTTCACGCGAACACATGGATTTCTCTTAGAATACTTTTGCTCACCTTCTAAAAGGAGCCCACATGGCTTCGAGTTTGTGAGATTTTGGGTCGCCCTCAGATGCGCACAGGTCTGCTCGGGTGGCCCATTTGGCCTTTCATCCCACCATGTACATTGTCTTATTTGTCTTGTCTTTTTAGACCTTCCCCTCACAATCACACACATGGCTTCTGGCAGCTTGAAATACAGTCCTCGCCCGAGAGACACCCATATAACACACCGCGGATGATCTTTTAGGCTCCGCAAGTTCCCGCACATGATTCTGCCCTGTCTGGACTATGGCACCTGCTACATCCCATTCACACATGTCACCGGCAGGGGGTTCAAGTCCTCCATCTCCCCGTCGCAGACTTGTACTTCTTGTTCCAGACATATTTAGTACCGTCCCCGCGATGCACATGGCTCTGAGACGTTTCCGTTTTTGGTCCCCCTCCTAAAGCAGAGAAGAATTCGAAAGCGTGCTCTCCCAGCCAGCGAAACCGCGGCCTTATATGCACACCCATCTGGCTGAAAGAGCGTGAGACGCAGTACTTCCGATCACCTGGGCGGCATTGGGCTGTGATGCTGCGCTTTGCCATGATATGTGTCGGAGAATGAGGGACGGGGGAATGCTCGTTGTCCATGTCGCTTTTGGTCCTACCGTTCCCCGGCCGCGCAAATGAAGGTGGCTTGTATGTTCTTGGCCACCACCCCAGCCACCACCTGCATATATCTCTTGGCTATCTTTGGTAATCTCTAGCTTTCTGCCCTAGACGGACACATGATGTTCTTTTGTAATGTTTTGGGTCTCCACGCCTAGCGAACCACATGATGGATAGGTCTGGTTGTTCTAGTCTTCCTCCTCGTCGCCGAGTTATGGGTCTTTGCGTTGTACGCTTGTAGTCCCTATTCCAGAGGAGAGAAGAGCGCAGATGTGTGTCCTTCCACCCAGCAGATAGCTCTGCTTATATACCTGCTGGACGGCGACGAGACGGCGCACTATGAAAGCCGCATTCGAAGCGCGTCATCGGACGATGACGAATAGCATGATCACGCCAACCAGATAGAGTCACTTGATTCTGAGATTGTCATTGCAATAATTGTAATAGTAGTTTCGGCGCTTCATGTGTAGTGACGCCTGTACCCATAACGCCTTCATCTCTACTCACTCGCTCGCTAGCACATCACTTCCCGCTCAGATACCCATCGTACCCAATGCTATCACCTCTATGCCTCACTGCTCCCTAGCATGCCCATGTCCTTCTACTCCTTGAACTCCGCATCCACACTCTCAAACCTCTCTAAGAAACTCTGAAACGTAAACACGCCCAGTCCAGGATCCAAGCTCCCCGTCGTCGCCCTAATAGAATGCATACTCAATTGCGGAATCCCGCAATCAATCGCTCGGATCCCCGTCGCGGCACTAAGCATCGGGCCCACAGTCCCTCCACTTCGGCTATCATTGCGGATCTGGAAGACCTGGAGCTTGGGATCCTGCTTGCGGGCGCCGACATCAGCGTCCACGCAGCGCTGGAGGATGGCGGTGGATACGGCGTCGGTGGTCATGTGGGCGTTGGGGTCTGCAGATACCGCAGGTCCGACGTTGAGACGCGGGGCGTGGTTCTCGAGGTACGCGTTCAGGAAGTTGGGGTTCACGGCGTGAATCACATCTGAGGAGACGAGGAAGGAATTTGCGTAGGTGCGGGAGACAAGAGAGCGGACGGAGGAGGAGGCGAAAGCGTCGACGATGCGCTCAACGACGGAGGGGAGGAAATTGCCGCGGGCACCTTGGCGGAGGAGCGAGCCGACTTCTTCGTCGTCGAAGAGGGCTACGAGCTTGATTTGCGAGGAGGAGGCGGTAGTTGTGTTCAGGAGGGCTTGTATGGCTGCCCAGGAGCAGAGCTTGTCGTCGATCCGGCCTGCGAAGATGAACTCTTTGCCAAGACCACCGAGCTGGGCCGGCTGGATGTCGAAGAGTTCGAGCTCCCAGTTGACGATGGTCGAGTCTGTTTGGTGTTAGTTGGTTCATGTAGGGTTGTTTTACGGTATCTTACAATCGCGGACACCGATCTCATCGCTGATCGCCTTAACAAGCCTCTCTGGCTGAGTCGCTGCGAATGTTCCCTCGCTCAGGATGGTGGACTTGAAGTCTCCTTGCTGATTAGTCTGGGCGGGGCTGCCAAGATCCGAATTATCTATGCCAACGATGGGCACCATCTGTGTTTCCTTGTTGAAAGGTCCTACAGCTGCAGCCCCGAAGTGCGGTGCTAGCGTAGGTACGCGGGCAATGGGCCAGTCCAGTTTCACCAGCTTCGTCACGATTTTTCCGTTCTCCTTGACCAGAACACGGCCACCAATGCCGAGATCGCGGTCCCACCATGTCTCGTTTAGACCCCCAGCATACGGAGCCACTCCAAGCTGTACGTAGCCTGCCTTGGTCCGCAAGTTGGACACAGGCTTCAGCTTGGCGGTCAGTGCGTCAATGTGCCCAGCGACGATAGCAGCACCATTTCCAGCCTTGTAGTCGTCACCAACAGAGAAGGCAATGATCGAGGAGCCATTGCGGTCAACATAGTATTTTCCGCCCTGCTTCAACTCCCAGTCATCACGCTCCGAAAGCTTCTTGTACCCCGCCTTCTCCAGGTCTTTCGCGACAGCGTCCACGGCATGGAAAATGGTCGGGTTCGCGGTCATGAAGTCGGTGAACGGCTTCGTGTATTTCTCAGGGCCCTCCTTCTCCCGCGCCGGCTCTTGCCTCTCGAAAGCCGGTATCTCGGGGATCTTCGGGGGCACAGGGGGCGGACTCTGCTGCTCCTGGGACGCCTCACAATCGTCGTTCAAATCGATTAGATTCGACGAGTAGGGCGCAGCAATGCTGTGCCTGTGGTTCTCTTGCAGCGCAGGCCTGCAAGCGGACCCATCGATGGGTTGCTCGCGCGGATCGGCGTGCAGCCTCGCCAGTCGCTGGGTTTGATACGCCTGCGCATGGACGAATGGGTTCCTCGGCCGGTGGGGAGCAGTCGTAGTTGTGAACGCGCGCGATAAGCTTGCGTGCCGCGGGGCGGGCGATGGCTCAGCGTAGAGGTCCGCGTTCGAGACGCTCTTGCGAAGAGCGGGGTGATTCTTGGTCATGTTCGCTCCCTGGTACAGCAGAGATGCGCAGGGTGTAGAATAGAAGGCTTAAAGGTGTGTGTGTGAAGGGAGTGAAGCTGAACAGGTGTCAGGCATGTCGTACGCAAGCTCCCATGTGGCGTTCTGTGGCGGTGCTTTTTGGCTCCTTCCTGATGCGGAGAGCATCCCCCATCCGCCCGCTAAACGCGTGATAACACCAATGCCCAGGTGGACCGCCGCTGAGACTATGATCGAGTAGCCGAGGGTACGACTGTATATTGCGGAGGTCGGAGCTCTGTTTGGATCTTATTATTCAACGAAGTGGTCACGAAGATCAAAACTGAAGGTAGTCAATCATCACCATCTTCCGCTTGCTAAATGAAGCTCAGTAGCATGTCACAGGGAAGTAATTCGAATCCGAATCATGTCCTTGATGGAACTAAGCTAGAACTTAAAGACTAAGCGAAGGTGGGTGTACTTGACGGCATCCCATGAACACCCTCACTCCATATTCTAACTCCTTCCAATGATGAGACGCTGGAAAACGCAGCTGGTATAATAAATCGTTAGGCCGTAAAGAGAGAGTCCGCCACTACTTGCCGTTAGGCATAGGCGGCACCTGACCAGCTTGGTCGTCCTCGTCCTCGTCCATAGCCTCGGGGTGTCTGCAAGCACGTCAGTAAAGCGCTCATTGATCAGATTTTCAGTCGTACCCAAGAAGATCCTTGACGTTCCTCATCTCGTAGTGCTTCTTCCGCAGCTGCTCGAATTTGATGTGCTTCTCCCGTTCCTCTGGGGTCAGGTGCGCCAACTCATCCCCGTCGTGGTGTCCGGCTTCTCCTGGAGCATCAGGCTCTACGATGACGCGTCTCTCACCCTCTGGAGTACGAGACTCGGCGGCTTCCAGCTCCGGCTCGCCCAAGTCAAAGTCGGGGATATCTTCCATCTTAGTCTTGGGCTTCTTGGGCTTGTCCAACTCGTCCACCTTGAGGTCCTCCGCGTTCAGCATCTCAACCTCCTCCTCGTCTTCGGCAGGATCGTATTGCTTGGCGTAGGGTGTCTTGGGCTCTGTGATTTTCATGGTGCTGTCCCGCTGTTGCTCGGTGAGGTACAGGTTGACCTCGTCCCACTTCAACTTGGGGCTGTTCTCGTCTGCCTGCACGCTGGTGCCAGACTGGCGGCGGGAGCCGGGACCGCGGGCGTTCGAGGATGAGCGACGGTGGGGGCCAGCATTGCGCAGAGTGTTCTCCAGGACGATTTCTTTCTCAGACAGCTCACGGCCGATGCCAGGTCGCTCGTTAGAAATTGTCTGGCCGAGCGGCGCTGGGGCCACCTCGCTCGTGGGAGACACAGAGGACTGTGCGCGGTACGAGCTCGAATTCTTGAGGATGCCTGCGCTGCTGTTGGCAACCTTGCTACACAGAAATGTCGCTACACAGAAGTGCGGGGTAGTAAAAGCTTACCCTTGGGCCGCTGAGGGTGTGACGAAGGCGAGTGGATCTCTGGCGAATGCTGCGTCATGTTGGTGGTGGTGTAGATGTAATGCAGGCGGAGTGTTCAGCACAGCGCGGTAGCTTCGCCGACACGTGGGCAGCGGTGGTGGGGTGAGCGGGCTCAGTCAGCTGCTTGCGGAGAGAATTCGCAGAAGCTATACGTGAAAGTAGGACCGATTATAAGAGTAGGATGGCGTGCGTTGGAGAATGTGGCAGTCGTGGTGGCGTGGTGCAATGGATGGAGGGGTTGGTTGGGTTGCCGTGGTGAAGAGCACAAGCCTACCACGAGAAAATGACGTATGTATGCCCGCGTTCTCTACATCCGAGGGAACAGCGGGCAGCTGCAGGAACGAAAGCTTATATGTGTTGTGCAGCTTACACCACGCGCACAATTACTGTCTTCTTAGAGGTATGGCTGCCTCGAGGCAGCTGCCAACGCTCGCATGTGAAGATGGGAGAGACAGCTCAGCCATTGCAGGTCGCTATGCGCGGATGCACGGCAAGGATGCCGATCAGTTGCTGTGCGACACCTGTCTCTCGCTTCCCCGCTGATCGGTCGTGTCCCAGTGCTTGAGGTGGATGGACACGGAAGGCGCCTGCATTTCACTACCGCAGGTGCTATTGACTGGGCCAAACTCCCTGCCTAAGGCGCATGCCGCGTCAACATGAATCTTCATATTAGGCGTCCCGTGTACACGTTGGAACGCTGGACACCTAGGCATGGCTGGCGGTGCTACGATAGTCCACGATGCCCAGGTGCGCGGCTAGCCACGAGCAGCCGCGAACACTGGTACATGCCCTGAGGCTCTGCCGACATGCTGCATAGTAGGTGTGGTGGCCAATACAGCCTGATGCACTTGCGAGTCTGCGCCGCCTGCGCCGCCTGCCTGTAGGCAAAAGCGTCCGTGGGACTGGTAACTTCGAGGCTGCATGATCCGTCTCAAACATCACGAGCTGTAGGCAAGATGTGGCTATGGAAATATTTGTGCCAAGGCGCACCACATTCACTGCAGTGTCTACGACATGAATCAGCAAAAGTCGCAAGCGCCCTGATCAACATCCTAGAATGTTCCTTGCTCAGACTTTGCCTTAGATCGTCAACATCAACCGAGGACACCGCCACGCGACAGTGTAGGTCCTGGCTGGCTCGGACTACCAGAAGTGATAGTCCAACAATGGACAGTCATCACGGAATGGTGGCTGGAGAAGCTTGCACTCACAAAGAGGGCTGCAAGACAGCCTCAGGCGCTGCCGCGTGACAAAGAATGTCCCTGCTTTTAGGTCATCACCGCATCATGGAAGCCGACAGGCGGCCCTCGTGATGATGGTTTTATAAGAGGGATGGCTCACTCTGGGCCAGCTTCGGAGTCGCCAGTCGAGTGGAAGGTGTCGACTGGCGATGATTTGAGTAGAAGGCCGTGCTGTAAAGAAGAGAAAGGAAAGCCGGCCGGTCGCGAGAGGATATTTTCTACGAAGCTCGGACCATTCCTCCCGTGACGCGCTCAAGCGCGCGTCAACTGGCTTGCTGTGGCTTGTGGGCGCCACAGAGCGGCCTACCCTCTCAAACGTTTTCATGTCTCCGGACAAGCACACCACTCACACATCGCAAGCTAGCACCCGTCCGATCTTCCTCCCATATACCTCTGCTTAATCCCGCATCTGCATAGTCGAGCCACATAGCTGCACCCGCCCAACTGCCCCCGCCGCCCCCGAGCTCCGCACCTCGCTGTCGCTTCTGGCCGTTGGCCCGCCGCACCTGCCGCTTGTTCGCTCCTTTAGACCACCAAGCTTCCTGCAGAGCCAGCGTGCCTCGCATTGTTCCTGTTGTAGTATCAGTAATTGCCAATGGATAGCAGAGACAACCTATGGACCCGCCGATCCAAGTGCGTTCCCCGCAACCCCCGCCATGTGGTTAGAGACTGACGCTTTGGGAAGCAGCAGCAAGCTCTCACTTTCCATGAACAGCGGTGATGGAAAGCCCGATCCCCCGCAACGCACCTTCTCTGCGACCAAGCGCTTTGGCGATACGTCATCTCACGGCGGCCGCAACCCGTTCAATGCTCTTTCGCCCATAACCGCTGGCGGCCTCGCTTCCCCCACCACCTCTGGCCAGACCGCGTTTGGTCTTGGGTCAGGCGCATTTGCTTCGTTTGGCTCTGCGAACAAGACGCCCAAAACACCCGGCACCGCCTTCGATTTCAAAGCCGCGACAATGGGCGGAGGCGCACCGGTGACCCCCAGTGAGAAGAAGGATAAGCCAGCGGGCAAGGCAGTGAACAGCGCCCGAAAGGAGTCGCTGTCCACCACTGCCTCGGAAGAGGCACCTGTCTCGTCCGCACCCTTAGACTTCAATGTGCCATGGCCGCTCAAGTACACTTGGGTGATCTGGTACCGCCCGCCCACGCCCAAAAACTCGGACTACGAAAAGTCAACCAAGGCGTTGTGTCGCATGAGCTCGGTGCAAGAATTCTGGAAGGTCTTCGTTCATCTAAAACGCCCATCTACACTACCCACCGTATCCGACTATCATTTCTTTAAAGAGGGTATTCGTCCCGTGTGGGAGGACGATGAGAACAAGCGCGGCGGCAAGTGGATCATGCGCTTGAAGAAGGGTGTGGCCGATCGTTACTGGGAGGAGCTGCTCATGGCAATGACGGGGGGCGAGTTCATGGAGGCGACGGAAGAAGTGTGTGGCTTTGTGCTCAGCGTGCGGAGCGGTGAAGACGTCTTTAGCATTTGGACAAAGAACGACGGCGGCCGAAACATCAAGATCCGGTAAGTCTTGCTGATTTCTCGCACGTTGATCACCGTTAACAATGACAGCGAAACCGTCAAGCGCGTCCTCAACCTCCCCGAAGGCACCATCATCACCTGGCGCAGCCATGATGAGAGCATCGCCCAACGGACGGCCATCGACCAAGCACGCCAGGACAAGGGCCATCAGGAGAAGCGGAGACCCAACACCAGCACCACCGAAGAATCGTCAAAGTAACAGACGGCTTTGCAGCTATGTCTCCTTTCGCTCTCATACCGTCATTCTGTTAGCATTGCGTGGCTCCTTCCTAGGCTTCTTGGGATAGCGTGCTTCGTTTGGTTACCTAGCATTGTTTCATGGCGGTCCTCTCTCGCCTCGCACGTCTCTCATTAGTTGGCGCGAGGCGGACTCTGACGACTGCATGCTTTCTTTTCTTGAGATTCTGTATTCTACATACCCGTTATAGGGCTTGGGTAGCGTCTGGTGCTATGGTTGGTTTAGGTACAAGGAGTGCTGCACTGCAGGTACTTATGTTACAAACGGAACGCACGAACGGAGCTCGACTCCCATTTCCTCGCCTGAGCAGGTGATGGCCATGAATTCTACAGCGCTTTGCGCCCATGTCTCATGTGATATGCGTGAATCTGTGTGATCCGTGTGATATGGGCGTTTTGCTTGATCAGGGGCATCATAAATGCAGAACTGGCGTTTCGGTGAGCAGGTCCAATCCGCAACTAAACGCGCAGCTGCGCGAGGGGTCTTCGCTTGTTGGAAAGGTCAGAGCAGTGCATACAAATCGACAATCAGGACATATTCTTTCGGTACCAAAGATTAGTTGCATAGCACTCGAACCTCAGCTGAGGTTTCGAGGAGTGAGCTTGAAGGCAATTGTAAGGGCTTGTTTCATAATAAGACTGTCCGTCGCTCCTGTGCGATGATGATGATGCCCGCGAACGCGAAAGCTCGGACCTCTCCGAGCACCACACAAAGTCGATGACCTGCGTCAAACGGGCGCCTTCACTTGGGCGTTCCCGCCGCGCAAATGGCTTCCTTAAATCTTTTACCTACACCTCTCTTACTCCCTCAAACCCGCGGATACTCGCCCCCGCCCGTCGTGCCACACGCTAGCATGCCATGTTGAACTCGCTCAAGTCTACCCTCACCGAGACAGCGAACAGTATCTCTGGCTTTGTCGGGGGATTATCCAATGTCGCAGCTCCAGCAGCCCAGACTGTGCGTGTAGCCCCGCGCGCGCGTCAAACTTTGACGCTGGAGACCTGAGCTGACCGTACGAGAAGCAGACAAACGATGCCGCCGAGCCTGACCGCACCCGCACACCTGCAACACCCCGCTCTCCTGCAACCACCTCTCGCCATAGTCTCGGTGCAATAGATCTTATCTCTCCCACGCGGCAGAAAGTCCAACCTTCATCCCTCCGACACAATCATATCACGAACCTACCCATATCCAACGGTGTTCGCAATAGTGCCGCGGGCGTGGGATCTACCTCTGGGAAGTCTAGGTATGACCTGGCTTTAGATGTGTAGTCATGGAAGATTCAAGAGTTGACGGAACAATAGTGGATCCAAAGCTACACCCTTGCCGGACCCTCGATTTCATTTCGTGCAGAAGAACGGCATGCCGAAGGTGCGTATACGTTTTATTCGCGCTTTCGCAAGGCAGAACTATGCTGACGACCAATAGCCTGGTGCGAGCCACGCTCCACAGCCCAAAAACACCTTAAGCCAGCAAATTTACCATCCAACCAGTGGCGGCCACAAGACGTACGGCCACTCAAACCGCCAAGGCAGTTTCTCCCTGGGTTTCTTGGATGACGAACAACTCGACAATCGCCCTACCAAGAAACGAAGGACAGATACTGAACCCTCAGATGCGATAAGTGTATATGACGAAGGCGAAATCCAAGAGACAAGGCCCGAAGATCAAACACCTCGACCTGTCTCTCGCCGCAGCGCTGGCAGCGGATCCATTATCTTGTCAGGCGCAAAAGATCCTCGGAGCGAGTTTGATAGAGCATATTCCGTAGTCGGTTCTCGCCGCAAGAAAGCACGCAATTCGACCAGCCACGGCAATTCAGGATTCATCAACGGTGGAGCGCAGTCGGCAATACTTATTGATGATGACGATGTACCTGATGGTGGCGCAAACCCCAGGAAATTACAGCTATTGAAATTTCAGCAAGGTGTCGAACGACCGAGAGCTGAGGAAAGCGGATACCAAGCGCACGAAATAACTTCGCGACATTTTGCGCCCAAGATGAATCACTCTACCCTCCCTCCAGGCGCCCCGACGCAGAGGGTGGTCAGAAGATCTAACAATCTTCGCGACGGCTTCAGGGGAGGTTCCTTGTCTGATACGTCTGCCCGTGATCGCTGGCCAATACGGTGGATCAGAGCGCATGATTTCAGAGAAAGTCACGAGGAGCTCTTCTTAGATTCGAGAGTCTTAAACGAGTATCGCATTACAGGCTCCGATCGAAATGACGTCAAATACGAGCTCAGGTTCAAGGACGTCCGCATCGCGCAAACGGATGATCAGTCGCGCATTCGATTGGTTGGTTCCACGAGCACCGCCAATAATGTTCAATATATTGTGGATCTGGAGTTCGAGGATAAGCAAAATCTTGCTACCTTTTCACAAGCGCTTTCTAACTCAATATCCACAAGGCAAGTCGTGGTGAAAACAGAGTAAGTGGAAACGATTCTTCCAACCCAATTATCCCCGAAATCCCGTCTATCATGCATACATAATACGAGTCACACACGCTTCGACCTTACTTAATACAATTTCCGAGTTATATTAACTGCTACAATAGGGATTTCATGAAGAAGATCTTCGAAAAACCACTGGCTGCTACCTCACAATCCCAGAATACGGGGCAGTCACCTAGCGGGCAAAATCAAGTGCAACAAGGATCAAACGTTGCCAATACGAAGCCCAGGCTATCGGACAATTTGGGCGCTGTGGGCTCGAAGATCTCTTCGAGCGCCGCGAAAGCCCCTGTTCGAGCCGAAACCCGCCGACTATCAGACCGCCCAGTGAGAAATACACGGGCGTCCCAGCCGCTCACTGTAGACTTGGGAGACTTTGAGGACCTGCCTGAGGTCGAGAGATTTTCGGAGATACACGGTCTGGGTCCTCCCTGGAAGAAGTCACTCAACTACAATTCCGGACGACGCCGTGCGGTAGTTGACTTCCAGGATCTAGAGCGTCTTGATGATGGTCAATTTCTCAACGACCAGCTCATTGATTTCTATCTCCTATATCTATTCGACCAAGCCAACGTTCCTCGCGACAAGGTCTACCTTTTCAACACCCACTTTTTTACTACACTAACACGCAAGGTACCAGGCCAGAAGGGCACGTTCAACTACCAGGGTGTCGCAAGGTGGACAGCCAAGGAAGATATCTTTGGCTACGACTACATTGTCGTGCCCATCAACCAAGATATCCATTGGTACCTCGCGATCATCTGCAATGTGTCCAACATTGCTCGCACCCCGGCAATCGCGGATCCCCCAAAGAGCGACAAAATCGGCTCGGCGGCCGCACAAGACCCGGACAGCGAGCCATCAGGACATGAGGCTAAGGTTGAAGATTTTCAGTCGATACCAGCGCCCGCACTAGTTGACCAGCCTTCCGAATCTTCGACATCACATGCTGCGATTGAAGTGGTGGATCCGGATGATTCGGACCTCAACCTGGTTGATCCACGCGCAACTGGCCCGGACCATGCCCTGACTGCACCGAGCGGTAGCAGCAGTGTGGCGGAGTCACCTGCTGCGGAGACTGCACAGATGAAGAAACTGACTCTTAGCGATAGCAGGCCGGAATCCGTCTTGCTTAGCAGCACCTCGTCTGCTGGACCCAAGAAGCCCAGACGCAAACTCGGGCCTCCACCCAAAAAGCGAGATCCGAATGAGCCCGTCATCATTGTGCTAGACTCGCTTGGTGGCAGTGCCAAAAGCGCCGCTATGCGGGTTCTCAAAGATTACATGACTGAAGAGGGCAAAGAGAAGCGTGGTATGGACGTAGTTATCCCTGGTAATGTTGTTTACGCCAAAGAGGGCCAGATCCCACAGCAGCAAAACTTTGTCGATTGTGGTATATATCTCCTGGGATACGCGCAGCAGTTCTTTACAGACCCGGACCTCTTCAAAAAACGGCTTCTTTCGAATGAAATGCAGGTCGACGCCCACTGGCAGGATATGACGATGTCATCGATCCGCGCTGGCATGCGAGATATCCTTCAAAGGCTATATAGAGAGCAAGAGGCAGAGCGTGAGAAGGCGAAGAAGGCGAAGAAACAGGAAAAGAAAGCAAGGCCGGATACCACTGTGGACGCTGCAAAGAATCACGTGGAGCAGAAGGCAACGGTTGTCAAGCAGGCAGATGCGCCGACTTTGACAGGAGATGCGAAGAAAACCACGCCCACTCCAGAAACGACCAACAAAGTGAAGCTTTCTACTTTGTCAAACGCCGAGCCGCCTCCCATGCTTGGTCCGCCGTTCGAGCCTCGGTCTTCTCCAAAGCGCGATAGGTCTTGCTCCTCGAAAAGCTTGCCAGCACCCACTCAGACGGACGCCGTACTCATTACCAAGAAGCAGGGAACACCTGCAACCGATGGTCAGAACGCTTCCCCCAATACCAATGGGCCTCGCAGGAGCGGAAGCCCGGTGGTCTTAATCCAATCACCGGCAAAGAAGTCCCCAAAGCGGCCACGGGAACTGATCCTGGTTGGGTACAGTCAAGAGGAGACGACCAAGAAGAAGGCACGGACCGCTCCCGAATCGCCAATAGACTTCTTGGATGGTGACCCACGGATAGTCGGTTTACGTTCACCGGACCCAAAGGCTAGAGTTCTCCCCAAACGCTGCGAGGAAGCTTCGACACCTGTAAGGGGAAGCTCTCGCGATCCCATCCAGCTCGACGAGTCACAAGAAGCGCCGATGTCGAGCGAGGATGCTCCTCAGAGTGCCAAGCGTAATTCTCAGAGACCTGATTTCATCATCAAGAGTCCCACGAGCGCAAAGGATACCAGACTTCCACCACCACGGCGGCGCCAGCAGCACATGTCTTCCCCTGCGAGGACCAATGTCCAACGCAGCTCTCCTATACAGCGAAGGAGGGAGACAAGGGCTGCGAATGAATCTCCTGACCCAATCATCGACCTTGACGACTTTGACGCGGTCCCGCAGCGCATTCAGAGCCATGTCCACAGCTCTCGATCGAACCGGTCCAAGTGGAGGCTTGCGCAATTTGACGAAGACGTGCCCGAGAAGACAATCGAGGTCCCGGAAACGCCGCCACATGACGGGTGAGGTGCATCGTTTACGAAGGTAATGCCCATCAAGCGATGCGTATCACCAGGCGTACGTGCGAGTCAGTTCACTGACGATGACTTCTACTTGTAATGTACCGACCAAAGCGCGATATTGCTAGAGCCGCAGTCCTTACGCCTTTGCTTTGACATGGAGCATATCTCGACTTCCCCAGTATCTCATCTTCCTATCTTTTATCTTAGCATGGTGATAGGCATGGCTATGGCGTCTTGTTATTTTACATATGCATGTATGATTGACGACTCTGCAGTCGAAATCCATCCAGGCGAGGCATTCTGGTATGACAGACGGAGGGGAGTTGAGGTGGTTATCTAAATGCGATGGCAAGGTGCGGGCGATCTTCTAGCGGCAGTGTCGATAGCCAGTGGAACGCTTCTCCCCCTAGGAGCGGCCCTTTATTAGAGGTAATGCATGCAAGTATAACTGTCTTGAGGGTTAAGGCAATGTGTCACCATTCGAGTCTAGATGTAATCTTTTGCACCTCGTCTAATCATAAACATAGATTCATCCCTTCCGTCTCTCCTCCGTCTCGCCATCTTATCATATCCCCCTCCTCTCCCAACTGCCCGCCCCATCCCCAAGATCGATTCCCGCCCCTATCGTCCCCTTCTCCCCATAGCCGGGCGCGCCCTTCAGCATCTCGAACGTGTCGCCCGCGCGCTCCGGCGGCGGACTCCTGAGCTCCTTCTCTCCCGCCGCCGCCACGCCCTCAGGCCCATCGCGCCACACGAACCACTGCAGCCCCAGCCCCAAGTCGCACGTCGCCTGGAAAATGCCGCACAGTTTGAACGCCCAGGGGACCTCACCGGCGGCGCTTGCAAAGAAGAACCACATCTTGAAGGTGTCGCCGACAATCCAGTTTGCGATGACGGAGGGGCGGAAGCCGCGGCAGCCGCGGCGCTGGTAGTTGGCGAAGAGCTGGGGGAGCGGGAGGGTGGCCTCAACGGTGAGCGCGATGACGCCGAGGACGTCGGTGTAGGGGATAAACAGGCTGGTCGAGGAGAGCAGGACGTGCAGCACCAGCAAGGCGAGTGTGAAGTAGCTCACGAACGCCCAGTACGGGCGCGTCGGGCGCCACTGCCAGAAGTCGTAGGGGCGTTTTCGGGCGGCGGCGGGCTGGAACGGGAGGTGCGTGGTAGGCGCCACGCGGTTCGTGAGGGCGACGTGCAGGAGGACGGTGTGCACGAGTACCATGAGGAGGGCCTGCACGAGTAAGGACGTGCTGAAGTGCGCGCCGAACCAGTAGAAGATCTTGAGGATGGAGGCGACGAGCATGATGAGCGGGATGTCGAGGGAGAAGCCGGCCGAGGAGCGCGTGCGGTGGATGGAGTAGATTTGGTCGGCATAGCTGGTTATGGGGCTCGTGGCGATGCTGGGGGGTATGTTAGGTGTGTATGGTCGGGGAAATTGGGAGAGGAGGGGACGGACAAGATGGGCGCGATGGACGTGACGATGGCGTTGACGAAGCCCATGGCGGCGGTGTCGTCCTCTGCGCACACCACGTGAATGTAGGAAGACAAGCGGTGCAATGCGCAGGGCGAGAATCCCTCCAGACGAGATTCTCGTGCACACGCGCGGGCGGGAGCGCGGGAAATTGGGCTTGTTTATTTGGCGGTCGAAAAGGAGCCGCGCCGTGCCGATCGCCATGCTAAGCTTCGGTGCAGTAGCGTGCAGTAGTGCCCGTCCAGGGCCAGCGATAAGGGCTTATCGGCTATGGTGGGGAGCGTGGTTGGCGGTGGTTAACCATCTCGGCTTCACCTTCACCACCTTCACTCTCACTGTCTATAGTCTTACTGCACGCAATTAACTTATTTGTTTACCCACACTCTGTGCATTGTTGTCTCGCTTACCTAGGTCACAAACACATTCTTGAAGAAGCAGCTTTCCAAAACGTAAGATTAAATCCCCTTCACGGCAGTGTTCCACACGGGCGTACCGGACTCAGGACCCCACCATCCTTCCTTCATGCCAACATGCTTCCAGGTATTATCGGGTACCTGAAAGATTCGATATAGACTATAGCGGATTAGACTACGAGTTGGCCCACGACGCAATGGCCAGTTCTCACACTGCATTCTTCTACGGCACGCTCATGGCCCCGCCTGTCCTCCATCGTGTGATATGGGGCCAGTCCACTCCGCCCACCCCCGCCCACGCGTCTCTCCTGCACATCCGCCCCGCCATCTTGCACGCCCACCAGCGCCGCCAGGTCCGCCACGCAGACTACCCTGCCGTGCTTCCATCCTCACCGTCCTCCTCCGTCCGCGGCACACTCGTGACGGGCCTCACAGACGGCGACATCTGGCGGCTCGATATATTTGAGGGCGACATGTACGAACGGCGGAAAGTGCGCGTGCGCGTGCTTGAGCAAAAGGATAGCAAGGCCGACGAAGGCGAGGGTGGCATGGGCGACCTCACTGCAAAAGAAGAGGACAACGTTGAGGGCGATGAGGTTGAGGCGGAGACGTACATCTGGGTCGCGCCGGCATCGCATCTGGAGGACGAGGAGTGGGACTTTCGCGAGTTTGTGCGGGACAAGATGAAGCGGTGGGTTGGGCGCGAGGCGGCTGAGATGGACGAGGGGTTTCAGGGTAGGCAGTCGATTAACGGTGAACCTATTGAGGGTTTGGATCTGTTTAGAGTGCTGATGACGTTCAGATGTCGACGATGCGGTTGCCGCGGGCAAGGATCCTACAGGCGGGAGGGGCGCGAATGGGAGCATTACGAGGCAGTTGGAGAAGGGGGGGAAGACGGAGGAGGCGCTGGGTGCGGCAGTCTAGGAATTTGGTGTGAGACAGCATCCGCGCTATGGGGGAACGAAGATATGGATATACCCTTGTACATACAACTTTTTGTGGTGCATGCAAAGAGTACGATTAGTAGCTTCAAAGGTTTCATTGACAATGGATGGCAAGCGCTTGCCATACTAATGTAAGGCCGGCGAATCCTTATAGCTGGGTCAGATGTCGCAGTCCCCAGATGTCATGGGGAAGACATCTCAATGGATACTTCAATGCTGATCTCTAGAACCTATGACTATCGATTGAACTTGAATCCCCTTGTTGCGTGTGCTCAAGGAGATTTTCTCGATTTGATTGACTTTCAAGCTTCGTCTCTCCTCATGACGCGATGTTCTCAGTCTCTTCAACTCATCCAGAGTATACTTGCAGGATTCGAAAGACATGCTTAGCTTGTAGTTGCATTTTCTCACAAGTAAAATTGCCTGAGTATTGCCGACAATCAATTACACCAAGAGATTTTCATTCGTTTGCGTTCCGCTTCTATAGTCACGTCGTTAGCTCTCTTGGGTCGCTGGCAAACGCCTCCGCGCCAACTACAGGATCCAGGCAACCATCACCCTCAGTGTACCTCACAGTACCGTGTGCTGAAATAACAAATCACTCGCCCGTGCAACCCACTACCTCGAACGATGTCCGACCCCAGGCTCAAAGCCGAGCTCTACCAAATGATCCGCACCGAACTCAAAACCATCCGCATCCCCGTCATGAAGAAGGTAGCAGACGAGCTTGAAACCACGTTCGATGACTGGTATCTCAAGGTTTTCTCACTGTCATCAGAGGTCAATACCGGCGATGATGCGAAAATGGTAGAGGAGATCAGGAAAGCTGAGGCTGCCGTGGAGAAGTATGAGAAGGTGATGGTAAATGCGGCGCCGAAGTTGAGGCAGTGGAAAAAGATGCTGGAGAAGTAGGGGATGCCTGAGGGCCCGGCGGGGGTGTGAGAGGTTGTGGGTAGGATACTTTTAGAATTGCGGTTTCTTTCTGCCTGAGGTGATGGATCATGGTCATCGTGGTTATACCGAATTCTTAGTCTAGCGGGGTCCAGTAGATAGCTGGTACAGACCTCATGGGTATAGTGGATATAGAACGTACCATAGCGTTGCAGATCAGCTTCTGTATGCTGTTCCAGCTTATTATCGGCCACGGTTATTCTCTACCTGCCGCTGGTATATAGCATTGAAAAACAGTGACTGAACGAGAGAATCTGTTGTATCAGTAGCATATGGGCAGCCCTCAGATCATCTCCGGGACCATAGGAAATTCGCTACATTCCCAACAAGGTCTACTGTCACGCGCCCATACGACCTTTACGATGACACTGTGAACAAATTCCCAGAGTTAGTCAACAAAGTCATCGACGAGATTATTCGCTCCGAGTGCTTGTCCCAAGACTTTGACCGAGAACGATCGCGACACATACTCAAACTCTGCGATGTTGCTGGAGACCAACGTGTGACTTACTATCTAAATGGAGGCCATGGTATATTTGACGATCCTCTGCTTGTTGCAGCTATTTTTCTCAACAAGAAGGACCTAGGGGAAAGTCTTCTGGCACGTCGCAAGGACTTCGCAAGCCAGGAGCCGTTTCTGGGAAATGCCGTTGCTCGCCGCAGTGTCTATCGAAGACGTCGACTTATTAAAGAGACTGGTACAAGTCGGGGTCTCATAGATATGGAGCAAAGTGCTAATAGTAGGGTATCCTGCCATTCAATGCGTAGTTCAAATATCAAGAGCTCCAGACAATGTGTGATGTTCTTTGGAACGGAGAATTTAGAAGAATGTCTGGTACGACAACGGCGACGCTGTATAGTTGGCCATTGAGCTTGACAAATTCGATGTTGCGATTGCGATTCTGGGGACCGACTATGACAACTATCCGCACCCTGCTCGTGCACAAAGTCCCTTCATGTGCATCACTCTGTTCCTCGCTTCCAAGAAAAGACAGCTTGATGCCGTAAGGAAGATCTTAGAGACTGATGGATACTTCAAGGGCACATGTTGGACTGGCTCTAGGCGAACAGAGCTCCCGCGCAGGGCCTGTAAGGAGGTCTAGAGGTACTACTTCAAATGATACTGGAGCCGAGCTTGATAAGCTTTGCTCCGTGAAGCTAAAGAGCTAAAGCGGATGTAGGTTTTGAGCTCGTGCATTGCATCATAGGAGCTGCGCAGCGAGACAGTATCGGATTTCTTGATGCAGTAGCTCTTCACGGCTTCTCTCTTGACGATGAACAGTATTACGCTCGTTCGGATTGTCCGCTGCCGATAGTAGCAGCAAAAGCTTTCCACCACACAAACACTGTTTACGTGATGCTGAAGCTGGGGGGTCAAAGGTGCCTATCAAATGCCATCAATTCTCGCTGGTGTTTTCGCCAACGGCAGGGCTATCCGCCCCTTTGCGAGGACAAAAGGTCAAAGGACGATCGCTCTCATAGATCACATGACCCACGTCAAGTGTCCCGGACCAAGATCGATGAACCTCTAGAAGCTCGTAAAGCCCATCTCACCGGATTCCCAGTATCGGAACCAAGATCCTGATCCATCCTTCTTTTCCAGTCTCCAATTTGCCTCCAACTCTTGTAGACGTATGGTCTTATCCCTCTGCAGCCTGGCAGCATCCGAATAAGACTTGTGCTGGCCATGCGTTTGCGCAACAACTCAAAATCAACTGCGGCATCCGGCTCACAGAACTACACTTGTAATTCGCCCTTTCAATCGGTGTAGGTCTTCTTGCATGGATGAAACACGGCGGTCGAGTTCCGGTAGTTGTTCTGTCTCACTAGATACCCTACGTAGTCTCGAGGGTTTCATCTGGCAGAGGCGGCTCTGCACTTCTTTACGGATGTAGCGTTTGACGCGAACGTTAATTGGGAGTCATTTTCGACGCTTGCAATCGTGTCCAACACTACTTGTTGGTCCCAAATTTATTGATGCGGCAACTGCACCTGGAAAGATGAAGTTGCCTCTTTTGGTTAGACGCAACCACTTCCGTCGTCACCAGACATGTGAGCACCGTGAGCGTACCTTGACTTTCGTACAAACATGTTTAAACACTCAGACGTCGGGAAAAGCGCTTCATCAAAATATTAACCCACTCCAGCAGATTCATATACCACTTCTTCCCACACACCTAAGGTACCACAGCTGAAGAAGATTGCGCAATCGCCTCGTCGGATGATGCACTATCCTCCGTCCAGACTCTCATAATTCAATCCTCCCGCCACCTTTACTTGACACCTCTTATGTATTTGAGCCTTTGCGACTCGTATCGATTATGACAGAAGACACTAGAATCACACGTTCTGTCCGCTGCAACTGCGGCAAGGTCTCGTTCACAGTAACCGGCATCGACAGGCTCGCAGTGCACTGCTACTGCGTTAACTGCCAGCGCACAACGGGCTCAGCGTTTGCACACAATCATCGATTTAGCGAAGCCTCTATCATATTTGATAGGGGAGAGGAGTTTGTCAAGCAGTATGCGGATGGAGATACGGACTCGAAACGACTGATGCTCAGGCATTTCTGTGTGAACTGTGTAGGTGCAAGGTTATCCACTGCATTGAGTGTATTCAGAGCAACCGCAAAGACGGTAATTAGAGCGTGACGTAGGACCTCAACGCTGATCAAGTGACGTGCAGGGCTCACCGTTGTTCTTGAAAAGCACCGCTGTGGCCGATTTCGTCGCGGTACACGAAGGTTCCACCACAGAGAAGAGTAAGTCTCAGCCGGTGTTGGAGTTGTTTGTGCATGAAAAACATCCGTGGATTGGGGACGTCAAAGGTATCCTCGACGCGCTATGAAAACGATCACGGATTCAGCTAACTTTGGGCCAGGAGACTACAGAGGTCCGCCGCCGTTTCCGTGGGACCCTCAGCCTTGCAGTTCTGCGTGATTTTGTCACTGGTAGTTCCATTTAGTACCACTACTACAGTTTAGACTCGACGTGTGGGATGGCGAAGAGTCAAAGACCGAAAGCATGCCGGGCTGAACACGTTTCTCGAAGATCACCTTTCTGTCGCGAATTGAGATTGAGAGCTTTGGCAGACATGGTATGCCTCTCAGCATGATAACAGTTGAGTACGATCAATCCATGAAGTCAAAATGCGTCCAATCAGGGTCGAGTGCATATACAAGCAGACATGCGACCTTCCAAGGGTGCTCTGCACCATACGATCTCAATTACAAATCAGGCCCCATCAAGTCTTTACACCGCTTTCCCCTCAAAAGAGGAAGAAGCAAACCCGATCCATGTACCATGGGATGCCCCTTTGTGCAGCGCATGGGAGAGCATAAAGATGAATCTGTGAACGTATACAGATCTACCTACGTGCCGATTCTACACACGAAGCCGCGTATGTCTGCCTTGTACGCGATGCCCTTTTTTTTGTTTCTGTTTTTCCCTCGTACTCGTCGTCCAGATTCCTACTTTTGGCATATTTCGGCTGCGATCCGAGAGCATGGAACGCATAACTCTGACCCTGATGCAGCGACGGAGTGTAGACTACGATTGTCGCAGGTGTATTCACCACCAAGAAATCCTGGGCATGCTTCGAGCACCGATTCTGGCTGCTCGGTACTTCAAGATGTCCTTGTCGCGATCGCCGCGACATCTGATTGGACTGAATAATGCATGGTATTCACCACACCACGCTAGCCCGGTCTTCCAGCACATTCGTGCACTAGCAGCACTACACGAGTGTAGACCACCGACCTGACCATGCGGCACCACGTTCCGGCAACACCATGCTTTTCTATGCTCATGCACTGGACAGCACGCCTGTCCCTTCTCCGCGATCACCGCCATCTCGATCGCATCGCATCGCATCGCCAAGCAACCGTACCAGGCCTCGCACTATCCATGCCTGCCCCATCCCACGCATAAAAGTTTCGTTTCCACCAACACGCACCCGCGAAACCCAGTCACCTGGATGCCACGTCTTGACGTGCATGGAGCCTCAGACCCAGCCAGCCTGACACTCGCTCGGTACCGTGGCCCAAAGAGCCGGCGGGTAAACCAAGTCGGGCCTACCCTGCCATACCCCAGGCTGATGTCGTCTTCACATAGATAGCTGTGCAGAGGCGACCCCGGTCTACCAGATGCGAGGTCGAGGTCGTAAATTGGATTGTGCGCGTGATGTAGAAGGTTGGCGGAGACGTGGCTTCTACTTCGCGACGCGAGTCGGATTATCCTGGTCAGGTGGTGGGCCGGGGGAGAGGAGCTGGAGTGGGCGTATGTACGGATGGAGATGGCGACGTCCCAAATAGGCATATGTGTGAAAGATTTTCGGTGGATGAGTGTAATTCAGATATGGAATGGTTATCGAACCTTTTGCTCCGCTGTTCAAGGTAAGGTGTCATACTACAGAATCGATGGTAGAAATCCTTTAGAACTTGCCTGTGTAGGAATATGTAGAGGCTATGCAATCTGGGTATCATTATTCTTGAAGCAATGGAAGGACCGAAAAGCAGCGGGACTTACTAAATTCCGCAATGCAGACGCTCGGCGGCGCACTTCGGCATCAAAAGCCTCAGCTCCGGCGTCTCGTCCTCGAACTCATACTCGCCAAAGGGGCCCACGTCTTCCAGACTTTCACCCGCCTCACTTTGATCTCCCGAGCCCGCACTCCCCCTTGTTCCCATCGAGGACCCGTGGATGACGGACCTGACCCAGACGGCCGACCCCCCACCCGATTTCCACTCTGCCTGCTGAATGCCCTGAGACGCCTCTCTTCCAACGACGTCACACTGCTCACACTTGGCCTCAAATTCTCCGGTTTCCCCCACGCTTTACTAATGACATAAGGCGCATGCTGCGGATTGGGCTTGGAGGGAGAAGGGGGTGGTGGTGTGGAGAGGATGAAGGTGGGCGTGGGATGTGCTTTGGTGATGCCCTCATCGAAAGGGTTACGACGGAACACGTAGGCTTTTGAGATGGGATACTGGCTATTGTTGGGTTAGTCAGTGCTGTTACTTCGCGGGCTACGGCTCTGGTGCGCCACCATGCGATTGATATCTTGCGCCATGTTCCAATTGACCTTGGACCTGCTGATGCGGAGGAAAGATGTCTGATGTATCGTATACACTGTATGGTTGAACAAGTTTGGTGAGAGCATCCTTCATTATGACAGCTCATGCACTGCACGCCTGCTGTAGCCCTGCTATCGAGCAAACAACGTGCTGAGTGAGGTGGGAACAGTGGCTGTCAACGGCGCGGATGGCTCTGGGCCGAGACCAGCGACGGTTACTCAACAGCTCGGAGCTGAGACACGCCAACTGTCCTCCGGCATTCCGAACTTTCCTGGAATACCGTCACACATTCACATGGTTACTTTCACCAGAATCGTGGACTTCACGACGATGGAGTCACTCCAATGCTCACTCGAGGCGCTAAAAGATCAGCGTGGGCGACGGCTTCGGCGCCCTCCAACAGAAAGCGGACGGGTGTCATTGTGGTACGGAATGGGTAGCACATGGACGTCAAAAACACGAAGGCTTGCCCACACGTGCTCGTGTAGCACTGACACCTCTGTCAGTATGTGCGAGGCGGCGTCGCCAGGGCTGACACTGGCCTGACGCCGACCTGCAAGGCTCGAGCAGAAAGACTACAAGTCCGTGGTGTACAGTGAAGTCGGGTGTGCACGGCCACCATGGGTATCTTACTCGTACGGGGTAGAGAACTACGCCAGGGCCACGTTCGGACTTGGGTGCAGGGTCGGAGAAGCATACGGCTATTTTGGGTTAGCGCTGGACGAATGTGGAGGCGTGGAGGCGAGGCAGAGACGAATGAGGGCTTGTCCGTGGTGATCTGAGTTCAGACGGTGAAGGAACCGATGGCGGTTTGGGGTTGCGGTGGTGCTGTGCCATTTGTGGGCGGACTTGTAGGGCGCATGGTCAGGCGTGGCACAGGGAACGAACGGGTCCGAGACGCGGTGTAGCAGCCGCGCGACGCTCAGCGAGAGATTGTGAGATGCACACCGTTGGTGGTGTTTGATTGCGATAGGTGGCAGAAGGTGAGGGCTGTCGGCGAATGACGGCGCATCAGACTGACGATGCGCATTGCGAGCCCCCTGGCGTAGCGTAGCGTGCTCAGTCTACAAGTGCCGGTGCGCACCGATAGTCCGTAATCGTGTGCAACGCGACAGAATGCGACGTCTGCGAGTCTGCTGTGCAAGCTGACTGCGACGTCGCCTGCGCCGATCCCCCAGAGAAGCAGCGAGGTGAATGGCGGCGCGGCCGAGCAGGGTGTTTCAGAGTGAGACTCGATGGCGCACGCTGACAGCTGATGGAGGGTAGATTACACTAGATTAGGCCAGCAAAAGGTACAGGCGCGCGTGGACTGGACAGTAGGCCAGGGCAGCATTTTTCATATGGGGTAGAGTGACGCGGGCTGGTGGTGTCCGAGGTGGGTGTCTGGCGGGGTCTGCGGTTGGCCGAGGGTGCAAAGCAGCAGTGCGCTATTCCTGGCGCATCGGGCGGCGCGCCGGGGTCAAGATTGTACGTGCATGTCTCTACCGCAGCGCCGTGGTCGGGCGGGCACGAGCTGGCGACTGGAGCTGGCACGGTGGCACTCGCCCGCACCAGACGGTTGCAACGGCGCGGGCAGCTCAGCTCAGCTCAACGTCGAGCGCCCAACGTCGGTTCAGCGATCCAGTTCGCATGGGGGCAGCCGAGGGCGACGGCGACGAAGAAGGGTCCGCGGGTGCCAGTCTCCATAGCGATCCTCAATCCGGCTGTGGCGCTCCGTTTCTCCACAGCGGCTAGCCGCATCGCGACGCTCAGGATGCTCGTGATTCGGGAGAAATTGTGAGTGGCCTGCCCCTGATGGAGCGGCAGGGAAGGCGTCGAGAAGGGCATGGCGCCCCGAGGCGACCATCGTGCTCCGCAACGGACACTGGACAGTGCATCGAGCCGTCTTTTGCGGTGAGTGCGTCTGGCTCGCCGCGACGGGCCTGCACTGGAGCAGCGCCAGATGCGAGGAGACGCCGCCGCCGCGCTGAAACCACGCGCGCTGCGACTGCGTGGGATACGAGCAGCCAGCCCGTGTTCCTCGTCGCACACGCTGCCGGCGGCGACTCGAGAGCGTCGCCCGCTCGCACTGCACGCGTAGGAAAGAGGCCCTGGTCGTCGTGTAGCCGGCTAGCGGGCGGTCTCGCGTCTTGGCTGGCGAGCGGGCTTGCACGCTGAGCAGGGGGCGCCTCGCCTGTTGCTCTTGAAACCACCAGCGGGCTCACGGACGCGTGCACGGTGGGCGGTTCGTCCGCACTATATCCTGATATACCATGCTTTAATGCCCTGGATGCTGCATGCATGCCAAAGGGCCTTTTCCCTCCGCCATATCCACACCGTGTCGCCATCGACGCCCTTCTGACCCTTCCTGACGGCCAAGTGCCCCTCTGCTACGACGCAGGTGTCTGACAAGTCTCACAAACTTTTGTGCTCCGACAGCCCTGCACGCCTCCGACCGTTGGTGCGTAGCCTACCAGCGCCTCCGTTTCATCGGAGCCGCCCACCCACCACACCCCGATCATATAACCGCCTGCATCCAGTGTCGATACCGCAGTCTTCTGACCATCTTGAACAGAAACAATGGCCGACGTCGCTGCTGTGTCGACACAGCTCCAGCAATGGTCCTTCGCAAAGCCTGCCGCTACCCGCCCAGAGCGTTCCGACAGCACAGCATCCTCCCCGGACCTGTCCCACCATGAGCCCGAGGCCCTGCGGATACCTGCTTCTGCCGTGCGCGCTGCCACGAGCATCGCCGGACAAGAGAGTGCCACATTCCAGGAGCGCTACCTCTCGTCCGAGGAGGACCTCTCACCCATGGACGGCAACTCTAGCGACTCGGACGACTACGACTCCGAAGTTGAAATCCACGAAGCCACGGCCACGCCAGCCACGCCGAGCTTCTTCCGCGCACGCACAATGTCAATCTCGCGCCGGGATAACGTCAAGAGCGGCGACATGGCCGTTACCGTCTCGTATGTGTCGGCTGGGCGACCCAAGATGATCCAACTCGCACAGTCACCCGTCTGCGAACCACCCATCCGCTCCGCTTCGCTCGCACAGTTGCCCATTGCGGCAATCAACAAGCTGCGGCAGCAAGACAACCGGACACGCTCGCTAATCGTAAACCCCATAATTCGGCCCAGTTCGCCCGCACTGAGCATAGATTCCCGAACGCCGTCCACGGGAAGCAGGCCATACGCACATAGCAACAAGAGTGCCATGCTTCTCTCCGATTCCGGTTCGCAATCCTCGCTGCAAAGCGGCGACAGCACACCTCGGAGCTCATCGCCCTCGGTGAGCGAAAAATCAACTACCTCAAACCGACCAGTAAGCGCCGCAGGCTCGAGCTTCCAGCCACGCTCGTCGCTTTACGTCGTGTCGAGCGCGCGAAGCAACACCAGCAGCAACCTCCGATCGCCGTTCCCGCCGCTGGCCCAACAGCCACCGGCACCTCACGCGTTCCTCTCCTCGGATCCCTACGAAAACTCCACCACGAGTGCGGCCTCTCCGATCATCAAGCAGTCGCCGCACAAGCGCCTGCGCTCCATCAGCCAGAGGCTCTCGCTCGCGCGCATTGCAATCGCGCCCTCGAAGAAGTACGACTCGAGAGCCAATGGTAACCGGACAGGGAACATGCCTCCTACGCCCTCAACGCCATTCACGCCATTGACACCTCAGACAGCCCCACTGCCTACGTCAACCGGCATGAACAAGCTGCGCAGAAACTCGCGCATGCTGTCGTCGCGGCCTGGCACCGCGCGGGTTCCCTCACCAGATATCCCGCCTATGCCTGTGCGCTCCGTCACGAGCTCCAGCTTCTCGCCTCAAAAGTCTGCAAGGAGTAGCAAGATGATTGCGCGGGGTGCAAACGAGCGCGAGCCCACCCTCGAGCTGCCGCCGTGTCCGGTTGACGATGCCGGCATGGGCAGCCTGAAGACGCGCCGCGTGCGCAAGCGCAAGAGCCTCATGGACCTGCTCTAAGCCCCAGCCACCACCGCGCACCACCCACGAGCCAATCCAGTCGAGAGCTCTGGAACATCGAGCCGGCCTCCACCCTCGCGAACGGCGGTTGCGCAATGCAATCTATCGCATTGCAGTGCAGAATGCTGGAAGCCCGTTTGTTTCAGGCACCCGACCAGCATTATGCATGCAGCGCCGCACGTTTCGTTTCGTTTCGCTGTGTCTACGTTTACACCACACCCTTCGCATGAATGCATGAATTGCAATGCCATGCAACGCCACGCGGCCCCGGTCCAGGCTCCACATCCACCACCACTTTTCTCTTTCTTCAGTCTGTCTGTTTTTGCACGGCGTTCTACCGGCTCGGGTTGGGATGATTGAACATCTTTTCTTCTCTCATGTTTTGCGCAGGCTCTTGCACGTTGCTGCACTGCCTCGCGTGGCGTTCCTCAGGCGTTCAACATACTGGGTCCCTGTGGGGGCTACGATACCCTTTCGTTTTCTTTCCTCATCCGTTCGAGTCATGTCTTGCTATTTGCAAAATTCGCTCTTGCTCTTTACACGAAAATTGCTTTCCCGCATATTGCGCACACAGTACGGTTCCGTTCTGCATGGACGCTGTCTTAATGAATCTGGTTATGATATCCCTCGTCTAGTTGGTCCTAGTCTACACATGGCCTCTAATTCCGTTAGTATACCTAGTGTTGTAGTATGCCCCGTAGAAGGTGGCGAGAATTTCATCTAATATTTGCTTGAGAGTCGGGGCAAGTCGCCATCTGCTGTGTGCTGTACGTGGTGGCGAGAACGCCGAGACATGCATTCATCCGCTTGATGCTTTGCTTGCAAGGGTCACCGTGTATACAAGACATGGTGTACGCTGCATACGTGGCTTTGACATCTGACATACGGGACCCTGGAAGACGATCTGCCAGCGACCTGGCTCTTGGCTTACGATAGCAGCGTCAGCCAGGTTTGAGGTTGAACAGCTGTGCGTCACTGCCGTGAGTATCTATTGCAGTTTGTGCACAATCATTGTATGCCTGGCATGGAACTACGATAGAAGATGGGTGCTGACGAGATGGGCCCTGGGCAAGAGACCTGCATCTTGAGGGGTTTGCGTGGTGGGTCAACGTCAGCTTGTTCATGTGTCTCGCAAGGTGATTGTCGCCAAATACGAAGCAATGAGTATCTCTGCCTTGCGTGCAGTAGGATTCTGAGCCTGAGACCCATAGTCATTGTCGTCCACCGCTTGGTAGGATGTATGCTTGCTGAGACATGCATTGTGATCATCCATATCACGACTTGATTCTTGCCGTTCGTAGCGCTCACTCACGCGTCGTGGTGGGCCTTGTGTACTTTTTTGCGGGGAGGTGGATACCACGGATAGCGAGGGAACGGAGGCGGAGTATCCGGGTAGGATCCTTTGGGTGCTGATGAATCCCGTCAAAATGTTTCGAAACGAGACGGGGGATACGAGAGCTTGAGCCACATCTAGACATGGCATCAACATCATTCTGCGGCACGGGCAAACATGTGCCATCGTGTTTTATTTTCGCGCCATGCGCGTCCGGCACGGCTCAGAGCCGTCGCTGAGGACGGGAGGCTGGATAGCATGCTCGGCGGGGCTCCCTATCACACCACCAGGTGGACTCAGGGCGAGGCTGCCGTGTCCACCGACGCGTCGAGTGGAGCCTCAAGCACGCGGCGCATGCCAGGAATCCCTTTCAAACTTTCGAAGACACGAAGAACCTTGTGTGGAGACGTCCCCACCGCGGATCTGCTAGACCAGGGGCGATACGGGCTGTAGCGCTTTCTGTCCGCGGGCGTCGGCGACTGCGTGCTTGCAAATTTGTGGATTCGTGCACGTTGCTGGATTCTGTGTGCGCGGTGGTGGCACCATTCCTAACGCTTTCAATGTGAAACAGCCATGTTGCGCGTTATCTCAGTGGCGGACGGTACGCGCGAGATGGGTGAAAAAACGGTGATTTGATTTTCCGCTGGCACACGGCGCGATCGATGCCGTTCCTTGAGATGGAAATTCGGAAAATGTCGCGATACTGAGAAGTGGGTGGCGCGTGGAGCGGTGAGGAAGTGGGGACAACAGCGGCTGGTAGACTATTGACATTCCACGCGAACGTGGACCGCGAGGTCACGTGCCCTAAGCTCGACCGGTACCGTGGCTAACCGCCAGGTCACTCCATGAGCGTTGTAGGGCCTCTGGTGATCCCGTGACAGATATATGAAGACAGTCAAGGCACAGCATGCCTAAAGGTTTGGCAAGTGTCCTAATCTTCCGACTTCGTCAACGTCTCGTGGAAAGTGCGGATGTTGGGTGCGACTTCCTGACAACACGTATGGCACGACCTTCAACTCTGTAGATGCTCGATCGATCCGATACTATCTACATGTTTTCTTCAGTCGAGAGACCAGCGCATACTGATGATGAGATTCTCCACGCTGGATACGAGCTCCGATACGGACATGTTGGTATTCGGCTGTGCCCCAAGCCCCGCTTTCTCAATTGCCGGTAGTTTGTGGCGGAATTGCTCCCACTGTACATTATATCCCACGTCCACGATAATATGATAACTTCTCATAAATCTCTCTTAGGCTTTCACATTCTTTGCCTGCCTACTGCTTTCCTACCTCCCTGTGTTTTATCGATCCTTACACGACGCATCGGATCGATAAAGCGGCATACTTATTTCGACTGATAACACATCAACGACGGACCAAATTGCTTGCTCGCTGTAGCATCGAGCAACTCCCCCAGTGTAGAATTTCGAAAATGCCGCAACCTACACCCCGCAAATTATGGGAACACCCCTCCCCCAAATCCACCGCCATGTACAAGTTTATGGAAACGGCCAACACAAAGCACAACCTCACCATGCGTACCTACCGAGATCTCTACGACTGGAGCGTTGGCCCCTCCCGCACTGATTTCTGGAACCACATGTGGGACTCCGCAGGTCTCATCTACTCTGGCACTTACACCGAGGTCGTCAACACAAATGCGCCCATGGATACCATCCCATACTGGTTCCGCGGGACGCGCCTCAATTTCGCGGAGAATATACTTTTCTCTGCTGACGGGAACGATCCCTCGAGAACGACCACGCGGAACAAGGAGGATAGCAAGATTGCTGTGACAGAGGTGCGAGAGGGAAACACCGAGATGCGGAACATGTCCTGGGGCGAGGTACGGCGGCGTGTCGGACTGCTGAGCAACGCGATGAGAGCAAGAGGCGTGAAGAAGGGGGATCGGGTTGCAGTGGTGGCAAGCACGAGTTTTGATACGTTTATCTGCTTTATGGCGATCGTTAGTCTTGGTGGACTATTTTCGAGCAGCAGTACGGATATGGGGAGTAAAGGTATACTGGAGAGGCTGCTGCAGATCAGGCCGAAGTTTTTGTTTGCAGATGATTGGGCGGTGTACAATGGGAAGACGACGGATTTGAGGCCGAAGATTGCAGAGATCGTGGAGGGAATGAAAGTCGTGCAGGAGTTTGAGGGGGTGGTATTGCAGCCTCGGTTTGCTGGAAGACCAGCGGATACAGAGGGTGTCCCGAGAGCTATGAAGCTGGAGAAATTTGTTGAGGCTGCGAATGGAGATGAAAAGTTGGTGTTTGAGAGGGTGGAATTCCGAGATCCGTTCATCGTGGTCTACAGCAGTGGGACGACTGGGATACCGAAGTGCATCGTTCATAGTGTGGGAGGGGTTCTGATAAGTATGTTGAAAGAGGAGAAGCTGCACAAAGAGATGGGTCCGGATAGCGTGGTAAGTACTCATCCACATCACACGTCCGTGGACCAAGCTAACGAGGACAGATGTTGCAATACACAACAGTAAGTCCAAATCCTCAAATCTTATGCCTCGTAGCTAACATACCCAGACTGGCTGGATAATGTACCTGGTAAGCATACAATCCCTCGTTTCCGGTAGCCGCTCCATCTTCTACGACGGCTCCCCCTTCGTCCCTTCCCCCCAAGCCTTCCTCTCCATCCTCTCTACCCAGCGCGTCACCGATTTCGGTACCTCCCCTCGATTCCTCCATGAGCTCCAAAAGCACAATATCACACCTCGCAAAGACTTCGACCTCTCCGCTCTCCGCTCCGTCTGCACAACCGGCATGGTCCTCTCCAACGCCCTCTTCGAATGGTTCTACGACACCGCGTTCCCACCTTCGGTCCATCTGCGCAATATATCTGGTGGCACCGACCTCGCAGGCTGCTTTGGCATCATGAACCCACTCGAGCCCGTTCACGTCGGCGGCTGCCAGGGCCCGACGCTCGGCACGCGCATGGAAGTCTACGACTCGCTAATCGAGTCCGGACCGGGGCGCGCAGTGCCTGACGGCGAGCCCGGAGAGCTCGTCGCAACAGCCTCATTCCCCAACCAGCCCGTGTTCTTCTGGGGCGATGAGTCCGGCGAGCGGTATCACAGTGCATACTATGCGCGCTTCCCACATGTATGGACGCACGGCGACTTCATCCAGTACCATCCTGTCACGGGCCAGGTGCTGTTCTTAGGTCGGGCAGATGGTGTGTTGAATCCGAGTGGAGTGCGTTTCGGCAGCAGTGACATATATTCTGTGATTGAAACGCATTTCTTGGAGGTTGCGGATAGTGTGTGTGTTGGCCAACGGAGGCCGCAGGACAGTGACGAGAGCGTGGTGCTGTTTCTGAAGATGAAGGACGGGGAGCGGTTTACGGACGGGCTGGTGGAGAGGGTGAAGCGGAAGATTGGTGAAGAGAGGAGTAAGAGGCATGTGCCGCGGTATGTGTTTGAGACGTGGGATATACCGGTGAGTACATGCAATTCGGGACGAGATGAACGTCACTAATGATTTGCAGGCGACCGTGAATGGGAAGAAGGTAGAGTTGCCCGTGAAGCAGATCCTGAGCGGGAAGATCGTCAAGCCGAGCGGGACGTTAGCAAATGCTCAGAGTCTGCAGTTCTACTACCAATTTGCGAAGGTGGAGGAAGTGCTGCAAAAGATGAAGGAGGAGAAGGAGAGGAGGACAAAGAGCAAGTTGTAGCTGGATCCACCGGTTCAGGCATGTAGCAATGTACATGAGTGTATGCAGCCAAGAGTCCACGAATCCGACCAGCGTCTCCTTACGATGCATGTTGACATGGACGACAGGTTTGCGGCATCACCTGGGCAGCTCGTTGCGACACTCCATCATACGAATTCCTTCTCCTTAGCTGATATGGCCAGCATTTCTTCGAAGGAGACCTCTCCATCCCTACTCGGGACCACGCTTTCTGTTCGCACCTCACCAACCTTTCCCGTCCCACCGCTTGTCTGAGTCTTAGTCACGCGCGTGCCCCCCACCATTCTTCTCGCTACCTCCTCTTCATTTTTCGCCAAAAACTCACCCTCATCCAACAGCCCCAATTTCACCAATTCCCCTCTCACATGTCCTTCGCTCTTCTCATCATAGAACCACAACCCCGCCCTTACTAGCGTCGTCTCCATGAAGCTCTTCAGCGTCGGCACCGTCGCCGCCATAAGCGCCAGATGCTGCTCAATCACCGCATACAGCGTGATCATGACACCGCTCCGGAACGTATCCGGCGTGGTGTAGTACTCCTGCAGCATGAGAGTCCTCACGATGGCCGCGATCGAAGCAAATAGTCCCAGCCCCATGAGCATGCACATGAAGATTTTCTCACGGCGCGGCAGCTTGAGCTTGCGTACGAACATGATGGGGATGAAGCTGAAGATGATGTCGAGCGCGACTTGGATGCTGCTGAAGACGATGATGTTTCCGTCAATGATGCTGCGGCGGAAACAGACGGCGCTGCGGAATCCGCGCGGGTCCCAAAAGACGGAGAAAGGGCGGCACTGCAGGAATTGGAAGCAGGTTTGCACGATGGCGGCGGAGATGGCAATGGCCATGATGAGGTAAAGGAAGGAGCGCCAGGGGCGGGTCTGCTTGAGGCGGAGGAGAAGGAGTGCGACGGAGAGCTTGACGAGTGTGACGGACCAGTACCAGAAGACTTGGGAAATAAAAAGGTAGCGCAATGCAGTCGAGCGGCGGGCGGGGGGAACAAAAAAGGTGCGGCGGCCGAAACCATTCAGGACGGAAATGATCAGTAGGAAGTACTGCACGATGGCTAGAATCTGCGGGCCCGTGTTAGCCGTGGAAGGAGGGAGAAGTGAGTAACATACTGTAGCTGCGAGGACGGTCCAGTCGTCTATCTTGAGCCGGTACACTGGGTGTAGTCGCGACCACAATCGAGCGGCTAGCAGCAGTATGGATATGAACAAAAGTGCACTTCCGACGCCCAGGAAGATTGGACCTTGATTCATATCGCCTCCACTCATGCGGAACCCAGCCGGGGGAAAGTTGAAGTTTGGCGCCGTGCCATTCATCGAGCAGTTTCCTCTCGTGCCCCGGAAGCCATCTCCAAACCTGCTCATAGACCCAGGTGTCGGTGATGGAATCTGTACTGTCTCCATCTCTTACGGTTTGAAATTAGTAATTGGCGTGTCGGCGTATTTGAAAATAAATGAGTGTGTTTAGGTAATTTAGAGACTCGGAATATGATCATGTCGGCCAGCCGACATAGCGTACAGTCAAAGAGAGAATACCGATGGCATCAATTCAAGTCGCACATGGTGGACGTGTCGAGGCCAGCTCCGAGGGTGACGCGTGGAACTGCGATGAGTTGGCGGAAGCAAAGGTTATCCAATACTCACAGAACCTGCCTTCCACCAAAGCAAGCCGAACCATGTGCCGGCATTCAGACTATAATCGCCAATGCTCTTCGCTTGTCTGCATGCGACACGATGCGCAGCCAATTGCATTTCTTGGTTATGAGTCTCATAGCTGTTTCAGCTCGCGCCACGCATGCTCAAACCTGCACCCCGCAATGCAAGGAACGCACGCGCCGTCGAATAACGCCATTGCACTGTGGAGGTCGTTCAGGCGGGTAACAGTGGACCGGTTGCTTGTGGTATTTCAATGGTTCTATCGCGTAAGCGGTGTGATGAGCTGATGACATGTACAACTCTGCCTGAGGCTTGACATGCTTTCACTTTCTAGATTTTAATCGAATGTCTCAGAATTTGGAAGGGTTCAATGCGGAAGGCTGTCTAGAGTTTAGAAATGGGTGATTGCCTTCTATTGATAATCGGAACGTAGAGATGGAAGGATTTGGTTCCAGATCTCTGTGCGCAAGGAGCGGATATCTTGTCTCGAAGATCGTACTGTTATACCTAGGGCATGCACTCTTCAATGCGGTCGTGAGAAGCTCACGGCTAACATACTCCCTACATTCACTGTGATACATAAGCAGAGGTGTCAGCAATGTTCAGATGTACATTGTAGATATGTACAACTATAGCTGCCCAAAATATCCGCCGTTCGAATAGTTTCCGCATCTTCTTCTGAGAGCGTTGTGGAAAGATGATGAAACGCTTCAAGACGCTTAACGCTTGACGCATATGCAATGCTTGCACACCGGAACCTGCGCCAATCTCCCATACCCGTTTGCGCACCGCCAGTGAAAATGTCCATGTAACGCCATCGCGGTCCCATCCTACGCCATGCTAAAAGTAATAATGCAGATGTTACACATGAGTATTTAGTTAAACAACACCCAACGCTTCTCGGCCGCTGAAGGGCCAATACGTTGAGCAACATCCGTAAGTGTATTGGTGATAGCGTCCTTGGGCACCTTAGGAAATTTCTTCTTCAAAGCTTCGATCATGCCAATCTTCGTGAGATCCGAGCCGGCAACCTCTGCTTTGAAAGCAGGTAGGAGGCTGGCATCTATCATTCGCTTGGCCTTTCCAGTCTTTGCATCGAGTGCGGGAGACGGCTTTTTAGGGCCGTTGAGAGTGTTCATGAGACCGTTTACGTTAGCCGGGCGAGCGGTGAGTGGAAGACGAGGTGGGTTCATCGATCCGCTGGACTGGTCGGCCTTAATGAGTGCTTGGATGGACGCTCGAGAGACGGGGACATCGGGTGCCCAGTAGGAGTCCGAGAAAGGATCGATGGGTGCTTGAGTTTCTAGGTGGAGTAAGTTCTACTCCTGACGTGACAACTCACATTACTCACGTAGTAGGAAGCCCATTCTGAAGTCCTTGAACTCTGTTGAGATTGCGCCAGAGCCGTCATTCAATCGAGATACGCCGCGCGCGTCTTCCCAACAGAGACCAGTGCTAACAGGCTCTTGGTCGCCATTGAGTAGCCGGCGCTTGACCTCTGGGTCATCCTCGTCGTCAAGGAAGCCATCCAGGTCCTCCTCGCCTTCCTCTTCGAGATCCTCTTCACCTTCAGAATCAAGATCCTCACCCTCACCTGGTTCTTCCCACTCGGCCTCTGAATCGTAGTCGTAATTAAGGTCAGTAAGGCCGCGAAAGGTTGGATTTCGCGCAACCTTGCGCTCCCGCTCTGGATCATGATGCTTCGTGTAGGTCCCGAAGTAGGGCGGCCGAACGTCCTCGCCGAAGTGTAGATATTTCATGGAGACCTGCTTCAGTAGGTCAAGCGGCTTTATGTTGGGATCCTCGGCCAGGTTAATTGGATTGTCAGCTGAACCATTGATGCGGTCGACAATCTCAGCCATTGTCGTCGTCTCAAGGCCACGGTGACACTTCGGGAAGATGGATCGAATGCTTTCCACCGTCACAGGCTCCATCCCGACATCCTTGTGTGCCACGATATCGTCTAAGCGTGCCTGGGCAGCGGCCAAATCCTCCGGTTTGCTATGAAACGCGTTCAGTGGCGCGAGAATACCGGTGGGTGGAAGAGAAAATGGAAGGAAGACGCGTTCGTAATCCGACTGTCCATTCCGAACTATAGCCTTCTGTGGCGATGGGGGCGCTGCGTTAGCAATAGTCTCGACAGGGTCCGAAGATAACCATGTTTGACCAGTGCAGGATTTCTGGACGGGCTCTACCGTGGTATTACCCGTGGGCTCTGCAACACCCTTGGGCTTGGAGAAGAACGCATTCAACCTCATCTGCGACTGAGCAATTGTCAGCAATCCTGTCGTGGTGGTCCGCAGGACGTTACTCACTCGTTCTTTCTTCTTCTTTTCTTCCTCCTCTTGTTGCTGCTTCAGCTCCTTGACGCGCTTCTTCTCTTCTTTCTCCTCATTCTTCTTGCGCTTCTCTTCGTCCCGCTGCGCCTTTTGGTCTGCCTTCAGCTTCTCCTCTGCTTCCTTTTGGGCTTTCTTCTCAGCGCGTGCTTTGGCCTTCGCCTCTTTCTCTTTGGCCTGTTCTTCCTTCTCTTGTTGTGTGAACTTCCTCCGCTTCGCTGATTGTTGGTCGTTGCTGGAAGCTGGCGCTGGTTGAGTTGAAGAAGGAGCGGCGCTACTTGACGGCGTGTGCGTCCCGGCAGGGGTCCGCTTCAGTGGTGACGGTGTTTGCATCGAGGACATTACAGAAAGCGGCGTGGATGCGTTCGAAGGAGAATTGCGATTGGGGGTTGAGACGCATGGCTCAGCTTCGTCATCGTGGGGACGTTTCTGAGGGGACGCGAGGATAACAGGGAGAGGAGTCGGAGCCTCCATGGCTCTTCAAGAGTGGTTCATAGACTGATGCGTGACTTTGGTGGGTTTGAGTACAGTAGAAGTACAGTTGGCGGTGAGTCTCGGCGATTGTGGGTGAAGTTGAGGGATACGTGGTGAAGCAGCGACGCGTTCGGGACGCGTCGGGCGGGCGCGTGATTTCCTTGGCGGTGGGCTCGTGGGCCGTCTCGTCGATTGCGCGCACTTTCCTGGGGATTTGTGGTTGGTTCCCTTTTTGGGATTAGCGTGATACACACACCCAGTTCCGTTACTCTTGTTCGACGCCTGTTCCATCCATATAGCATTGCGCAATTGCAGTGGGCCAGTTTCGCTAGTGACCTCCGGAGGGCTTGTACCTGCTCAGAATGTCTGGGTGCGCTCGAAGCAGAAGGAAGCGTGGTAGCACCTTCCATTTGATCTCACCACTGACCAAACAGTCGCGACTAACTTCACACGTTTCTGCACGAGTGCAGGCCGCAAGTGCACAGTACAGAGACTAATTTCACATTGCTGACCATTGCAATGGCAATGCAACAACATTTGTATTGATGATTTCCGACACACCACACTCATGATGGATGCTACTGTTGATGCAGATGCTGACGAGCTACTCTTCGAGCCCTTCTTGCCGTCGCCCCCGGACAGCTATTCATGGGATCCGTCGGAACAGAACTTAGACGACAAGATACTACAGGGCTACCTAGAAGACAGCCAGCCAATCTCAATTACGGAACTCGGCGAGGATGGCGAAAGCTCACATGGCCCTGTTACACCTGTGCCGGACAGGTACTGCCTACCGACTCTACGTTGGCACATCTAATAAATCTAGGGATTGTATCATCGGAAGAATAGAGGATATGCTGGAAAGGATTGTGGATGGTTTGCTCGCAGGGAACGAGCAACTCACCATCAATCTGAAGACACGCTCAGGCCTCAGCCGACGGCACCAGGATGCAGGCACGATCCCATCTGCAAGGGATATAGAAATCAGCTATCCGGGAAACAATGCACAAGATGCAAGACGGTTCAGTGAGTAGTGTCATGGATTATCCTGCTTCAACTGACCCTTCGCAGCCATCGTCGTACGAATCCTAGAACTCATCCACGGCTGCCTCATCGACGATGTTATTATAACCAAACGGTAACGAACACCTGCCAGTCTGGAACCTCGAACTAATCTTTGCAGTGACATGTACTACAGACACCCTGAGCTGTTCGGCAAACAGCCTGTGGTAGACCGATATGTTGATGACATAGCGTGTACTCTCGGGGTGCCGAGATCACTTCTCAACGTGGTAGGTGACGGGCCGCTACGCTTGCTGCCTTCAGACAAAAGCTGACCGCGCAGACTGCCGCAGCAAAGGGCTTGGTAGCAGGTAACTTCGTTTTGAGTCGAGCGGACGGAACTTCGATGCGTGGCTTGAGCGAACCAGAGGTGATTTTTCGATCGTATATCCTCTACAGATCTGACTTCTTTGCTAGGGTATATTGGTACCCACAATACAAGCTGGAGATGTACTAGACATGTCAGCTGTTCACTGGATCCTTGTCATCGAGAAGGAGGTGAGACTAATGGTAGCCTCTACGTCCTAGCTCACGCATCTGCAGGCAACATTTCGCTCCGTGCTTAGCTCGCCTCTCTGGAAAGTGCTTGGCACACAAGGTCTCGTCCTCACAGTGCGTAAGGAAGGAGCTTGAAGATCTCTGCTGACGATCGTAGGCAAAAGGTTATCCTGATGTCGTATCGAGGAGATTTCTTCTTCACCTTGCTGATGACTTCCCGCAAATCTCGATGCACGCACTTGTCGACTTGGACCCAGATGGAATCCATATCATGTCAACGTACAAGCACGGTTCACTTCGTCTCGCTCACGAGAACGTTGCACATGGGAATACGCCCGGAGTAAACTTGCCGAATCTACAGTGGATCGGTGTCAAGAGTCACCACATTGACCGAGCATCGGGTAACGAAGGTGACACGACAACGGCTACTCTAGCAGATGCCCAAGGCGTCATGAAGCTGACGGCCAGGGATAGGAAGAAGGCGCACCATATGCTGGAATGGGGTATTTGCAGGGAGTACGGCTCAGAGCCGGCGTGGCGGGCGGAGTTGCAACGCATGCTTATGCTGAATATCAAAGCGGAGATGCAAATATTGGACGAGCTGCCTGGAGGCCTGGTCTTATGGCTGAGCAGCCGGCTAGAAGTTATGCAAGGCGGATCATCAGACGACGAGATACTTTTTTGAGCAACAGATATATTGGCGTTTGCCACTGTCATTGCAGAGAAGGTCCCAAGTCCTGACGCAACTGCTCTAGCCATTACGCACACACTGCATATTGCCATCCCGATCGAGACAGCTCCACACCCTCTGGCGCTGCAGCTCTTCGATTGCAGCTGCTGTGGCGAAGTAGTCTGCTCTCTCGCGGATACCACCGAGCGACACTTGACGACAGAAAAAAGTCGAACAAAGCGGAGACAGCATCAGAAGTACGACGCGAGTCCAAACATGTAGATAATGGCCAGTTGGCAGTGCAGCAAATTCTCCGAAGAAACGGTAGGACAGAGGGCGCCAAGGCTTGGATGCAGCGATGGGCCAACACATGCCGCTCTCACACTGCCGTCGTCGACACGAGACTCGACCTGTGTGCGAAGCGACCATGCAGGACTGACGCGCAGCTGCAGGATAGCGATGAGCACCATGCCCGACTCTGCCACCATTTCACGCCCCGCAAGCAGTGTGCATGAAGCACGCGGCGCCCTGCCGTCTTCTGGTGCTGCTCAAAGAGCCCCTCCGAACGCCCAGCATGGCGTCCATGCTGCCATTGCAGCCTCCGCAGCGGCTGCCACGCTCCCGCCCGCAGTGACGCCGGCGACGACGACGCGCCAGTCGGTCTCGCTAGGCGTGCTCTCGACGCTGTGGAGTGCCAGCGGCCCGCCGACGGCTCTCCCGCCCGCCATCGTGACGCACGCGCCGTCGCCCGTCGATGCACACGAACAACCGTTGCAAGACCTCGCCGCCAGCGCAGGCTCGGTGCCCAGTGCAACCACCACTTTGACCAACACGCTGCCGCCCACCCAGAGTGCCGCCCTGCGCGCCCTCAATGCGCCCGCCTTCCAGGCCCACGCATCGTCGACCCCCAACACCAAGTTGGCAAAATCGGCCTCGAGCCACACCACCCTGTCGAGCCAGCCCGTCGTGGTGCGCACCTACTCAGGCTCACGGCACACCTCGCGTAACCCGTCTGGCGTCAGCTCGCCCCGCTATCCCGCCATGAATGGGCACGGATCCCAGAACCCCTCCGCGTTGTCGGCTGGGTTGGCAGGCCGCACCGAGAGGCTGCCGTCCATTGAGGACTTTTCCTTCTCGGCGATCCTCCGTGCTGTCGACCCTGAGATCAGAGATGCTATTGACGCCATTGCTGAGATCTGCGCGCGGAGCAGGCTAAGCCTGGCGGACGAGTACGACGCCCATCTGCCACCACAAGGCGAGATCACAGGCACCGGTCCAGGCTGGGCGGCAGGCGTGGGTGCTCTGGTGGGAAGAGGCCGCATATCACGCATTGGCCAGGGGTGGGCAGCAGCCGACAACACCTTGACGGCTGTGCCTGAAGCAAGCAGTTCCAGCGAGCGGCTGGCCGGCGAGACACGAGGCGCAGCAAGTAGCAAGAAGAGGAGCCAGTCGGCGTATGGGAGCTTGAAGAGCGTAATCAGCGGCGGTAGCGCGAAGCAACAACCCAGCAACCATGCTGTAGATCAGAGCGAGGTAGGCCCTTCTGGTCAGACGGTAGACGCGAAGCCTGGACCCGCCTGGGCTGTCCACAACTCGTCGAACGACCATCCTGTCATCACGGTCCCTTCTCCACAGGTATCGAACCATCTCTCGCTCGACACTTCGTCGACCATCAAGGAGACTCCTGAAGGTGCCGAAAGCAGACTATCACTACGGCCGCAGACAGCCACTCCCAAAGCTGCCTTTTCACATAGCCGAAACGCATCTCTCAACAGCTTGAATGCGTCGCGAGCGCGCTCAAGCACATTGTCTTCAATCACAGCATGGCTTCCGTGGCCTCGACCCGCTGACACCAGGACGAATGCCCCAACAGACCTCACGAAGGCTGAGACTAGGCTGAGAGAAGTGTTGATGATAGCGCAAGAGTCTGCGTTTGGAAAAGGCAAAGGAGCCATGAACAACGCGTAAAAGTTGGATGAGAAATACGCGGGCTTTGGCCACCATGTATGACCAACGTAAGAGATACCCCGAGCTGAGATCTCGATGTTCAAAAGGCGCTTGGGGTTTGCTGTCCTTCATGTGATTGGCGAGGCAGTTTGAAACCTTTTCAGAGGGAGTTATCACGACTTATGGTATAATGAATAACGACTATGTAGATAGAGCATGTCGCTCAGCGATCCCGTCGTTGCGCGTGAGCCACCGCCCCCAACCCCCATGCCCACCTTTCAGTCCCACATATTGTGCAGCACAGTCTCCTTCGGCGCAAGTCCTACCGTACAATACCCCTCGCTCATAAACTGCGGGAACTCCTCGCCCATCTCAAAAACGCAGCTGCCGCTGTACTGCTGCTTCACCAGCAGCGTCACTCCCCGCCCGTCACCGTCACCGCCACCCTCCTCCTGATCCCGCATCAACCTCGCCAGACTCAAATCACCATCCCGCTGCGCGTGCTTCACAACCTCCTCTAGCCCGGGGTACCCCCCAACCCCAAACTCAACATCCCACGCCACAAGCATACCGCCCCCACACGCGCTGGCAAACAGGTAGTCGTACAGCACGCCCATGCGCAGCCCCTCCTCCTGCTCGAGCCGCACGTCCTCCCCATCGCGCTTCATCCAGCTCCCCGCGCGCCGCGCCGCCTCGGCGCCGAACCCCGTCACGCACTCGGTGACCACGTGCCCGGCCATGCCATAGCCCTCGTGCCGCCACACGACGGTCCGCACGGGCGGATCACACAGATGCATACGGCGCCAGCTTGCCTCCTTCCTCTTGAAAGCGTCGCGCCGCCGGTTGAGCTGCGAATACACAAACGGCTTGACCGTGGCTTCTTCCTGCGCGGGGACGTCCACGTCGCCCCAGAGGACGTCCCAGTCGGGCGCCTGCTGAGCGCGTTCCAGTTCTTTGGGCGAGAGAATGAACGGGAAGGCGGACTTGAGGAGAGGATTGAGCGTGTATGAGGCGTCTGGGGACTGAGATGCCGATGCGCGGAGGAACAGTGCCGTTTGCAGCGTGGGCGACGCCGTGATCAGATTGTGCCATGTCTTGCACGTGCGTTGAGCGAGGAGAAGGGCGTGTGGAGGGAGAAAAGACAGAATGAGCTCGAGGAGCTCTGGGGTGTGTAGAGGTTGGGCAGTATAGGCTGGGTCGGCCATCGTGGTGGGTTGGTGCTTGTGAATGCAGCTATGGAATTTCGAATGATGGGACACAAAAAATAGATGTTGGTGTCGGGTCGCAAATAATGGTTCCTTCAAATAGAAACAACTTGTGTACCATACAGGCCCCAGCTTATGGTTGCCTTGGTTGCCTAAATTCCACGAATCGTACACCGTAGCCGACAAAAGGAGTGAGAACGCACCCTACTGTGAACACGCACGCTAACCTATCATAATGAGTAAAATATCGTATTATACAGTGAGTCAATACAGGAGGAGGTTCGCGCCGATGTTCCCATTTCTTTCCTCATCTACTGTAGTACGTCACAGAGAGTGAGTCAGCAAGCGATCTTGAGTGAAAGTAAACATAGAATTGGACTGGCTCGAGCAACGATGCACCCAATCCGACCCCGATGATCCGATAGCTAAAGCGAACTCAGCGCTCACAGCGCAATAACATAACCGTAACCACTTCCCCGACCAGACCACACCCAACATCAGTCAGCGCCCAGCGACATCGCCGATACCCCGTCAGATACCGAGCTCGCACCACTCGGGCTGTTCAAGAAGAAGCTATCGTACTCCTTTGATTCCCGAGCTTCATCTGAATCCAGCCTCAAATGCCTCGATTTCAGGACGAACTCATCGTAGTTCCGTTGAATAGTCGCCTGATCAGGAGTCCAGGCTTCAACAGGTGACAGCTTCAGGTCTTCAGGATTGACTGGCAAAAACTTCTCGTAGGCTACGGTAGACGTGTCTGCTTCAACTGGTGAATCAAGGTGAGCCCGTCCTGGGTGATTAAACAACATGCGTTTCACACTGCCCTTCTTGCGAAGGCCAGGCATGACTCGTGATTTTCCGGTACTGGTAGTGTATGCACGAGATTTTGAGCCGTGTGCGGGTGCCGAATTGATGCACGATTGTTTGGTTGGCGTCGAGAGCTTGATAGCATAAATGGATTGAGCTTCACCTACGCACGTGGTGGAGAGACGTCCCAAATCTGTCGAGTCAGCGAACAGTCGGTGCAAGAACGCGATCCATTTTACGAACCATCCATGTGTTTATCAGTCCATGCATCGACTGGAGCATTGTTCCCGTCGGTCATGAAATACATGGCGTCAGAGAATGTCGACCGCACCTCTTCACTCGGCCAGATTCGTTGTCGTTTCACTGTGAGTTCTGGGGTGCCCTCATCATCGAGTTCGTGCAAAGCAAACCGAGTCGATTTGGATGGTGTCCCGTCGATGAGCGAGCTTACTGCCATCTGTTTCTTTGCTTTCGGCTTAGTAGTTCTGTCGTCATAGTGTGCATCCGAATAATTATCTGTAGACGTAATGCTGCTGATATGCTCGTCCAGCGCAGCGGTTATGCGGGCGGTACTGTCCTTTTTCCATTCCGCAAGCGATGGAAGTCTAGGGCCTGCAACAGCCGACCTTTTTTCTAGTACCGCCTTTGCTTCATTGATTACACCCTGAGTCATGACTGGGTGGTTTACAGCAGGGACTTTTGGTTCCGGCGACATACTGTCCACCCGCCGTGATAGTCTGAACGAAATGTCGCCGCTTTGGAGTGACTCGGTTTGAATCATAACCGAGAGCTTGATGCTGTAACGGCTGGTACGCTGGAATCGGACTCCTGCAGGGAAACGCACTGTTGTCTTGGCAGTGAGGGTTGTTTCCAAGATGGGAGTTGCCGGGCTCGATATGTCGACATGGGGTACAACGGCCTTGAACAGATATGTGTGTCCTGCATGAGACGCTCTGTCTTAGAGTATTAGCATAATGTGCACCGACAAGTAATCTCCCTAATAGTTGTTCGTAGAATAACTCACTCAAAGGCCAAGCAATGCGAATCGACCATAAAGTCAGCGTTGCCAGGAAAGACGGTAAAACGTGGCCCAGACATATTGCCGTAGTCAGGCGAGCGCCATTTGGGGTGGATAATATATGGCGCTCCGGGAGGCAGACTGTTCGGCAGATTGTTGAAGTCAATGTTTGGCCGCTGCCAGATGACTTCGCCCACGATCGATGACAAGGACGGCGAAAAGAGAAGGTCAACCTGTACGCAAGAACGAGAGCAAGTATCGATGAAACAATCGCGTGTACACACGAAATTGTACGCAAAACCAGGCAAGTCGCCATTGGCCAGGGCCCACGCGCTCTCGGGTCGTCGCTGGTCAAGCTTGTCTAAGTCATGTCAGGCCAGCCTCGTCATGAACAAGTGTAGACGTAGGTCTAACCGAGATAGTAATATTCAAGCATCGCATGCACAAGACTTTCCAAGTCTACGTCAATATAATGCGTAACCGTGGATATGTCATCGCCGACAGCCGGTACCGTGGGGAGTAATTTGCGGATATTGCCTACTTGAATTGTCAGGTTTTGCTTGTTTGACTTGCCGCTGGAATTGAATGAATGTCACAATATCGTGGGCTGGCTCACCTGCGATTTGCTCTTCCAGCGCCTTGCGAAACACAAACTCCCATGAAAAAATCTCCTCCGCCTGTTTCATGTCGAAGCCTCTCCAGCAGGACACTGAGTCTAGATGACTGATGGGAGAATTGTTATTGAAGCAGGATCGTCGTACTTCTGGACAGTAGACCTGGATAGCACTCGACCTGCCTTCCCCTTGCAGGCCTTTTAGCTGCAGTCCATTTGCGGACAGGTCCCTGTAGTAGACGGATGACAGGCGGTCCATCGCGAAGTCGTAGTTTTCCGGTGTAGCCCGAGGGCTCGGCAGAGTAAAAGGATGTGCGTTCGTTGTCTCCGTGGAAGAAGAGGTGGTATGTGACATGACACTGGCTCGATGACGATAATGGTGGACAAAAGGAATAACAACGGCCAAGCCGGTCCTTGATTGATGCAGCCAATTGTCGCTAGAGAAAGCAATGCACGGGGAGTCAGAGTGCAAGTGTTTGGGCTGCTGGGCGACTGCATCGTCAGAAGATGCATTTTGGGGAACTGCGTTCTAAATGGCGTCCATGCTTGCCCTTGTTGTCAACCTAAAGCAACTTAGCAGGTGCTCTCCATAGTCACAGACTGCAAGCACAGCTTACCGTTCGTCCTTGTTACCGAGCTTGGAGATTTGTAGGAAGGCATCGACACCGAAGCCCTCGAGGCTGTGTATTTCTAGACTCCCAGCCCAATACTCTAAAAAGAAAACACGTTAGACTATCATCTCTTGTCCGGCAGGAGAGATCTTACCCGCGTACACCCTTGACATGGGAAGTCCTATGCCGAGGCGAAGATCTGGTGGGCGGCTGGTCAGGCTTGACAGCGAAGAGCCACCGTCATGCTTGTCATGATCTTTCGAGGCTTGGGTCCCAGGCATCTTCAACTCTTGCAGGGTACCTAGTAATTTAGGTACACGTGCCAGATTCTGCAGTCGTTTTTGGTGTCGAGGACCTTTGCTGAAGCTCCATAGGTGAGGCAGAATCTCATTGGAGATGCCACCGCCCTGATCGGAGATCCTAATGATTACATGCTGCGAAGTCTCGCAGATGAGCACCTCGATTGGTGGAGGCTTGGCACCGTGGTACTTTTTTTTCTCGATGACAGCCTGTATTGAGTTTCGGATAAGCTCGCCGATGATATACTCCAGGTGGCTTTGGATATAAGGGAAGGTGGCATCAAGATGGCCTTCGATATGGATGTCTGGGAGCTGCACGTGAGAGCCGTGGGCAGCCTTGATGAGCTCCTGCGTCGTCTTTCCGCAACGCTCGACAATCTCCTTGGCGTTGCACTTGAGGAAGATTTCGCCCACGGTATCAACGTGGGGGTCGTGCTCAGGCTGGTTGTGCGGGAAATGCCATGGGGAATTGAAGGTGTCTGTGAGCGCCAGATGCTGCTCCGCAATGACACGGCGAGAGATGCGCTGCCCATGTTACTTGATGTTCCGCGTTTACGCGGCAAGAAGGGTGATCGTACCGATCGCAGCATGGTGTTCATGAACTTGTCCGTCTCCTCGGGCCGCATCAGGCCACGCACTTCCAGCACACCGAGGGCCAGCCTGGGAATGACGGTCGCATGCTCCGTCAACGTCTCCTGCAATATCTTGCAATACCGCTCATTATCATCGAGGGACCGAATCTCTGGGACGCGGCGAAAGCGCTCGAAGGCAGTGAGGTACAGTTCGTAGACGTGGGCGAGATGGGGGTTTGCAACGACAACATAGGGCAGCGTCTGGATGTCGCGAAGACGGTGGGCTATCCTGCAGGGCTTCAGCACGCATTCCCGCAGCACGTCGGGGGGTCGCAGTACCGCGTGGGCAGCTCCAAGCGGCAGTAGTTGGCGCCGTCGAGCAGACGGGACTGGGTGAGGGTGCGGCCGAAGAAGGTCAGACGGCGCAGGCTGATGGGCCTCGCCTCGCGCTGGACCCATCTACGAATACGTGTCAACCATGTCCTAGTCACGGGGGAGCGTCGTGGTGGACGTCGGGCACGACATACTCGTCCAGGGCCGATGACGGACGCCATGCGGGTGCGTGTGCAACCGCGGCGGCGGCATGGGCAGCTCTTCTCTGGCCCGGCGGGCACAAGAAGTGCGAGGGAGCTCGCGTCAAGCTTCTGCAGCGGGGTGCGCGCATCCAAGGCGCCCTACACGGGGTTGCCATCGCCATGGCAGCTCGGGCAAGAGGAGAGGTGGGGAGCACAGGTCAGCGTCGGCGCGCGAAACTCTGCTCGACGAGCTGCATAGACGCGCGGTGGCCGGTCACAGCAGGCGTGCGGCGCGAGTGGTGCGGCGATGCATCCTGCGCGCCATCATGTCGAGGAGCTACAGTGGGACCGGGCGGCCTGCGTGCGTTCGCTGCGGCAGTCTCAGTGTTTGCGCGGCAGCATGACGTTGGTCCTGGGCCTGATTGCAGGCACTGGCACTGGCAGGGCACGACTCGCAGCAGCCCTCGGCACTCTGCACAGAGGCTTCGCTGGACGTCGACTCCCTCCCGCACTGCCCAGAGACGCGACTGCCACGCTCGCAGCCCTCGCACGCCGACGGCGCTGTTGTTGTTGTTGTTTTCGCGCGCTCGCACACTGCACGGGCGTCTGCAGGCACGGCGGCGAATCGTCATTGTCCACTCCACCACCGCCACCTTTTTAGCGAGGCAGGTCCGTTTCCTCCACGCATCTGCACCAGGCCTGCGCTCCACCCTCCTCCTGCGACTGGCGCGCACTCCAAGGCTCCTGCGACCCCGGGTGACCCAGACCGAGTGCCCTGCACCTCCACCGACCCGCCCGTCGCCTCTGCGCCCTTCTGCTCCCGCGACCGCACCCGCCGCGCGCCGCAGCCATGGACCAGGTAAGCTCCCATGCCGCCACAGCTGCCCTCGACGCCCCGGACACGCCGCCGCCGCTGACCCCGCGTGCTGCTCAGATCGGGAGTGACATGGTCGTCGAGCCCGACTTCGACGAGAAGCACCATGTTGCCATCATCACCGCCGACAGTGACGACACCATGGACGAAGCCGACGCAGACGAAGAGCCCCGCGCCGACGAATTCGACGCCTTCTTCAAGAAGCACATGCCCGAGCTCGCCGACCAGGAGACTGAGGCCGAGACGTACTGCACGTGGGAGATCAAGGACTGGCGGACCCTCACCCGCCGCGAGCATGGTCCTGTCTTCGACTGCGGCGGCTCTCCCTGGCGCATACTCTTCTTCCCCTTTGGCAACAACGTCGACTTTGCCTCCTTCTACCTCGAGCAGGGCTTTGAGGAGAAGAAGGTACCCGAGGACTGGTACGCCTGCGTGCAGTTCATGCTTGTCCTCTGGAACCCAAACGACCCGTCCATGTACATCACACACACCGCCACACACCGCTTCACCGCCGATGAGGGAGATTGGGGCTTCACGCGCTTTGCCGAGCTTAGGAGGCTGTTTGCGGCGAGCTGGGATGAAAGAGGCCGGCCCATGGTCGAGGACAACATGGCAAACGTCACAGCTTACGTCCGCGTGCTCAAGGACCCGACGGGCGTTCTGTGGCACAATTTTATTAATTATGACTCCAAAAAGGAAACGGGCATGGTTGGGCTCAAGAACCAGGGTGCCACGTGCTATCTGAATTCCCTCCTGCAGTCGCTTTTCTTTACCAATGCTTTCCGCCAGGCCGTCTACCAGATCCCAACCGAAAAGGAAGAGAACCGCACCGACAGCGCTTTCGCTCTCCAGCGGTTATTCTACCTCCTACAAACGTCCAACAATGCCGTGGCGACTACCGATTTGACACACTCGTTTGGATGGGACTCCAAGCAGATTTTTGAGCAGCAAGATGTGCAGGAACTATCACGTGTGCTCATGGACAAGCTGGACGAAAAGATGAAGGGAACCGAAGCTCAAGGCGCCCTCGAGAGGATGTTCGTGGGCAAGATGAAGACATACATAAGCTGTATCAATGTGGCTTACGAATCCTCGCGGATGGAAGAGTTCTGGGATATCCAACTGAACGTCAGCGGTAACAAGAACCTCGACGACAGCTTCAAGGATTACATACAGGTCGAGACCATGGATGGCGACAACAAGTACCACGCTGAGGGGCACGGCCTACAAGATGCGAGAAAGGGCGTCATCTTCGAGTCGTTCCCCCAGGTTCTCCATCTCCAGTTGAAGCGCTTCGAATACGATATACAACGCGACGCCATGATGAAAGTGAACGACCGCTACGAATTTCCTGACGTCTGGGACGCCTCGCCGTACCTATCCGAAACCGCCGACCGATCGGAGCCCTGGATCTACCATTTGCACGGCGTCTTGGTGCATAGCGGTGACCTGAACGCAGGCCATTACTACGCATTCTTGAAGCCCGAGAAAGAAGGCCACTTCTACAAGTTCGACGATGACCGAGTCACTCGGGCTACAGATCGCGAGGCACTGGAAGAGAATTTCGGTGGAGACTACACACAGGCCAATGGAAACGTTGGCCAGCGAAATCCCTACACGCGGACCTGGTCGGCCAAACGCTCTATGAGTGCTTACATGTTGGTGTACATTAGGGAGAGTCGGTTGGACAAAATGTTATTGCCTGGGATCGAAGTCAAGGCTCCTCAACATCTTGCCGACCGTGTCGCGGAAGAAAAAGCGGCCTTCGAACGTAGGCGGAAAGAACGCGAAGAAGCACATTTGTACATGGAAGTCGCTGTGGCCTCCGAGCGAGAATTCCGGCTTCACCAAGGCTTCGACATCGTCCCCTGGAAAGCCGAAACGGAAAGTGACGCGAACCCAAAGGTGCATCGTGTGCTCAAGGCAACTACCATACTGGAGTTCATGAACACAATGGCCGAAGAGCTCGGAACGGAGGCTGATATGCTCCGACCCTGGTCCATGGTTAACCGACAGAACGGAACCACGCGCCCCGACGTACCCATTAGTTTTCTCGAGATGTCGATGGATCTGGCATGTCAGAAGTACGGCACGAAGACCGCACCAATGAGACTTTGGATCGAAAAGGCCGAGGAGCGCGACGGAGATGGCAAGCCTGTGTTCGGTGGCGACTTTATCGACGCGAAGAACCTACAAGGCAGCAAGACGTTGATGCTCTTCCTCAAGCACTTTGATGCCAAAACTCAGAGCTTGTTTGGAATTGGCAACGTCTATGCGTCCAGTTTGGACAAGGTTGTCGACCTCGGCCCACAAATCTGCAAGGTCATGGGTTGGCCCGCATCTACTCAATTCCAGCTATCTGAGGAGATAAAACAGAACATGATTGAGGGCATGAAGCCCAAGATGACTCTTGCTCAATCAGAAATCCAGGATGGCGACATCATCACAGTGCAGAAGACGCTGTCAGATAAGGAGATGACCCAGATCACGGGCTCTGGCGGTTACACTAACGCCAAAGATTTCTACGACTATCTTCTGAACCGCATCCAAGTGGAATTCGCTCCCCGATTAGGCGATTCGACGCAACTGCCCATCTTCACATTAACTCTCAGTAAGAAGATGACATACGAGCAGTTTTCCACAAAGGTCGCCGAACACCTGAAGATTGAGCCTACGCATGTCCGGTTTACTACAGTCAATGCCGCCGGAAAACCAAAGCAAGCGATCAAATTCTCACAGCAGGGCACGTTAAATAGCATCCTCTTCCCCGGGCCCTATACCTACGGCGGCAACACGATGGTCCGATCCGATCAACTGTTCTACGAGGTACTGGACATGAGCTTGAAAGAGTTGGAGCAAAGGAAGGCTCTGAACATTACGTGGCTGCCAGAAGGTCTGACCAAAGAGGTATGTTTCCTACGCTGGCGGAAGCAGTACGCGCTAATACAAGATAGGAGCAATACCAGCTGATGATTCCGCGAAACGCCAGCATATCAGATGTTCTGGAGGCTTTGCAGAAAAAGGCTAACATAAGCGACGAGGTTATGCAGAAAGTACGCGTATTCGAAGCCCACAACAATAAGTTTTACAAGTCACTCGCGCCTGACTTTCAGGTCATGGGCATTGGCGAATACTTGCAACTGTACGCTGCGGCTTTCCCTGATGACGAATCAACCAAGAAAATCACGGCGTTCCACTATGACAAAGACGTATCGAAGGTCCACGGTATTCCCTTCCAATTCTCCCTCAAGGAGGGCGAGGCTTTCAGCGACACGAAGCAACGTCTTTCCGATTTTACGAAGATCAAAGGCAAGCAGTTTGACAAGATCAAGTTGACTCTGGTCTCAAGGGCGTCGTATTCGAGACCGGAACCAATTGACGATGGTGAGTTCATTTTGACCACACAGTCGAACACGTTTCTAACTTTCGGTAGACGAGATTCTCTGGGACCTGATAGGCAATCGGGACGATATAGCGATCGGGTTGGATCACGCCAACAAAACGCGGAGCTTCTGGGGCAAGTCCGATTCCATCTTCATCCGGTAAAGGGGTGTACAGGCGGCATGTACGTTTTATTTGCGGGGATTGATATTCATTCCCAAGGTGTGCGGCGCAGTCTGGTAGCGACTGCTTGCTTTTTATTTGAACTCGGAATGCTTCTTGTGCATATATAGACACCACAGAGTGCGTTCTCATGGATTGGAATGTGAAGGTTGGTGTTGAGCACGTAGAGTAGGGCTAGCACGGTAGAGTGTTTTTGGATGCGGGGCGGGGCGTGAGGGCTGCATTATGGAACGAAACGAGCATACATCATCCGATCATAAAGAATAATGTTATCACAATCCTCTGGACGTTTTCTCTCGAATGCGATCGTGTGTAGGTTGGAGGTGCGGGCCGACGCCTTCTCTGATTGGTCAATCCGCCTCCTCCGCCGCAGGCCGACGTTGTTCCGAAACGAACACCTGGAACGTCGCATGTCAACCCTGGGAACGACTTGAAGGCCCGCGTGTCGAACAAACGCAACCACCACCACGATGCGGACCTTTGCAGCTCTGACAGGCCTGCTGGCCTACTGCGCGACGGCGGTCTCGGCGACGGCCCTCACATACCGCATGGAGCCCCACGAGCGGGCTTGCTTCTTTACCAATGTCGAGACCAAGGGCACCAAGGTGGCCTTCTACTTCGCCGTACGCTTGCCTACACCCTCTAGGAAGACGCAGCTGACACCGTCCGTAGGTCCAATCCGGCGGCTCCTTTGACGTCGACTACGCAGTTACCGGCCCCGGCGACAGGGTGATATTGGACGGCACCAAGGAGCGCCAGGGCGACTTCGTGTTCACGGCCAACGACGAGGGCGAGTATCGCTTCTGCTTCAACAACGAGATGAGCACTTTCGCCGAAAAGACGGTGGACTTCGAGATCGCGGTACGGGCACCTTTCCATCCTACTATCATCCCCGATACTTCTTTCTTCGAGTCCCTAACCCCTCCTCAACTTCAAAACTGGATTTCACAATACAACTCAAGATATGAGAAAGGCTTGATGTCTAACACAGGCGCCCCACAGGTCGAGAACGAGGTCCGCGCGCAGCTGCCGAGCAAGCAGGGAGCCGGAACGGAGCAGACGAGCGTGCTCGAGGAGAGCATCCTCAAGTTGAGCGCCCAATTGAGCACCATCAGCAGGAACCAGAAGTACTTCAGGACCAGGGAGAACCGGAATTTCAGCACTGTGAAGAGCACCGAGAAGCGGATCTTCAACTTCAGCATGATGGAGGTGGGGTTGATGGTTACCATGGCCGGGCTGCAGGTCTTCATCGTGCGCTTCTTCTTCCAGGGCGCGCGAAAAGGTAAGAAATGCTTTACATCCGTGCAGACCATGTACTCTTACGCTAACTGGCACCACAGGTTACGTATGAGCGAGCACATGCAAGGCGGCACAAGACGACAGTATTCGTATGGCATCGGAGAAAAAGAGCGAGGGCTTGCGCGCTGGGACAGGCCTCCTCAGGGGCGTATGGAGGGTCCAGGTCAATTGTGTATCATCATAGCGGCATTTGTTTGGGATACGGAGTCAAGACAGGATCGATTAACGAGATATCATCTGAGCTTCTGCATGCTTTACGGCACTCAGTCTTGCGTTTTCGTCAAAAGCTAGCTTGGGGTAACTCAGGATATCAAAACTTTGGACAACATCCTTTCTTCATATCTTCTCCCAGATGACATTTACTTGGGCACAATCCCTCATCAAAAGGTCGCATGGGGCTACTTAGGGTATTCACTTCTGGGACGGTACCTGCCTTCACTCGGTTGCCTCTGACGACAGCTCACTGTCTCATATCAACACGCCCAGCACGACGTCGTAATCCCCTTTCCTCTACATCCCACTTCTGATCCCCTACAGACGTACAAAGCACGATGCAATCCCCGCGCGGCCTAATGCCGCAAACCGGCACGAGTCCTGCCCAGGACACTTTTGAGAGAGACCGCGTGCAGGCTCGGCAGATCGCGCAGGAGGCAGCTGGTGTAAGTATCGACAGTCCAGCCTGTGGTAACTTGGGGGCGCTGACGCGGCGTAGGCCTTGTACGGCGTTCTCCAGCCCCAGCACCAGCGGAGTCTCCCGCCTGTGGACCTGTTTGCGGTGGGGGGAACTCACCCTCACCCAAACACAAGCCGCACGAAGAGAAAGCGGGATGACTTCGTCGACATCACCTCCGACAGCGATTCACCTCGCGATAAACGCCCACGTCTTTCACCGCCAAAGAGCGCCCTACCGCAACCGTCGCCGACGAAGAGACAACGCCCTGCCGACGCGCTCCGCAAGCAGGAGCGGCTCGAGCTCAAAGAGGCCGACGAGCAACTGATGCGAGAGCTCCAAGCCGCAGAGGTACGTAAGAGCAAGGTGCAACGCCTGCGAGGCAAGCCCAACAGCCCCGAGAACCGTCCAGAGAAGAATCTTTCGGTCTACGAAGAGTTTCAGAAGATTCAGCAAGAAGCCGCACAAGGCGAACCGACGCAAACGAGAAAGCGCACCCAGAGGAGCGCCAGCCCGGAGAAATCCACCAAGCCTGCGCGTCGCGGCAGCACCGCCGAAGAACGCAGGGCTAGCAAACACACGCATCGGGCCCTAAGGAGCAGCAGCCAAGAGAAGCAACCGCAAAAGAAGCTCTCGGTATACGAGGAGTTTCAGAAGATCGAACGCGAAGCCTCGCAACAAGAGCACCCACGCAAGAACATCTCAGTCTACGAGGAATTCCAGAGGGTCGAGCGAGAAACCGCACAATACAAGCCGACGCAAACTGGAAAGCGCACCACAAGAAGTGCCAGTCCCGAGAAATCTACCAAGCGTTCGCGTCGAGGCCGTATACCTGAAACACGTAGAGCTTGCAAGCAAGCTATGCGGGTCGATATGGAGCGCGCCAACTCTGAGGAGCTGAGCGCTCTCCAACAGCAATTCCAAGTCCAGCCTCGTGCCACAGGATCCACGGAACCGGACTCCCACAAGATGCCGCCGCCTCCACCACCGAAGAACTCGACAGAGCACCCTATGGTTGCGTCTCAGCCCCTCAGCGGCCAGACCATCCCCAAGCAGACTCGGCCCCAATACATCGACATGTTTGCTCCGATCAATCCCTTCTGCGTTTCTAGCCATCGACCTTCAAGCGAGAGCGTTCCATCTAAACACATCAGCGGTCCTAGAGAGACTCAATTCAGGCCTTTCTCACCTTTCCTACCTAGTAACGCAATTGGACACCCTATGGTCCCCTCTCAACCCGATAGCGGTCCGGCCATCCACAAGCAGACCCAGCCCAGACCTTTCAGCCCCATCTCCCCGTTCGATGTCCCGAACGTGTCAAGAAACTATCCCTCAACCGAGAACGTTCCGTATCAGAAATTCAGCGGCCCGTCCAGTACCAAGGGGACCCAGTCTGACGATGTCACGTATCAAAATCTTGGCGACCCGGCAATGCCCAGGAAGACTCAACCCAGGCCCTTCAGTCCGTTCGCCCCATCCCATCCCTTGAACGCAGAGAGGTCCCATCGCTCCAATGACACTCTACTCCGCAAGCACCATAATGCCCGCATTACCAAGCAGTCCTACCATAACGCACATAAGCTCCCGTGCTCAACGCAAGAGATCCAGCACCGCACACAGCTCCAAGAAGCCGAGCTCCGCGCCCAGGAGCGCATCCGGAGGGAACAACAAGAGAAGAAGAACTACATTCACAGGTACACGCGCCACAGTGAGGGGCTGCGTGATGGCGTGCACATGAGCGAAGTCGAGCTCAACCACATCCCGTTCAGCATGTGTGAGTACTTGGCTTCGACTACCTACCGATATGGCCACCTCTCGAGCATAAACCCGCACGTGGCGATCCCATCGGTTGAAAACTTTGTCGACTTGACTGATGAGGGCAACGGCTCCGGCGTCGGTGCTGGGCTTGCGGGTCCCAACAAGGACAACGTCTCTCTTGACGTCGGTGCTGGAAACAAAGTCGCCGGTCCATCCAGCTCCGTCAACCTCACAAATGGGCTTCACGCCGAGAGGGACCTCACCCCACTCTTCGACACGCCCGTCCCGCACGCCAGGTTCCTCAATGAGTATGAGCTGCCGTCCATCGTACCAGGCGAGCTGGACTTCACCACAACATTCGCCGGATCAACGGGTATATTCCTGGAGCCTGTGTGGGACGCTGATGAAGACTGCTGGAGGGCTCCGAGTCCCGGAATGACGCAGGAACGCGTGAGTGTGGAGGAGATGCTCACGTCTGTGGAATACATTCATGAGAACATCGAGGAATATCAGTCCGAGGAGTTGACACGGCTTGTAGAAGCGAAAGCGCGTAAAGATTCAACGACCAATCACTCTAAGAAGTGAACCCAGGGCTTGGTGCAGTGTCGTTCACTGACTTTGCTTCATCCAAGGGCTGGCGTTGAGTTGGACTTTGCTAAGATGAATGGAACAAATAACCGGCGTTTGGAGTTGGAGTTGAGGCGATATCGTACGACACCTGCTACGATATCATGTTCAGTCTGCCCTTTTCTTCCTTTTTGGTTTGGACACGACCCGTACAGGGAGATACCCAGGGATTGGTACTTACTTTGCGGATGTCAGAGTTCGGACAGGGTCGTACGCACTGCGTTGCAATGCAGAGCGCGTATCTGGTCTGCCCCTTTCTTTTTCATACCCAAGAGTTGACACTTGCTTTGCGGATGGCGGAGCTCACGCGAAAGCGTTCGTACTTCCTTTCGACGCGGAACGCATACCTGGCCTCCCGTTACCTTTTTGCTTCACCGTGCCTTGTATAAGGAGATACCCGCCAGCTTCCAAGAATCTTGCCTCTTACTTCTTGAACGGCCGACTCGATCCGTATGCGTATTGCGGATAGAAAATTACAAAATATTATGATTTTCAATACTATGACGATCTTTTGGGTACATGGAAAGAAGGCGAAGTGGAGTTGCTACCGTGTGATTGTCTAGTGCTCTTGGTTTTACTAGAGTGGCGATGGGGAAATAGAACAAAGGGCTATTCATAGTGGGTAGGCGGCGTCGTTCACAAAGACGGGCGGCACAGTGACTGTGACTATTGAAGATCTCGGCTGTGACACACACAGTCTGAGCGAACGTCTTTGATGAGCCACGATTGACAGTGGGCGGTCGTTTGCATGTTTCAAGGACGTGCACTATGACTCGTCAAGCATGCTTTGACGCACTTGTCACCGCCGCTCTTCACAGCCGCTCCGCCAAGTAATCTCTCTCTCTCCCTCTTTCTTTGTCTATATAAGCAACTCCCTTTAATCACGCTGCATTGTGGAATCCGTTTGCGGAAAAATCAAACCTCGCCGATTCATCCGCAACCGATATGACCCTCGACGATCCTACCAGCGCCAGCTCCAGGCTCTTCTCCCTCCCGGAACTTCTGAATTCCATATTTCTTCACCTACCCTACACTGACCTGCTTCATTGCCGCGCCATATGTGTCTTATGGAAGCATTGCATTGACGTACCTCTTGCAGTGCGCCAACGCATGTGGAAAGCGCCCACCAAGACACGAGAAGGCGAAGAACCGCATTTCGAAGTAGTTTCTGAGAAGGCTGGAAAAGTCGTGTATACTCAGGGCAACGCTGAATGGCACGGCCGCAAGATTCTAGAGAAGAGCCAGGAGATCCGGCTAGCATTTTTGAGCGAGGCGATACCAGGTCAGGAGATGCCAACCGGAAAATATGCGACAGAGATGCAGGAGTCTCGAAACTATGCGATGAGGAGCGTGAATTTTCAGAACGAGTGGCCAGATGGGTACTGTGGTGAGTTAATATCTTGCCTCCTTCCATTGTTTACATGTATATTTTCTAACAAGGCTATGTGAATGCTGCAGAGATAGTATGCTCCCTATGCGATAGGTTCCACACACGTGTCCGTTTCGAGAACCTGCATCCGATTCTTCAGTTTCTTGAGGCCTATGAAATCTGCTTCACAGGAGTGGCGGATCGTCTTATCGTGGAATATGGTGATATGTATTGCCCTGCCTGGATAGCCCTGCGGTGCTTTGGGGAGTTCGGACGGGATATGCTATCTTTCGCCAGGGGATTACGCCGTGCGATGGAGAATGCTCATCTCCACGACGACCTGTTTATCAACCCCCCTGTGACGCTGGTAGCAGCTCCAGAGACCGGTCGAGCGGTCGCAGCCACAGGAGGACTTCTAGTTAGGGACATTTTACTCATCCTACTTGAGTTATTTCATTACCGCTTCAAGTTTAGGGCTGCGAAAACAGCGCTAGATCTCCAGCGAGCGATTAAAAACGAACTTCACATCAGAGAAAACAATGATCGAGAAGCTCAGATAGCACCCTCTCAAACTGAAACAGCCCTAAGACAGAAAATTGCGAAAACCGTGGTCATCCTGGAACGTTTCTTGGTCACAATGGAGGATATCAATGATATCCTCCATGGCGTGAAGGGGTGGTCGAGGGTTGACTTTTGTATCGGCAAGGAGTTTGATGTAAACATTTAGCAGGCTACTGAATCGACCGGTGAGATATGAGCATTCGCATATCGCGAGACAGGGAAGGTATATGCTTGCAACCGCATGAAATAGTTAGCCGTTGTATTAGATGGCTTCACAGACTTTACTGATGCTGTTCTCCCACCCAAGTAGCGAGTTGATCAGAGAGATATAAGTTATCATTTTTGAAAATTTTAAGCAGCATGTTTGAAAACAAGGGTGGAGAACAGTGCATTGCAAATATCCAATTAGCAGTAAAACGGATCGTGGCAAGTAACGCACTCGAACCTCGCCACGTGTGATGCCCGCGTTGCGGAGAGTTGGCATTTGGTAACTAAGGGGTCCGTTGTGAGAAGTCAGCGTCTATATAGCAATCGATGCAAAATGGAATTGTGAGTGGGAATTCCAGTATCCTATACTGCACTCCAATCACCCCTTACGCCTTCGCCATCATCCGCTATTGCCCATTCCTCCCTCCTTGCATTTTCTCTGCTCACCCTTTCTCCATCGCTGCTTCCACCCCGACTCAAGATCTCACTCCTCACATCCAACTCAGTAGTCATCAATATACCTCCCGCAGCAATGATCTGATGGAATGGACTTTCGTGCCCATCCTCGTCGCTCCCCTCAACGTTACACTCCCTTGGCCAGATGATGTCTTCACTACGTGATCTTTTTAGTGTCGAGGACCCCGTCAAAGACGAAACGTTGGTGTCGAGACCCAGATTATGTTTGTTCGACTGCGTGAGCGAGATCGAAAGCGAAGGAAGCTGGTACGAATCGGTGCGTGAGAGAGAGGATGTGCCGCGAGATTTCGGGTTTCGGCGGCGCCTTCGACCGGAAGGGTAGTGGTGCGATGAACGTGGGGGTGGCGGCGGAACAGATTTGAACGAGGCGATGTTTGCGGCTATGAGAGCGGATTGGACTTCGAGAAGAGACCAGAAGGTGATTCGCATAGCGTCCTGTCGGACGTCACTGGAGGCTGCAGAAGTTTTGAGCAACGTGATCCTCAGGATACTACACGTTGTCGCTAAAAGACCCAAGGCCACGAGTATAATGGCCAGAATTCCCTCGCGGGTCGGGACCAACCCTGCCTGCGCGAAGGTTAACGGCGCCAAAGCAAGGACCAGATCTGTAGCAGTGCCGACACCAGCATGTGCGTATTGGCCTGCAAGTACTGCGCTACTGGCAGTACAGACAGCATCCCTATCGACCGGCTCGCTCCATATGTAAGCCAGTGGTATGCATTGCACTACCAGAAAGACCAGGTCGATAATGCAAAAGACGACTTGCGCGGCGATAAGGAGGGAGAGCGTGATCCGCCATGGACGACCTTGTTTGAGTTGGAGGAGCGCGAATATAACACTGATCCTGACGAGAGCTGTAGCCGGTATCCATAGTAGTTCTGAAGCGAAAAGAAGATGGTGGGCGTGAAGTCTGGAGTATTGTAAAGATGAGATGGTGTTATTGCCGAGGCCATACGTGGTCGCAGCTATGACAAGAGACCATTCTACCAGTGAAAGCAGCTTCTTGGGGTCAGTCTGGGGTTTGAGCACTGAACACTGACATACAGTAGCTGGTGTGATACTATAGTCGTCCCATCGAAACCGTCTTCGCTTCACTCTTTCGTACATGCGCCAACCGAAAAGAGTTAAGATTATGACGAAGAGAAATGCTGTAACAACGAGTACTGTCGTTGCTGGCGATCCCGCCATCCTAGGTGTGGAGTGTGGTCAATTCGACGAGACGAGAGGTGACTCACCCCAGAAGACAAGAATTGTGAATAGTTTTGATCAGCGGACTAGCCGCGCGCATCTATATCACAGGTTCGAACACCAAACCGAGCACCAGGATACCTTTGTGCACCTATCTATTGCAGCGACTCATGTATGTTGATGCCATGATCGACGGCCATACACGAGCTGCAGTGTGGGTGGATAGCGCAAATAGCCAGAAACCATGCATACATACCACTTGCCGATTCGATGACACGCGACCACTACTACCCGGTAGATTAGCGCTACAAATTTGATGCAGTCGTTCCATAGTGCTCATCCGGCTCGTGAACTGGGAGTATTGGGCGCGTCTTTTAGCCTGTGGTACCTGGCACCGGGGTCTGAGGGATTCAACGTCTCGGGAGAGATCTCTGCGCCATACATGTTCCTGGTCAGTACACAAATACACCTAGCGAATATCATTGACAAGTGGAACAAGTATTCCTAAGCCAAACTGAAATTTGGATGTGTACGTGACCGGTTGCTACTACAGTCAGTGGTACAAGCGAATAAACCAACTTGAGACGATTGTTGTTGTCTTTTCATTTCGGTGGTTCAGATCTTCATTCGTGCATTGTGTAGCTGCCATGCACCAACCTCGATAGCAGGTCCGAATAGTCCAATCCATCGCGAGCAGCTGCTAGGGCTGTCAAGCTCGCTTGCTTTTCAAGCCCTGGTCGACCAGGTCCAGTCATATTCTACGTATCTTGCCGCTTTTCTCTGCCTCGGCTCAACTATATTTGTCTAAACGCGACACGGTACACCGACCACGAGTTGCTGTCTTGCATCAAGAGCTCGATCTGCCTCTTACAATGGCGTTAAGAAGCCGAAAAAGCCTGGCGGTAAACATCTCGAGCATTCCATACGAATGAAGAATGTTGAATTCTTGACCTTTTCCAGGCTACGAAGGCTGGGGTGCGGATGTTGCTTACATATTGGCGCACTACTGCAAGCTCGACGTCGTGGCATTCTCGCCCTCACCTGATCTGATCCTGTGAATGAGTCGGATTGAGTTTTCGGAGATATGGAATCTGGCATGCTCTCCGCGGTCGAGCGAGGCGCATGCCATGTCTGAGCAAACACAATCCTCTTCGTTACCCAACCTTTTGCAAACATCCGAGAAGCTAGACGAAGCAACCAAGCAACTGAGACTCGTGCGTGAGCCCGCTAAGCTAGTCGAGTTATACGATGACAAGAATTACGTCAATTCACGTTTGAGGTCCAAGGAAATTTCAGGATACCTCTAGCGCAAGTTGCCCGAAACGAGCAATGGTGAAGACGTACTTCTGAAGCAACACTTGAGACGGAGCGCTTGGATCGATCGGAAAATTGCTGATTCGACACGCGTCTCAAGACGTTGATTTGAGACGCCGATACGAATAAATTTTACATTTAGACGGGAGAATTACTACGGCACGCTATAAATCTGGACGCGCAGCAGCAACACTGGGCGAACACTGGCAGACATCGAACATGAATATGGGGGAAATTTCAAATCATCGACTAGATGGAGAACTGAGGATGGTACCACAGTATACAATGAATGATTGGCTTTGTTTGAGAAAGACGGTTTAGACACTTCGGTGTTGGAGCACAACTTCTAGGTATCGGTAGTTGTAGATATCTTAGAAGTTGGCCGCGAAGTTTTGCTGGTCGACTATAAGTGCCTTTTTGAGCACAGTTGTTGCCAACTGTTACCACGATGTGCCATTCATCAAAACGCCTTAAAGATCAACGTTATCGAGTGCGTTCGCGCTTCTCTTTGTACCTACTAAAGGATGTTGATGAGGCCCAGTCCATAAAATGAGAGCACTGCATCACCCTAAAAGAAGCAGTTCAATACCCACACTTTCGATTCGCTCTGTTTGCTACCTATGGGCTATGACGCATGGTCGAAGAAGCCTTAGTCTAGGAGGTTATGCAGCAGAAATGAGGGCTTATTGGAGAACATGTTGGAACGGAACATGCGTCAGTGCCTGACACGGTGGCGATGCGCTCGGGTTTGGAACAATTATATTCAAGAAACAAGCTAGAATGGACATTGGTACGCTTGGTTGATCTCATGCATCCTTCAGGCATGCCAGTTTCATTCTCGTGTGGTGGGCAACAGACACTTACAATGAATAAATTTAAATCGACGAATCTGGATGTGTAAAGGTTTTTGTTCACGTGAAGAGAAAAAGAGACTTACTAGCTGTGCGTGAAGGCCATACGCTATTTCTGTCTTATAATCAGGATCGTGGTGGCACGGGCGTCTGATACTGAAAGCCAGCCGTGCGTGCCGTGCATACATTGTAAACACGGTTGGGATTAGCCTGCACTAGACCGTCCCACAACCGCGAGAGGCTCAACCCACCCAATTGTGGCTGTTGCTGTGAATTTGTGAGCTCAAAGCGCCCAGCGCCAAGCACGAAAAATAACATAGAGAAAACCTTATGTCATTTTCATTAACTCATCCTAAAGCCATCGAAGGCGTCCAAGCTCAGCAGAGGTTCGGGCCAAGGCGCCACTGTGCTGTTGTGCCAAACTTGCGAAGGAACCTAAGGCTTGATGTGTATGCTTGTCGGAACGTCTTGGTCGGACTTCTGTTCGAAGGAATGGCATCGCATAGGCGATATTGCATAACGGATACACGTATGAGCCTGGAAAATCCTTGCACTCCCAAGCGAGAACCGGTGAAACCAGGGTACGGATATGTGCAAACATTTGCATCGCTGGGCTTGGAAAAGCGAAGTGTTTAACACTCGCCAAACGTTGTGCCAACAGTGGTCTTCCTATCCACAGCTGCCTCGCCTCCTGCAGCTGATATAGTTGCGTCGAGAGTGGATGGCTTCGCGTATAGCCAGCAAAGGATGCGCATAGCTATCTATGCCAAGAAAGCTCACTCGGCCTAGCAAATTCCGATCGCACTCGCAAGGACACGCGTGCAGAGCTGAGATCTTGTCCTCCTTTGCGCTTAGCCGATTCGGGTAGGTCGAGCGCTAGAGGATCGTCTGGGGTTCCCGTAGTGCGGAGATGTTCAACCCCGATCGGTAGCCTGCTGATTCGTTCCTTTGTTGCTCGCGCCATGGGACATGCTAGTACCCGCAAGACAAACATATCGATAGGCGTACATCGTTCTGGCAGGTTGGGAGAGAAGGACGCTTTCAGACTCGAGTCGCAGTCAACATGGTCTTGCGGCTGAGAAAAGGCATGCATGCTGGAATACTGCTGCGAATGGTAGGCATACGCTGGAGTTTCCGGTGACTGGGAAATTGCTTACGGCCCTTGTCTTTGTGAAAATGAGCCTGCTGATCTTCTCCGATTTGGTCACACCTCGAGACAAGCATACGAACTGGCTGGAGCGCGGGGAAAGTTGCGGGAGGCCAAAGCCCCAGGCGCGCACACGCAGCCACCCTGCAGCCTCGAAGCTGTGTAACCAATGAGATAAGACTCCGCTAAGCCACCTACGCCTGCCCAATGTTCAATTTGAAGCTGTTGCATCGCTGACGCCGGCTTGGATCGAGGGTGCAATGGTGCGTTTGTTGGACCGTCGCGTGATATCGCTGCAGCATCCAACCGAGCGGCGATGCCTTCACTTTGCCCAGAAAAAGCCGCCGCCCTCTGTGTGACCCAAGCGCTGCAACGCGAGCCCATGCACCGACCGCTTTCAACCCAACCGGTTGCCTGGATCCCCGCAGCTTATAAAACAGAGCTCTCCCCAGTCACCGACCTCGCAACTGGATCGCCCTCCTGAACAGCTCAAATCGGGTTTGTCGTAAACATGGCGGACGAGAACGAGAAGATCTCAGGCACCGAGTAAGGTCACCGTATTCGCACCTCGTCGCAAGCTCCAGCAAGCTGATCGCAGCAACCCAGACCTACCGAGCGCCGCAGCTCCATCCTCGATACTGAGGAGAAGCGTCGTCAAAGCATTACGCAGTTGACGGCCAATACCGAGGGAGAGTAAGTTGCCAACGAAAGCCCATAACGAAGAGTTTGCGCGTGTTTTCGTTATTTGTGTCGCCGATCCTGCACGTCGCGCAAGCTTTTGCGTTGATGCTGCATACAAGTCTGGTTTGGTCGCTCCGCTAACGTCAACAGGATTCGTAATCCTCTTGTCGGCCTTTCCAAAGAGCAACTGATCGCTGATGTCGAAGGCTTCGCGCGCGAGCACCAGCTGGAGGACATCACCCCACTCCTCATTAAGGGTGCGCTCGCCGCTCAGGCACCCGCGCTGATTGACGAGATAGAGGAGCTTGACGAGAATGACCGAATTTGCCTCCGCGAGGAAATTACGCATCGCTGGAAGTTACCCAAGATTCTATATGCGACCATCATCCTTAACTCCATCGCTGCGGCTATTCAGGGCTGGGATCAGACGGGCTCAAACGGTGCCAACTTGACTTTCGCACAGCAATTCGGCATCCCTGACGGCCCTGCATCTTTCTGTGACGAGAGCCCTGCGAACACGGCATTGTGCCGTAAGAACAGCTGGATTGTCGGTTTCGTGAATTCCTGTCCTTACATTGCCATTGCCCTCTTCACTGCTTGGATTTCCGACCCGATCAATGACTTGATTGGCCGCCGCGGTACCATCTTCATTGCTGCAATCTTCTCAGTCCTCGCTCCCATCGGCTCAGGTCTTACTCAACACTGGGGCCAGCTCGCAGCATGTCGTGTACTGCTTGGTGTCGGCATGGGCCTCAAGGAAGTGTAGGTGTCTGCCGCCTCGGTTTCAACATTTGCACTGCTCATATTCATCAGGACCGTCCCTGTCTTTTCCGCAGAGAATGTTCCGGCCTCTGTCCGGGGAGGTCTAGTGATGTCTTGGCAGATATGGACTGCGTTCGGCATCTTCCTGGGCACGGTGGCTAATCTTGTTGTGATGGTACGTTGATTGTCCGGTATAGTGTTCTCCAGGTTCCTGACTTGTCAACAGGATGTTGGCCGAATTGCCTGGCGACTGCAGCTGGGCTCCGCATTCATCCCGGCCGTTCCACTACTCTTCGGTATCTATTTCGTGCCAGAGTCACCCCGTTGGCTGATGAAGAAACGTCGATATGCCAAGGCATACAAGTCTTTCCTCCGGCTCCGTAATACTCCTCTCCAAGCTGCGCGCGATCTGTACTACACTCACGCGCTCTTGGCTCAAGAGGAGGTTCTTGTCAAGGAGGCCGGCCTGACGCCGAGCAGCAACTTCTTCAGCCGCTTCGTCGAGTTGTTCACCATCCCTCGTGTGCGGCGTGCTACTCAAGCCTCCGGTATCGTCATGATCGGGCAACAGATGTGCGGTATCAACATCATTGGCAAGTGTCTCCCGGGAAAGGTTGGTGTTTTGGCCAAGCACGAAGATACCTATTGTCTATTCGAGACATAAGAAAGGGCCTGTTCTCAGCTTGGGACACCAGCGAAGTACCATTACTCCTCTTTCTCGCAATGGACTGACTGGGTCTGGCAGCCTTCTATTCGAGCACGATTTTCCGAGAGGGCGGCGCCACGGACAAGGTTGCCCTCATCGCCTCGTTCGGTTTCGGTCTCGTCAACTTTGTCTTCGCTTGGCCGGCCGTATGGACAATTGATACCTTTGGCCGCCGCGGACTGTTGCTGTTCACTTTTCCCAACATGTTCTGGTCGCTTTTAGTCGCGGGCATGTGCTACTATATCCCGGCGTCAAGCACTGCACACATGGCTTTGATCGCCTTGTTCGTGTACATATTTGGCGCATTTTACTCTCCAGGTATGGGTCCGGTACCATTCACGTACTCGGCTGAGGTCTTCCCTCTGTCGCATCGTGAGATGGGCATGTCTTGGGCTGTGGCGACCAATAACTTCTGGGCGTCCGTCCTCTCGCTGACCCTCCCGACCATGTTGCGCGTTATGAAGGCACAGGGTGTCTTCGGTTTCTATGCCGGACTAAATATCGTAGCCGTGATCATGATGTAAGTTCACCGGCTCTAATGGTGAGATATGGCTAACCATCTTCAGCTTCTTGTGGCTGCCGGAGACCAAGCAACGTACGCTCGAAGAGCTCGACTACATCTTCGCCGTGCCGACGCGCACTCACATGAGATACCAAGTCGGCCAGAACCTGCCTTGGTGGTTCAAGACGTATGTCCTCCGCAAGAAGGGTCTCGCGAAACCTGCCCTGTACAAGTTCGACCACGTTCACCGTACTGCGCCATCTCCCGACATTACTGGCGTGAAGGCTTAGGAGTGATCGGGCACCTCGCATGGAACATTCGATCACCACAGTGGTCTTCTGCGCGTGAGACTGATTCCTCCGATAAATTCGTGTTTGCGATACATATTGGCTAGCCAGCTTTGTCTGACAGCCCGTCTTAGTAGTGGTACGTGAGTAGACAGCGGTGAGTCACTCATTTGGTAATGGAAAGAGATCAAACAGTAATATTGCATACTAAGCAATTCTCAATTCTTGATATACGACCATGTGCTGCGCATGCGATAGCTCGGTCACTAATGGCTTGCGGAGTCGTTGCCATTGAAAACATGATCATATGTGTTGCATCGACTTCAGGTGAACGCGATTTGACATTTGTTTGCTGATTGTCATCGCGGGCGCTTCCGTCCATTTCATATCTTTTCTCGTCTTAGCCCAGACGAAGCGCATCGGCATCGGGCCGCCGTGTCGTAGGTTCCGCGCTGGTCCGGGCAGTTCGATTGTGCATTCACGTTCACGCCTCGCGGCCGCTGAAGAGTTCGCACCGTTCGAAGAAGCGAGAAAGGCCATGGCAAGTCGTTGGATTAAGGCCCCAACAGTATCCACAATAAAACGGCTGTGACGTTGTGGCAGCGTGTGTGGAGAGACTAGAAGGAGCTAAGCGTCTACCCACATGTCAAGCAGGAACGACCCACTCATCTGACGCCGTTTAGCCTCGGTACAGCATAAGCAGCATAACATCACGCCGTGTCGCATGACCGTCTTACTGTATATTTTGCTCGTGTATCCTTCTCTGGTTCGCTTTTGTATATCTGTCGGTGCCTCTATCGCGTCGTTCGTGGAGCCGTCGTACGTAATTCCCCAGCAATACCCAGAGACCACTCGAGACAAAGTGACAATGGGTTTCAATCTCAAGCAACAGCTCGTCTTTGTGAGTGAATTCCATAGGTCAAGCACACGCTCTCATTTAACATCACTAGTACGGTGCTTACCACAACGAACCGACCAATGTCGCGATCCACATGGCTTGTGTACCACTCCTGCTAGCAACTGGCCAGATACTTGTACGTCCGATACCGCGCAACCTTTCTTAGCTAACTCATCACAAAGTTGACCAACACGCCTGCTCTACGCACTCCGACAATGCTATCGCGCCTCAATCTTCCTTTGAACGTAGCAACTCTTGCCTCATTGACATACTCGACTCTCTACCTAGTCCTCTCTCCCAACCTTGCCGGCGCCACTATTAGTCCACTCGTCCTAGGAGGCGCTGCCTTCGCTAACAGCCTCACCATCAAGTACGATCGTACCAAAGCCAATACTATCGCTGCCGGCGTGCACATGGTATCCTGGATCCTGCAATTCATCGGCCACGGTAAATTCGAAGGCCGTAAGCCTGCCCTACTAGACAATCTGGTGCAGGCATTGTTCCTGGCACCGCTGTTCGTCTGGTACGAAATCCTGTTCAAGCTGGGATACTACAAGGGCCTGAAGAAGGAAGTAGATAGTGCGATCGAAGTTGAGCTAAGAAAATTGAAGGCGAAGAAAGGAGAGTAAACCTGTGATAAGGGTGGAGGTGGGCTTGTACTCATGGGAGAGATAGTGCAGAGTGGTAGTAGTCATACCGTCTCATGTTTGTATACAACACTGGTAATGACCATACCGGGATGTTTGTCGTATGAAGTGGTGGAAGTGAACAGGCGTCGAACGGTGTGAGGACACTACCAATGCCCAACAGTGCTCCACACAGCTTTACTCAGCATCTGAGTTGTTGGCACCTGGGTTGTTAATGTGCCAATGAACCAAGTCTCGCGCCGCAATTGCATCCTCCAAAGAATCGTGACCCGTCGTACCCTCACCGAGTTGGATCTTCCGACCTAAACGCTTATCCACCAGGGTCTTGAGCGACAGGTCTCCTCCCTTCCTTTTCCTGGGTTTGTGTACCGGCGGTACAACAACCCTGTTCGCACCTTCACCCGATACCGGCGTCTCTTTGACAGGTTCCACGTAAGTACCATCAGCCTTCGCCTTCGCAATCGCTTCCTCTTCCGCAATTCTCTCTTTCTCCTCCCTAATTCTTTTGATGTTGAACTCGATCACAAATGAGTCGACGACACGCTCATGAATCCACTTCATTGATCTCAAGTCGTTGTGGACACCATGTCCTACAACGATTGTCTGTTCGCCAACAAACCTCCATACTGCATATCGCGCCCCTGTGGTAGCTTTTAAGATCGTTCGCCTCCTCTGTGCTTCACGCATATGACCCCAAGTGACGCCCGAGTACTTTGTATTGAGGTGTCGTAATGGTACGTCCGGCTCCACGATATTGTTTACGAGAACCTCACCCGTGAAGTAGTCTATTAGGGAGACTTTGATAAGCTCCGTGTCTCCAGATTGGGCGGTACCCATCTCGCAATCCAGAGCGACAGCTGCCCGGAGGTCTTGGCCTCTGGTCAGGCTATCCTGGTGTACGATAGGCGTAAAGTGCAGTTGATGGCGCCGGGTGAGCTCCATTAGAGACTCGTCGCGGGGATTGTGGAAATCAGAGCCGCTGCAAGGGTCAGCGGTACAGTGCTGATCGCAACATGTCCAATACTATTACTATGTCAGGTGACCGCCTGGAGCGACAAAGGATACCCATCTGACTTACCTTGTATTCAACCTTGCCGGGATGAAATCTGCACTTGAATTTAGGAGCGGTCGCAGCCTTCTCCGCCGGCCCATTGAACTCGGATGCAGATATCTGAGGTGCGCCTGCCACATTCGCTGCATGCGCCGAGATAGAAAGACCTGGTCCCGTCCTCTCTCTACCTCTGAGTTGCGACATGGCTATAGAGGGTCAGTAATGATTTCAAATGTGAGCGGCAAATGCTGTTACCTTTGTTACATCCTAGACATCGCCGCTTCAGTAAAAGCTCTTCGTCCGTAAGAGGCGCTGTGATGAAACCGTGCCTTCGAAGGTCGCCCGGGGGCTCCATCAACAGCTGCAGCTGCATCATATATGTTTCTGACTGCGCGACCATATTCATTCCGTGAATTATTTGTAGCGTTTCGCAGAGTTCATCAGGCGGAGGGTAAGGAGGTAGCCTGATGATACAGGACAGCCGCGCTAAGACGCACCTCGTTATGTAATATACGGTAAACAAACAGTCTGATTGGCGGAGAGCTCATCATAACAAATCCGTGGACGTATCTTTCTTCGAGACAGAGTCTTTGCGACAAAGAGTACCCGTAAGACACATCAGGTAAGAAAGCATAACGCTTTACCAAAGTTTTTCAGCTGTCTCGTTCGACATCGAAGCTTATCGCAATCGAAATAGCGTGCTTGTCTTTCGCTTCGTTGTCGCGGCTCCACTACCATCATTTAGAGCACTTTTGGAGGCATTTGTTTCATTCTTGTTCGGCGGAAGAAACACCGAAGAGCCAAGTGCTGCATACTGTACATAAGGTGGAGTCTTCAATGCGTCGTGAAGAGATCTTAACGTGTCTGTCAAGTATGTTGGCTCATGACTCTCCGTATAGCAAGGTAGAGTGCGCCATGTCGATTGTTGAAACAGGGAGGATCTTGGGTACCATGTTTCATGGTCTGAGGTTGGACGGGGCAATTCATATTTCTCCACTAAAAAAGAACGTTTCCTGTCACAGATATCACCCAAGGTACACCTAGGGATTACCCTTAACCTGCAAGACCCGTTGACGGCACCCGTTCATTGTACGCAGACCCCTTCGCTCGCGCTCCAGAGACGGTGCGTGTGCGCTCATGGATGCCAAGAGAAACCGTTGACGATAGCTGTCGAGAGCAAAGCCCTCTGCGATCCACCGTGGATGTGCGCCGTGACTCTCAAACCCACCAGCCGAGCGAGAACAGCCGTTGAGAGCAGAGTATTCATGCCATCCAGTGGACATCGACCGGACTCTGCCCGCCAAAGATTGTCGCGCCCCATGTATCCAGAAAACTGCTCTTCTTGTAGCCCATCAAGATAAGCAAGGTCCTGCGCTCGCGAGATAATGACTTTTGAATGCCTTGTCGTGATTGTGCTGCATACGCAAGTAATTCCATGTGTGATTCGTTCTCGTGCCTGTTCCTGGGATGTGGGGCATACTGGTTTTCTCGCAAATCCTTGGAGAAAAGCCTGCCGCTGCATGCAAATCTTGGTAGGCGATTACCATAAAATAAATGCGTAGCACACGTCCTCCCTTGGTACACCCGCGTCTCCATGAAGACACACCACCTGTACCGTTGAAACCGTCCCAATCGCTCACGATAGCTGTTGAGATCAATGGAATGGTCCTCTCGCCTCGTGCAATTTAGTCCCAACACTCTTTCTCCTTCTGTATATAAACCCTCCGAAACCGCATAATTCTCTTGCATTCACTCAGACTCCAACACTCTCAACCCTCCAGCACATTTCGGCCTTTGAACACATTTCAGCACCTCGGCACTCTTCCCACAACAACTATATCAACTTGAGACACCCTTCATGAACACACTTAGCCCACTCTTGAAAGGTAGGTACTATTCTGTAGTGTGGATGCTTCAGGGGATTAACAGTCGCAGGCAAAATGGCACTCAACCATTGGACTCGGTTCCCGGTGAACTTTTGCTATCAGTGTTGGTGTGGATACGAATGCAGATGCATCTTCATGGACGCCGAGCTGGGTTCTCAACAGCCAAGCATGCAGCACACTCCCCAGCAGCTGCTCGAAAAGCCTGGAATGCCAGAGAAGACGAGGGGCCGCCCAAAGAACTCCAGAGACAAGGTTCCGCGCAACCGCAAGGGCGAAGGGCTAGCAAAGAAGCCCACCTGGGCGAAATCTGGACGCCCCAGCAAGCAGCAGAAACAGGCTCTTGAAGAGAGGAAGGCGCTCAAATACCTGATCGACCGTGAAGAGCAGATGTTCGGCATTTCCAACCCAGAATTGAATGCTTGTCTGCAAAAGCTCGAAGGACAAGCCCGCTTGAAGAAATGATGCCAGTACGGGCGCCGACTTGCATGTGGAATGTGTCATTCGGACGTTATTCGGTTGCGACATTTGTCACGTTTTCGGATTGATTCCTAGCTCTTGAAGTTGTACTCTCTTCCAAATCGGCCTGACGGTACCATCGAACATACCATTCGACTCGGCTCAAAGCTCTTCACCATCTACCCCTCGCCAGCTTCTTCTTCTTCTTCTTCTTCTTCTTCTTCTTCTTCTTCTTCTTCTTCTTCTTCTTCTTCTTCTTCTTCTTCTTCTTCTTCTTCTTCTTCTTCTTCAACAATTTCTTCTTTCGCTTTCGGCGGCACATCATCCGGATGCGGGTTTCCCTCATGGTGTCCATCGCCTCGGAGCTTTCCCCACAAAAGAAAGAACGCCAACAACCCCAGTAGAAAGGCTATCACGGTCGGAGCAGCGGGATGCCGCATTCTTGCCTCCTTCCTTTAGCTTTTGGTTCGCACAGCGATTGGTTTTTTGATACCCTTGGTGTTCTGAAGATTCGCGATTTTGGGGTTTAGCATTTGTGTGCGCGTTGAGGGGCCGGCGCTGGTCTCTACAGGGCTTTGGGGGTGTTGACAGTTTCAGGTGGCTCTATCTGCTTCGATCTTATTAGTTATGATTTCACAACCAATCAAATACCGACTACTTCTCCACCTATGTCATATGCTGCGCAGTGACATTGAATACTTACCGCCCACGATTCCCTTGCTCTCGGTGGCTCACTCGGAATCAACTAACATGGCACTAGAACCCCGGGGTTTCTATCGGCGACGTAGTTATTTTTTGTGACGTGTGCGATGGCTCTCCTGACGTGTTCTATGGGAAGTTAGAAGTGGGAATGAAGTTAAAGGCTGCGTGCGACATCGGTCTCTGGGCAACCCACCAATGAGCTTCCCGCTGTGGGGCCGGCGCAGACTTGGCGAAACGTGTAGCCCGCACGATCGGAAACGGTCGAACTTTGAACCTGATTGCAAGGGGTCATGTCCAAAGACTTGGGCTGCATTGATCTGCTGATCAGTCCTGGTATAAATGATCAACTATCTACTACAAACTTAATCAAATCGGGCATCTCTAACAATCCACCAAACTAACTGCCCTTTCAAAGAGGCCATATTGCGCCGCGTGAGCGCCATGCTAGCAATACCACGATCTATGAATGCCACGATCACCACAAAACCAAAACTCCGACCTGATCCATATGGCACATAGTACAAAATCTCCCTGTCTCGTCCTTAAAGATACGCCATCCACAGCGCATCCGTCTGGCATAGCTTCAGCGGATTGACCGCAGTACTGACCAAATCCACCATCGTCTGGTTCGCCGGCAAGTTGCTCGTCTGTGGCAGACTGCCCATACTCGTGGCCCGCTTGACAACCAGATCACTATTCGTTTGCACCGTTTCCCGTAGGCTCTCGGCTGTCAACCCCTTGTGCTGGCTGGTGAACCAGTGATTCATCTCATCGCGCATGAAGATGGCGAGCTGCATCTCCAGCTCGCCCTCAGGTTCGATAAGGCACCGCGCAATGCTCATGACAGAAGGTGCGAAGATACCTTCGAGTGCAAGAGGGCCCATCAGGGTCTGCATATTCGGCGTGAGACGGAAAGGCACCGGCTCGCTGTTGTGCAGGATCGGCTTTCCAACTGCCATGGAAGGGATGAGCTCGGAGCCCCAGACACGCCCGCTGCCGCGCGAGATGCTGATTTTGTGAGGGAAGCGCGAATTCATGTGCATGACGTACGTCATGAATGTCAGCGCAGCAAGCTGATAACTGAAGGTGCGACGGAACAGCCAGAAGTCCTCGAAGACTGGATATGTGCTGCGGAAGTAGTCCAGGAGGAGGGTCTGCGGCACATATTTTTCTTGCACAGCGGCAAAGGTTTCGAAGCGAATGCTGTTGGCATGTTCGATGTTTTTCTGCATATTGGTGTCAGATTGCTCTTTGTGCACGCGAAGGTTCGGGGGCCTTACAGGATTGAGAGCCTTGAGCTTCTCCAGACTAAACAAAACAGGTTCGTCCTTGTTAAGGCTGTTTCTCCGACAGTAGTCTTCAAAAATACCTTGCATGCTGATATAAGAAGCGTCGTCCTGTACCATGCGCACAACTGGTGTAATAGGCACCATGAGAGGGAGATGAAATTGCAGGTTCCGCCTTCGGCTCTCTTTACGTTTCGAGAGGATGCCATTGAAGATTCTGAAAAGTTGCAGAATACGTTCTTCTCTCCTGGAGCTTCTCTGTGCAGGGAATTGTATGGCGAACGGATGGATGCTTCCATCGTGACCGCGTATCTTGAGTCGACGGTGGCATATACCGATGCCACGCACTACGTCGACATCTGGCAGGAAACGTTCAATCCGAACGAAATCAGAGTTCTTGTCCCGATGCTGCAAGTATTGGCCTGGAACTTCCACATCATCGAACTTGAGGAAGCGGAATTCACTGAGCTGCTGGGTGTACGATTCGAGAGGGACGACGAGCCTCCTACGATCGAGGCGCTCTTCAAACCTGTTCCGCCACATACGTAGTTTCTGGATGTATTCATACATGGTGGGTTTGTTGGTGACAAAATCAAGCTCGAAAGCTTTGCGGATGTGTGGCGGTAGTACGGACTCGGCAAAACGTGTTATGTTAGCCTCAGTGGACGAGGGAAGTCTGACCTCCTGCCCGTAGAGGCCAGGAGAACGACCAACATATGCTAGACCATCGTTCAACAGAGCGACGATCAATCGATAAGCATCCTCATCCGGAGGACACTTGAAGTTCTTTTGGATCTGATCGAGCATCGTCTCCATTGAAAGCGCCAAAAGCGGGAAAGCCGTCTTGAGAATTGCCGATATCTCTTCCACATGGTCCCAGGGTCGTTTGAGGGTTGGTGGTTTGGTCTCTTCGGTAGTCGTTCCATTCGATGCGTCTTGCGCGGTCACTTCGGCCTTGACCGTTCCAGTGCTGCCATTGGTGGCAGGTTTGGCTTCGCCGTTCGCAGACGCAGGTCGATTTCCGCTTGCACTTGATCCAGGACGATTGTCGGGAGAGCTTTGCTTTGGAGCTGGTGATCCCTGGGCACCTGGGGTTCCTTGAACACCTTGAGACTGTTGCTGCTTCTGCTTGGCTGCCTTCTCCTTTTGCTCGTGGGTTTTCTTGAGAGTGACCATGTCTTCCCTAGTCGTCCTAAGATGGCAGTAAAGCGCCTGAGGATATGTCTTGGCCAGTTTCCCGAGGATGGAACGAGCGATAGGAGCTTCGGGCCTCGACAAGCTATTGAGCAGCTGCGGAATGAACGTGATCCAATACCATGCCGGCGTATCACCTTGGAACGCCTCAAACTTCTCTGCGAGACGCCGCTCAGGGTTGTCCAGGCTGAGTAGCCAAAGCACCCGACCTAAGAGTTTCCTAGACTTCGCGTTCTTGTACAGACTGGCCGCTTCCAGATAGCAGCTCAAAGCAGCCTCAGCCTTGTCCAGGGTCGAAGGATCTTCCTTGAAGAGCATGTCGTTGTAGCGACCCCATTCAGCCCATGCCTTTGGCAACTTTAGATCAAAGATCATAGCTGTACCGAACGCATCGTTGGAGTCATTGCTCTGACCAAGCTTCGCGAGGAACATCCCCTTGAGAGTATAGAATTCAGCCTTCTGCTGATTACCAAAGTAGTTGAGATTGGTGTTGTTAATAACATCTAGACCATTGTTCAACTCTGATTTGTTCTGGTAATGACACTTCGCTTGCTCGCGCAATTTCAAGAAAGCTTCCTGGATTTCGATGTTAGGGAGGGTGTATATGCGGCTGAGCTGCTGGATACAGACGTCTGGAAGGTTGTGCTTCCGAGCGACGTGGGCAAAGCGGTTGATAATCCAGGCAGTCTCGTGGTACCCACGATATGCGAATGAATTACCGCTAGGATTGCTAGGATTGGGGGGAAGCAGCTGCAAGTAGACCCCGTTTATGAGGTGGAAGATGTGCTGACGCCAGGTGACCAGATCCTGCCATGCGTTGATGTCGTCCCAGAAGTTTGGTAAGCGGTCGCGCCAAGTGGACAGCAATAGTTTGAGTTCTTGCGACTTGTGATCAAGGTTGGCCTGAGTCGTCTGCGCAAGGCTCTGGCAGATCACACTCGCATCATGAAGTTCGACTAATTGTTGGAAATGCTGTAAGAGTGGAATATGCGCTTGAGTGATGCGACGAGGCAACTGGTGCCACTTTCTTATAGAGAGCTGGATTGACTCATCGCATAGCCTGTGAAACTCCGGCTGGGTTTCCTGCTTAGAATGCAGCTTAAGCAGTGATATGAATGTCTGAAAGAAAACTCGTCGCGGCGTTGGTGCGTCGCTGACAGCTTTGATGGTCGCATCAAGCTGTTCTCGTTGTTCAGAATTCTGCCACGCTTCGAAGTGCCTCCAGGTCGCTTCCAGGTATAGGTCGTTGAAGTTTTCGTGTTTGGCAAAGTCGCTCAAAACCTCCCACTGCTGCAGCTTTTGAGCGCAGAGAACCCAGTGATCCTCCCAAAGCATATATTCGCCCGTAGAAAATGGTAGAACACTAGTCCGAGCCTTGATCTGGGCAGCTTCGTACATCTGCTGGGCCTTATCCCAGATTCCGATCTGCTCGTACGATAGCGCGGCGTTAGTCTCGATGAACTGGCATCTCCTGCGCCATGTGCCATAAAACAAGTCGTCTTCTTGCATGCCGGTATAGATCTCGAGCAACGCGTCAAGATTGCTTTCTCTGAGCTTCTCGGTATCGACGATGGGATTGACTGCTGACTCTTCCATATACACAGCGCCAGTATACCAAGCGTTGTACGAACGAGCAAGATACTTCATGATATGAGGTGGGAACTTGACACGAGGTCTTGCGTGCACGATGGCATCCAACATACTTGCGACGCAATTCGGGCGCTTGTCGAGCTGGCGAGAGTGATAGTCTTTGGTCAGCAACGCGGCAATGCCCTTCTCAAGGTCGCTCTGGTCGTCCTTTGTGAGAGCAGTCCAGGCAAGCGGGAAGAACGCAACCCATATATCATGTGCAAGGTTACTGTCCATGTGTTGGAGGTGCCCTAGAGGCTCAAATAGGTCCTTGATCTTGATATCGCCGAGCTGGTTGCAGAAGCGACGGTGGCCAGCGACAAGATTGTCGAGCTCATCATCAACCATGACGTCGGAGATGCGAGAATCTCTGCTGTAGGTGCCAAAGACCAAAGAGTTCTGCGGTAGTCGGAAGTCCTCAGGATGAAGTTGTGCTTGGGTGTTCATTTCGACTGAGCCAAACATCAGGTGAATAACTTGGCTTAGCCAGTAGCTATCGGCGAGAGTATCCCAGTTCTGAGAAGCAAGAACGTAGCTGAGTCTGCTTGCTGCGGTACGGCTTAAGCTCTTATCGAAAATAGTCATGTAACGGTTGCGCATTTCTACATCTTGGGCTCTGGTGCCGATGAGGAAGGCATGCTCCATTCGGACTGTCAACTCTGAGCGCGTTATCTTCGGATCCTCGTAGATACGAATGACAAGATCAAGGAAGCGGTTGAGGAGCGACGTATCCGGACGGTGTTCGAAGAGAAGCATCTTGCTGAGCACCGCCGTCTTCTCTTTAAGTGTCGGAACAGGCTCGTTAGAGACAAATATCCACTCCTCCACGAGATCGAGCACTTTGGTACACACCGCAGTACTTTGAGATCGTTCAACCAAGGACGCAAGCACACTAAGATACGGCCGACGATTCTCGCCGAGCTCGTTCATCCGGGCAGCTAGGATATCCACAACTTTGAGCACTAGGTCGGTCTGGATCTCTGCCTCACGGGGATCTAGTGGTGGAGTAGCGCTGTCAGGCCGGGTACCAGGTGGGACGGGGGGCTGGCCAGGTTGGCCATTATTGGTCGTGAGATGATCCTTTGCCATCTTCCCCTGGAAAGCTTTCATAAGCTGTGGAATATGCTGATCGATCTCTTCCGGCTGCTTCTGGCAGAGCGTCCACAAGATGTTGATAGCACAAATGTTTGAACCGTTCGATAGGGCCTCTGTAGCAATCGTGCCAAGCAGGCCCACAAAGCTAGTCGAAGGTGTCTCTTCCGTGTTGCCCTCCTCGTCCTTAATAGGTTCTGGCATGACGCCGAGAATGCGTTTCAAGGTAGGTTGTAGTCTCGAAGCGCCGTCCTCGCCTTCGTCTGCGGCCTGTAGGCTGGCCTGCACATCGGCGTGCTCGGATCGAAGAGGTTTCTCCAGCATCCGTTGGAACTGCGGCACGCGTTGAAGCACCCAATCATCAGGCTTTACGTTAACAATAACCTTGACGATCTCTAAAGAATTGATCATCCGAGTGGTGAATACCTCCTGCTTGTCATCCTGCTTCATCTCCAAGATCAATATCTCTTCCAGTTTCTTGGTAAGAATGAGGTCCAGTTCAAGATCGTTCCAGAGGCGCGGGGACAAAAGATCATGTAGGAGCTGCACAGCTTTCCGGCAAATTTCGGCGGGTTGTGGATTGGTGGGAGGCATGGCTGGCGTGTCCTTGGGTTTGGGTGTTGCCACGGGGTAGCGTTCCGGAAGATAGGCAATGAATGAAATGAGATATTTGACGAGCATCATGCGAATGCCAGGCGCAGCCACGAAACCCTTGGCAGAAGTGGGAGGCACAATGGAACCGTCTGCTCGCCTCTTGGACGCTTGTGGGGATTGCGAAGAGCGATCCGTGCCATGTGCTGCTTCATTCGCAGCTCGCTCTTCCCAGGTCCTGATCAGGCTAATCAAATTCAAAGCGAGCTTCTTTGCCTCCGTAGACGGGTTCGGCGGCTGGGCAATCTTCGGTAATGCTGCAATGATGATCGCAGAAAGGGGCTCGCGAGCCTCATAGAAAAGGTCCGGATGTCGCACTAGGAAATTGAAGATGCTCATCAATTGTTGCAGGTTTGAACTTTCCTCCGACAGAATTTTCCGGGGGATCTGAGCCCATCTTGGGATCGCAAACTTTTGATCTGCCCCACCAAGACGCTTCTTCAGGACCGGTGCCATCAGCTCCAGCGATTGCATGACAAGCGCTTTGCCCTCATTCTGATGGGCTTTGAGAAGTGTCTGATAGACCTGGCTAGCGATCTTGAAGGGCGTGTCGTACACCGCTATGAAGAACGCAATCACCACGTAAGCGGCGTACTTGTTAATGACATCTTCCAGTCGAATATACGCCCATGCAAACCGGATAATGTCCTTTCGAGTTTCCTGAATCACACTTGAATAATGCTTCAGGAGTAGTGTCGTAAGTTGGAGTAGTTCCATGCGCGAGTGATCGACACCAAGTTGAGCGCTCTCCTCTGATGTGTCGATCAACGCTTGCGGTTTCCATAGCCTATTGTGTATCGTATCAGTCATGTTGCGGTCCACCAACTTTGTTCCCTTGTTGGCTTCGTTGCCGAACAAGGTGTCCCAATTGCGCTTGGCATCCATCGCAAAGATGGGATTGACAATATATCGGAAGATGAACGTCTTCGTCTTTTGCGAGGAAGTGCGCCCAGTATAGAGATCGATACACTTGTGTACCAGTGCCTTCCAATAATCCACAGACTCGTTTGACACCATCTGTTCGTAGATGAAGTCGAACAGTATTGGATGAGCCTTGAAGTCATCAGAAGTTACCGCGTCGATGAGCTCAAAGAAGAAGTCAATGTTGTCTGGATCGTATCGCAAGTAGGTGGTAAACACGGTCATGATCTGTTCGCCAGCCTGTTCTGTCGCGAGTCGCAACGTAGGGTCGACGGTGTTCTGCCGAAGGGCTTTCTCCAAGGAACGTGCAGCTTCAAACAGAGCTTTCCTCAGGTCCTCCTTGCCCACAAGCCATTCGCATGTTTCCTTGAACTGGCTCATCGCATATGCAACGTGGATAGCGTTGAGTTGCGCCTGGTACTTCTCTTTCTCTGACCCATCGATTTCGAAAGAAGCAATGAACTTGGGAATGTCCTTCATCAGCTCCTCGCGCAAAGCGCCGCTCTCCGGGTTCTCAAGCAATTGCGCAAAGAACCTTCCCTGCGTCTCATCTTTCATACTCGGAGAAAAGTGCTCCCAAGCCTCCTTGGGATACATACACAAGTACTTGATCAGCGGTTCCCGGAACGGGCTATAGTGAGTTCGACGCAGGGCTGTTTCCAGCTCGATGACTTTCTCGATAAGCTGCTTGAGGAAACTGATGGCTGCCGGAGGTAACAGATGAAAGACGTTGAATATTGCCGTTACTATCTTCATCTTTGGGTTCTGCTCGATCATAGTGAACGATATCTTCTGTAGACTAACCGGATCTGCGATGTTCTTGAGGTGATCTAGCAGTCGGGTACCGATCTCAACCTTGAAATAATTGGTAAGTAGTTTAAGAAGGCGAGCCAATCCATCCAAATTCTCGACAGATAGTTTTCGGGGATCCTGGAGGTTGACCAGTATCGGCCTGAGGCCACTCTGCAGTACATCTTTCGGAAGCTTGTTCGTTGCTGATATCACACCAGAAAGGCCAGCGTTGGCAGCTTCAATAACCTCGGGAGACTTCGAGTAAAGACATTTGAAGAACACGCCAATGATTCGGATGACCGTCTGATTTGGAGGTGTAGTGCTGAACTCCGGAAAGGTTTGAGCGGTGGAAAGAAGACGAATACAAGCGACTCGTAGATTGACGATGTGCTCGGCATTTCGTTGCTCGAAAGGCTTGGTGGCGAGACCTTCGTCTTCTGCATCAGCCAGCGCGAGGGACTCCATGAGGAGCCTGGTAAGTTGCTCGTTGAACTCAAGGATGTTGTTCTTGAGCTTCAATAGGAAGGTAATCGCGTCGATATACGCGATTTGAATGCTGAATGGAAGGGCGCGAAGGGGCTTCGTCCAAATCGGCACGATCAGGCGTTCCTTAACTGGCTTGATCAGCTCATGTACAGCCCGACCGGTCACTTCGGAAAGGACTTGGAATGCTTTCTGCGTAGCTTCCCGCACATTTTTGTTCATGTGGGACAAATCGGCGACAAGTTGTCCGCAGATCCTGTGCAGAGGACCTCCCACTTTCTTGCATTCTTCCTCCGTGGCAGATTTGTAGCATCGCCGGATCAAGTCTTCTACGAGGCCTTGCGCCTGGATGCGCGTCTTGGAGTCTAGGTCGGTGGGCATGTCCTTCATGACAAAAGTAAGTGCCCGGATAAGCTCCAGATGTCGATTCTGCATCCATGTATCGCCCAGTCCCAGTTTCTTGATGACGATCTCGATACCGTGAGTGCCTCCGGACTTCATAAACCAGTCATCGGCGTAGCAGTTGTGGATGAAGGTCTTGGAGAGCTCTTCGAAGAAGGGAAAATTGTCCAACTTTTCCTGACTTCCGAAGATTATTGTTGCGGTATCGCGCATCGTGATGATGGCTTGCTCAGCGGCGTCGCGGACAGTCTGATGCTCGGATGCAAGGGAATCGCCGAGAGCGTCGGAGAACACATCAGTGTCTATCGTGACCGGACCCTCCCCTGAATGAACGTCAAATGGCCTTCCCTTATGCTTTTCATGCGCAAAGTGCATCCCTAACTCTAAGAGAGTAAAATGTTTCGCAAGGTTCGTCACCAAGGCGTCTGCGTCAACTTTCAGATCAGTGATGGAAATTGCGAAGATGCATGCTTTGAGAAGCTTCTTCAAGGTCTCCTGCTCAACACCCTTCTTGACGACGGACTTGCTACGCTCAGACAGTGTCATTAAATCCGCCCCGGCATCTGTCTTCTTGTTGCACAAATCGTTGGCTTGCAGCCGAATGAGCTGCGCGAAGTCATCGGGCAGGTTGTCGAAACCCACAAGAAGCTTAGTGTGAGACGTGATGAGCCTAAAAGCTTGTTGTTTATGAAAAGGATCGGATTTCTTTGCCGCAGGAAGCTTAGGGAGTTCGTGAAGCTTCGCTATAGCCGTGTCGATGCCTATGACAGCTGGAAATGCGCGATCCTTGGTGGAACCAATGAGGCGGATGTCAACGGACGCTGCGTCGTCGGAGTATGGCTTGTAGTTCAGTTGAGGTGGACCGGTAATGAACTTGCGATTACGGCCGCCTAGCTTACCAAGTATCCTCATCGTGGTGTGTGCGTGAAAATGGCTGTATGGCTGGGGTTTCAAGTGCTCCCAGAGAGCGGCCATCAGATCATCAATCACGGGTGCCATGATTGGATCAAGATAGTCCGCCGTGAGATTATCGACACACAATTCCAGTGTCCTCAACCCTTGTCCAACAAGCTCTGAGCCTGCGCGCAATGCTACAACCAGGGGTCTCATGAGGTAGCTCAGATGCGGCAAAAGGTTGCTAAGCCGGGCCGGTACGGTCAAGGAGAGCTCAACAAAGAGATCCCTGTCGGCTGGTTTCCGCGCAGTGAGTAGGAGGTTGTTCAGAACATCCAAAAGCATTTCCAGGAGAGGAAGTATCTCCTTGTACAGATGCTCGAATCGACCGCCGCCTATACTTCTGAACAGCGACCTGAGAAGGAAGAAATAGTTCATTGGCTCTTCTGCGGTAGTAGACAACTGGATGGACTTGGTGATGATCTTGCTGACGTGCGGTAACAGCACTTGTTCATTTTGAGCAGAGAAAAGGGTGACGGCCATGAACGATAGCTTGAAGAGACGAAGCAGAATAGAAGATTTCGTGACGTCTGATGTACCGACTTCTTCGATACGGTCCATCAGGAATTGTAATAACATGCCAGCAAAGCTCGGTGAGGTGGCTTCCGATGCGAGCAAGAACTGCGGCACGTGGAGCAAAGCAGGATGCTCGAACATCATGTCGTACAGATGGGGGATCTCCGATGAGAAGACTTCGTGAAAAGTGGCGGGATCGATGTGGTGGAAGACAGTTGCAAATGTTTCCAGCAGCTCCTTCTCTTCTTTCCCGCTTGACATCATGTGCTGGTTCGCCATAAGATCTGCCGGAGAAAGGCCCTTGGTCTCTGACGGCTTATCGGTACCGTAGTATCGGAAGACCTTCGCGCCCTCCCTGAAGAGCTTGATCAAAACCTCCACTTCCTCTGCATTGTAACCGTAAGAGACCTCGTGCCAGTTCGCTGATGCATTCGCAGCGTCGATCTCATCCTTGATTTTCTGTGGATTGCAAGCCCGTAGTTGGTAAAACAGATTCTTCAACCCATGAAGAAGATTCTTGAACAAAAACTTATTGTCGGCAATCGGATCCGAGCTGCGCTCCCGCGGATTTGATGTCTTGATGGGCGTTGCGTTGAAGATATCGATCTCATCCCAGTCAGGGAGCTGGTCGGGTACGGCCAAATGGTTCTCTTCTACCGCATCGATGGAGGGTGTACTGTATGCTGCAGAAACCTTCACGGCATTGTGATACTGACGGTTCATAGCCGCAAACTTATCACCTATGGCATTCAGTATCATAATCAGGAAATATCGAGCGTCCTCTTTCGGTTCGAGCTTCGCAATGCACTCAGCCATGTTCAACAACAGCTTCGCGCTCATGGTCTGAAAGCTTGTCCCAGGAAATGTGTCGTGGAGGTTCTTGGTATAGACCTCGATGGTGCGTCTTATCTGCTCCTTACTGAGAGAATCGCGGAGGTGGTGAATCAAGTCGGCCAGCATGCTGTAGGCGAGTGGTCGCATGGTCTCGTAGACGGTGAGTCCATCGCCTATCAGTGTCCTTTCGTCCAGAAGCTGGTCTATCTTCTTCAAGAAGATCTTCCGGAAGTTGAAATTGATGATGTGTCTAATAGCCACCAGAAGCTCTTTCCGGGAGCTGGATTTCTCGCGTGGGCAATCCTTCAGCAACCGCACTACGATGTCGGGGAGCGTCGGCAGGAAGTCGTTGAGTTGCTGCGCATACACTCGTAGCAGGTACGCCAGGAAGCTCATCGTCTTCACTTGGGCCGTAATGAAATCGCCGAAGGCAGCCCTGTTGCGTATCTCTTTGCTCACCCCAGTGAAGATTTTGCCCTGGGCCTCGGCTTCTTGATGCGCCTTCTCTTGCGGCTTCGCCTGGATCATCAGCACGTTCTTGATGAGCGGAACGAACTGCTTGACGTTCCGATTCACCACGTTCCGGTAGGCCTGGAAGAGCGAGACGACTATTATGGGACACTCTGCGAGCACCTTGAACGAATGTGTGCCTTTGAGCAGCATGCGCGTCTGCTCAGCGTTGATGTCGCCGGCGGGCCCCGTGGTCAGGGATGTTGCGGGTGAGCCTGGCCGTGGAGATTGGGAATACTGGTGGTTGCTCGGCGTGGACGGCACGCCCTGTCCTGACGGGGCCGGCGTCGCGTTGTCAAAGGTGTCTTGTACAGCTTGTTCCATGGTCTCGAACATCTCTTGGATCAGATCCAAGAACTGCTGCACCTTGTCCTGCAGCACTTTCGTCTGGTGTCGCAGGAAGTCCATGACAGTCTTCATGCACAGCACCGCGTTGTCCTCGTTCTCCTCCCTCACCAAAGCCATCAGCTTGTCCACAATTTTCGCAGCGTGTGGTTCGAGCGCGTCCGGTGGGCTCATGGGCAGTCGGTGCAGAATCTCGAGGACGCAGTTCCGGAGCCGCTGCACGCCGTGTCAGTCTGGATGCGTACCACTATGGGTGCGTCTACTCACCTGGTCCGGAGACGTAGATATGAAGACGGGCGTGCCATCGAGAACCTTGAGAAATAAGGGCACCATGTGGTTCAAGAAGGCGCCATACTGCTGGCCCTGGCAGTATGTCTCGATGTTGTCCCGTATGTCTATGGCCTGGGCCAGTTTGACTCTGTGATCTGGAGGGCGCGTCAGCCGTGTGCACTACAGAGGCATGCTTACAGAGAGCAGCGTACCTGGACTCGGGTCACTAAGCTTCGCGGCCATGGCCTCGAAGTTGGGATGCGACGCCATGATGGGATACTGGGCAGCTCAGCGCTGCTCGTCCAGCTCCCCGGCTCTCTCGCGGTGCGCGCGCACCCGCAGGATTCGTCGATCGTAGGTTGCTGTCGAGGGCAGGACCATTGGTCGTGTAGCTGCTCGTTGGGTGCGGCGCCGGATTGCGCCTGCCGCGCTGTGATTAATTATGTTCTGGAAAGGAATGTGCAGGCTGCGGGGGCCTAAGCGTGCATTAAAATTGTTTAAGTTTCGGAAAGAGCGCGTGGAGCAGGTGAGCTGTGGTGGGCGCGTCCAACCCAAATGCGTGATGCTGTCGCGAACTACACTACACTCACGAACTGAACTTTGAGAGAGCAGCCCGCTGCGACCCCGAAGTGTTACTGAGATAAAAGACGGAACCTTTATTCGATGTTATTGGTTAAGGGACCTGGTAATTTTGGGTAGCCGTAAAGCCGCAGCCGCACCGCGCTCCAATTAGGCGTCCTGCGGCGGACCCCAGGCACAAGCGTCGCTTCGCGTCTCAGCCACAGTGGATCCAGGGTCAACTCACACTCCTTTGCAGAGTTGAGCATCGCCTTAAAGTTTGCCCACGCCACGTCTGAGCCATAGTAGGTGCAGGGTAAACTCGGAATTCTCTACAATACTTGCAGAAGGCCATCTCCCATACGCGGACTATGAGCCCTGGTAAGAGCATGATGTTTGCCCAACTAGGCTCCACGGCTAACGACCAAATCTGAAGTTTGTAGCTATGAGAATCCAGGACAGACTGTGAATTTGGCATTTTACAGCTGTATAGTAGATCGAGTTTGTATGGGATCATGTGCGCTCTAGAAGTATAAACAATCATGTCAGACCCTATGTCATGTCGTGATAGAGCCCGTACCTGCATGTATTGGTAAATGCGTGTGAGTTCAACGACATCACCGAACCGACACTCGTAAACCCGAGAGCTGTGCATCCGTTTTCAAGGCTACGTTGCGAACATATAGTAGCTTGAATTACCCTCGGGTCAGCGATGCAGGATCCAACTAGCGTAGCAGCAGTTTAAATTGAGTCCTTACATCAACGCAGGAAACAACTGTTACCAGCGATAACGTGTCAGCAAAATGAACAGGATAACGCGTCGTTGTCTCGCAATTACTTGCTGAGCAATAGCACGATAAACCTAGTGGTAAGTCACACTGTAGGGCGACTCCAAATCTGTAGTCTGTGAGTGCATGGCCGACATTCACTTACTAATACTGATGCAGGAGCCTACAAAGGTGCACAATCCAGTTTTAAGACTGATCACCAGGTGTAAGAGCACAATCAGCGCTCGGCTGGTAACGATACAGCAGTACACGTCAGATAACTCGAAATGAACATCTTCATACATATCCGATACACTGGGTCTATGTGCAGTCACATCTTCGAGCACGGGAAACATGAAAATGGTAGATAAATCTGATGGAAATTGTATGCAGCGGCTAGGGCAAGCATCCTGCTTAATGCCAGGCCATAGTGTGCCCGTACTACAGTGTCACGGAGTCTTGTACCAGAATCGATCTGTCATCTCGAAGTGCACACTGGAGGCTACGTGTCATAGAGACCACCAAAGCCAAAGGTGGCTGGCACATCATCAATCTCCCACTCTCCATCGGCATCCTCATCCATGGTTTCTTCCAACACCCCATCTATCCCCTCTTCGAGCTCATCATCCTCATCGTCTTCATCATCTTCTTCGTCGACCATCCTTTCCACTTCGTCATCGCTATCGTCATACTCATTTTCGCCCTCATTGAGTATATCCTCGGCCCGTTCTGGGACCTCCGTCATATCTTCTTCAATCTCAACTTCCTCCATGTCCTCGGATTGATCTTCTGCGCCCGGCGGCTGGCTCTGCTGCGCCTCCAACCTCTCAAATGCATATCGCGGATTCCTCGCCGCATAGCGCACATTTCTCATGACCGTGTGCTCAACGCCCCTCCCCCGGATCGCCTCTCTGTCGTGGAACTCTTTCGTATACTGCGCAAAGAACGTTTGGTCGTCCCACAGCTCAGGCCATGCGAGAATACGCTCGTATATGGAATTGTCGGGCGTGTCGCCACCCAAAATGGTATTCATCTTGTGTTTGAGAACAACCGTTGCTTTGGCCCACGTCCCAATGTGGAACCAGCCTTGTGCCGTTGGCGCGGGAGCCGTGCGGATGTCCTTGGTGTACAATATGCGCTGAATCAGCGGATCAGTCACGTCGCAGAACTGGAAGAGATTTCCTGTCCGCGAGACGTGCACACCGTCGAATATGTGTTGTTGCCGTAGGTCCTGTGCGCTCCATTGGGCTAGATCTCGCACGTGTTTGTCAAAGCGTGAGAAATGTCGAGCGGTACCCGTCTTCTTGTAAGACAAGAAAGACACAGTCTGGTAGAATCTGTACTTTGGGTCTTTGCGCGGATCAACACCCCACACGATGAGTGCCTCTCGCCACGGTCCAGTCTCGAAAAAGTATCCGCAATATACCGCAGCTTGACGCAATCGATCGCGCTTGTCCCAGCCAAGTGTGTTGTAAAGCAGATGGCGGGTGATGATGGGCCGCTTCTCGAGCTCCCCACGGATGCTACGGATGAGCTCCTGCACGTAGGGCGTTAGATCTGACTCCGCAGGTAGGTTCGACTTCGGGGCTGTGGGGACATTCTCTGCGTTGGGCTTGATGATGGAGTAACCGGACCATGCCAGGCTCTTGTGGAGGTTCACCTCGGCGACGGCGCCGTTGTCGTCTTTGTACTTGACGTAGTGGTTCTGTTGGAAGCGGTAGTTGTGTGCCACTTGGACCTGCAGAAATTCTGCAGAGGGCCCAACATCCTTGGTCAAGTCGGGTCCGGCAGCCGTGCTCAAATCGAAATTCTTTAGTTTTGTAACTGCGTTGGGGTCAGCACACCAGTTGCGCAGAAGATGTGTGAGTGAGACCTACAGCTTAGTGGGAGCACGTTGTCTCGGATCTTGAGCATGATGCTGTTTGTGGAAGCCGCATATTGAAGGTCCGGGAGATCTGGACAGTCAGGGAGAAGCATCGGAGCAATGGGATGGTGGTAGACTTACTCCGGAAACGATGTGTCTCGTCGATCACACCGGCCACGGAGACATCATATTTGGACGCGTTGTCTTGCAAGCTGCGGAAGATGGTTGCAGCGTCTGCATGCGATTTTTGGTGTTGAGGAATTGGCAACTTGTCCTTCGCCGCGCCCACGTCTGCGTCGGCAAGGAATGGACCTGAGGAGCCACGCTTGCGCTTGCGACCGGTGCGTTTGGGCACTGTCACTCTCAGCAGCAGATTGCTGGTTGCGACAGGCGTTGAGAGCAAGCGCTTGGCAAGCGGATCGTCTGGGCGCAACGAGACGGATATGACGTTTGGAAGGGCATCTTGCCCCTGCGCGGTGGGCTGCGGCTCTAGCTTGGACCTCAAGGCCTGGGGGTTGTGTCAGCTGCAGCATCGCGGTGATGCCGTCCAGCGGCGGCAGTACGCCTCTGACCTTGCTAAGCTTGACAGGCCCGCCTAGCGAGACGATGCCCTTGTCAACGTTGTTGACGAGGCACGGGTGCTCGACGACAGAGACGGCGCGAGAGGGGATCTGCAGCCACGGCGCGGTGTGCTCGGCCGCGTCTCTGCGGTCCATGGTGCGGGCGATGGCAGCGTCCTCGCCGCATACACACACGGGGCAGGGTATCGCAGTGAATCGCCGGCCTAGCGTATCTCGGACGCAGCGGACCGCTGGCAGAGTGGCCTCGCCGCGCAGCGCTGGCGGACACGCAGCGGCTGCGCTGCACTGCAGTTCACAGAGAAGCCCGGTTGGCCGTCTGCAGCGTCTGCGTCGGTCGCGACGGCTGCGGTGACGCTGGCGTTCTCGCGCGGGCACCACACCATCTCGTCCGCGTTGCGCGCTCGATATGGGCGGGGTGGTGTGCATGGGCACGGGCCTCGAGTTAGTTAGTGCAGCTACCAGCACTGGGCTGGGCATCTCCAGGGCTCTCCTCGACTCCACGGCATCTCCTCAACTTCGCAATCCCTCTCTGCTGCTGGCGTCCCCATCGACAACGCACGCCGTCCTACCTTCGCAAGCTGGCCGTCGCTGCCAAGGCCCCCCTCCTGCGGCCCCTCCCGACGACCCTCTGACATCGACCGTGCGTCTCCCTAAGCTCCTCACACCAGCGACGACGTGCAGCCCGCTTGCCGTGCCCCGTCCATGTCTGCTTGACCTGCGAGCCACCACCACCACCACCGAACCCACCGAGCGCGCTCTTGTGTCGCTTCCATTGGCGCTGCCGGCTGCCGCTCACGCCAGGCCGCCTTTGAAACAGCCCTAGTCGGTCCGCCTTCCTCCAGCGTCGCCGCACGCCTCCTGCAACGCCTGACATTGGCTCGCGCACTTCATCGCCATGAAAGGCTTCAGGCAGAGGGTGGTAAGCCGATCCCCGAACACAGCGTCCCGCTGGCATGCGTATGCTGCACAATCGGGCAGCCCCCAACTAGCGGCGCAGAACGCTAACATGCCCAGCACGAACAGCTTGCGAGAGCCAAATCAGACAAGTCGACTTCCAAAAAGAAGGACTCCAATAACGGCACTTCGTCGCCCTCGCACGGCGCCTCCAACTCGCCCTCCGGCTCTGCGCACGCTACGCCCACATCCTCGCAGACGCAATTAACCGATGGTCGCAACAAGCCCCTCCCCTCTGGTGACGGGGCAACAGGGAGTGCAGGCTCCCTCCAGCCAGGCCAGCCAGGCGTACCGACCTCTCTTGGAGCAGGTTCGTCCTTTGGCGGACAGCAGGGCACAGGCAGCTTCGGTGGTGCTGGTAGCGCCAGTGCCCCAGGTTCTGCTACACCCCACAGAGCAGGCCAGCCATTAGCACCTAGCGTCATCATCAGCCCGAGTGCTCCTGTAAGTGCAACACATTGTTACGTGCGCAGACGATCCGTAGCTAACGGGCGAGCAACAGCACATTCCACCCCCAGGCGCAGCAGAGACCATGCCGGGCGACCTCTTGCCCCCAAAGGCGGGCCAGAAGTCGCTGATTTTCGATCGCTTGCAGACAACACCCAAGGACAACGTAGAAGGCATCCGCACGCCTAAACGTCAACATTCGTCACGTTTCGACATCTCAGACCAGCGTCAAAGAGAGCTGGAGAAGCTGCCGGGTTTCCACGAGGTGCCGCCCAATAAACGCGAGGAGTTGTTCATGCAGAAGCTTGACCAGTGCAATATTATCTTCGACTTTAATGATGCGAGCGGTGATATGAAGTCGAAGGAAATTAAGCGTCTGGCGCTACATGAGTTGCTAGACTACGTTGCGAACAATCGTCAGGTCATCACGGAGCGAATGTATCCCCGCGTTGTTGAGATGTTCGCGAAGAATTTGTTCCGCCCAATCCCGCCACCTATGAATCCACAAGGGGAGGCGTTTGATCCGGAAGAGGACGAGCCTGTACTGGAAGTTGCCTGGCCGCATATCCAGGTGGTGTACGAATTCTTCCTCCGCTTCATCGAGAGTCAGGACTTCAACACCAACATTGCCAAAGCCTACATCGACCACAGCTTTGTTCTGAACGTCAGTTGAACCCTCCATTGCTAGCAGCCTTCAGACTAATCCTTCCGTAGCTACTCGAACTGTTTGACTCAGAAGACCCAAGAGAACGCGACTTCTTGAAGACTACCCTTCACAGGATATACGGAAAGTTTCTCAATCTCCGCTCGTATATTCGTCGCTCCATCAACAACGTGTTCTTCCAATTCAGCTATGAGACTGAGCGCTTCAACGGCATAGCAGAGCTGCTCGAGATCCTCGGATCGATCATCAATGGGTTTGCCTTGCCCTTGAAAGAGGAACACAAGTTGTTCCTAACGCGTGTATTGCTGCCAATGCACAAGGTGAAGAGTCTCAGCATGTACCACCCGCAGCTGGCGTATTGCATCGTACAATTCTTGGAAAAGGATGCTGCATTGACTGAAGAGGTATGTTTGATTCACAGCTCTCTACAGTCTTCTTCGAACGACTGCTAATGAGACAGGTGGTTTTGGGTCTCTTGCGATACTGGCCAAAGGTCAACAGCACGAAGGAGGTCATGTTCCTGAACGAGGTTGAAGATATTTTTGAGGTCATGGACCCCGCCGAGTTTGCCAAGGTTCAGGAACCACTCTTCAATCAACTAGCCAAGTCCGTTGCAAGTCCACACTTCCAGGTTGCTGAACGAGCACTTTACTTCTGGAACAACGAGTATTTCTGTAACCTTGTCAGCGACAACGTGGAGGTCATCTTGCCTATCATGTTTGCACCGTTATACGAGAACTCGAAAGGACACTGGAATCGGTAAGCATGACGATCGCAATCTACATGGCGAAGCTGACGCAGGACAGGACGATCCACGGGATGGTGTATAATGCCATGAAATTGTTCATGGAGGTAAACCCGCAGCTGTTTGATGATTGCTCGCATGATTATGCCGAATCACAGAATAACGCTAGTGAGCGTGAGCGAAGTCGACAAAGCAGATGGGAAAAGCTCGAGAAACTCGCAGAAGCCAGGAAGAACGGCGACTTGGTAGACAACAAGGTCGCTTCGAAATTGGGCTCGCCCATGCGGTTAGATGACTCAGATCCGCTACGAATGGAGGCGCTTCGGCTGCAGGATGACGCCAAAGACCGGCGGCCAAAGGAGTTTGAACGGCAGGGAAGCCAGACTTCGGTACGTTGATTCTTGAGTCCTAGAACGAGCGTCATTGAACATGAGCATTTTCTACGGCCGAATCATTGTACTTTTAATTTTATTCCTAGACCTTCTAGGCTTTTTTTCGTTGTCAAGATTTGCTTTTGGTTCTGGGTTCCGGTTGATCTGACATGTGTGCTTGCTCGATGCAGCGGAGACACGTCTCTTCACGAGAGGATCGGACGCAGGCGTCTCACACAAGGAGGTCGTCCACCGGTCGTCCGCGCAGCAACAGTCGTCCTAGCTCGTCAGGCAGCAACAGCAACCTCTCTCGCAATCCAAATGCCAACGGCACTATCCGGGCCGTTCCTAGTGGAAAGGCGGCGACGAGTAGAGCCGCCTAGCATCTTGATTTGGTCCTCTTCGCGATATACACTTTTCTCGGCGGGCGTGTTTGGCCCAACCCTATTACCTTTATCTATCATGTTGGGAAACGGCTGCAGTTGCGATTCGGAAGCGTTTTATGACGGCTTACCTTTGGTTCGGCATGCGGCAAAAAGCGAGATGAACTTTCTTCACATAGGATATATCGGCGTGGAGTCTTTCCTGTCCTTCCTAATACGGTACGGTGGCTGGAGACGAACAGATGGTAGGCCTCTTTTCTTGATACACTCGGATAGACATTGAATGTAAAGGTCCACCTTGGCTGACTCTGCCTCGGCTTTGGTCACATGTGTTCGCCCGGTGATTGGCATGCCCGTTAGTTAGGCTTCTTGCTTGTGACAGCAAACTTCGTGACGTTCAGTTCGGGGCAGCGCACAATTGAGAACCTAGAGTATAATGTAATGCATATCCACAACGTGCAACACATGAAAACTGCGTGACAGTCCCCCACAGAGGTAGCAATCATGGCCGAAGAGTGACCTTCAGAGCTGATGTGCGAAACAAACATGCGACTGTTTGTAGAGCTGCGGGCACTCGTACCTTCAGCACAATGGCGCTCGTAGAGTTACTCAGGTGTAACTACCCAGCCAACCATCATTACGCCGACAGGGCCAATCAAAGACGCGGCAATTTGCCTCGGGATGTCATAGCAACGTTCGTGGCAATTTGTTGTTTAGACCAGTGTGCGTTAGCTCGGAAGGCTCGGGACGCGGCTGTCATCTCCCCCTTTCTGGTTCCGAAGTAAAAGTTACGCACCAACCACCGCTACCGCGACCCTTCATACCTCAACCCCCAGGGCTCACCTTCCTCCCTCCTCACACCTTCTTGTCATTCTTTAGGCCGTTGCTGCCATCTTTCTTTTTTCCTTGCGCTATTGCTCGTCTCGCCGTGTTTGCACAGCTTCCAGGCCTCTCCTCCACAATCCCTGCGACCCGCGACCTGCGATCGCGCAACATGTCGAAGCCTGACTGGATCCAAGTCGGCGTGCCCACGCTGGACCGGCCGTTTGGCCTGCAGCTATGGCCCATTTTCGAGAAGGCCTACGAGTCCGCCGTCGGATACAAGCCGCAAGACTTCCGGTTCGTGCCCGGCGAGACGCCCATCTCCACCATCAAATCGTGCACGGCGATCCTTGTATCGTACTATATTGTGATCTTTGGAGGAAGGGAATTGATGCGAGGCCGCGAGGCTTTCAAGCTCAACTTCTTGTTCAAAGTACACAACTTTTACCTCACGGCGATTAGCGCAATTCTACTAGGACTGTTTCTCGAACAAATCATCCCCACAGTCGTGCGCCACGGCATCTTCTTCGCGGTCTGCGACCATGCGGGCGGCTGGACGGATAAGATGGTTATCCTCTATTACGTGGGTGCTCTCCTGCGAGAAGAAGCCTGTTGGGACGAAGCTAACAGACGTAGCTCAATTACCTTACCAAGTTCCTGGAGCTGATCGACACGTGCTTCCTTTTCCTGAAGAAGAAGCCGTTGAGTATGTGAACTCAATTGCACGCTGCGACCATCGCTAATCGTACCAGCATTCCTCCACACCTACCACCATGGCGCCACGGCTCTGCTCTGCTACACGCAGCTCATCGGTCACACCTCCGTTTCCTGGGTTGTCATCACCCTGAACCTCATGGTCCATGTTGTGATGTACTGGTACTACTTCCAGAGCGCCCGGGGCATCAGAATCTGGTGGAAGAAGTACATTACGATGATGCAGATCATCCAGTTTGTGCTGGATCTCGGTAAGTTCGCCTGATCTCCCTTGTGCCAGACAAGCAGCTAACAATCTGCTCCCAGGCTTTGTCTACTTCGCCTCCTGGACCTACTTCACCAGCACCTACTGGCCTCACCTTCCCAACATGGGCAAGTGTGCTGGCGAGGAGTTCGCCGCCATCGCCGGTATCTGCATCATCACGTCGTACCTGTTCCTCTTCATCCTCTTTTACCTTGCGACCTACAAGAAGCCGGTGCCCAAGGGCCGCCGCAGGGCAACCAGCGCTTTGGTCGAGATGAAGGATGAGAAGGTACCGACGGTTGGTGAAGCGAGGCGCAGGCTCTCTCAGAGTGTGCATGTCTCTGCTAACGGCCAGACTACAGGCGTGTCCACCACCCCGAACGGCCGGGCCACTCGCTCTCGCAAGGCCTAATTCCGCTGCTTCTGGCGTGGTTGTCACGGTCAAGGAGGCGGTCGGCGCAAGCGCGGACACGAGTTTGAGACGTGTGGGATTCAGCTTTGGTGATGCGAGAAAGGATTGAGTGGAGCGTCGACTCACTCCAGCTCTGATCTCTGCACCCGAGGCTTCTGCGATCGTCTCGCCAGTCGGCGCATTTTGGCGCTGTTGGAGGCTGCCCAGCTCATCCTGCCACCGGGAGTCTTATCCCTCATGCTGATGGCGCGACTCCCAACGTTACATTTCATTACAACCAAACCCTGGATGGCAAGTTCAGTATCTCCTTGTAATTATCACGCGTCTTGGAGTTTGTCATGCAGGCGCTCCTCACGAAAAGTCGCATCTGGATGGGTGTCCAAGCGATTAGATAGCATGTACGATGACGGTGTTTTTATGTTTCCGTACGGAGTAGCAATGAGAATATAATGCATAATCACCACCATGGCGTGCGTGTTCTCGATGCCCGATCACACGGGTTGATGTCATTCGACAGTCGAGCGCGAGATGCAGGCACGGTGCCGGTGCGGCCCACTTTTGTGTGCAAACGTATCAAAGGCGCCAAGCTCGCCTCAGGTGATGGTGCAGCTGCAACGCAAAACCCAAGCTTCGACATCAGCTAACCTGCCTCCACCCGCCGACACCACCTCCGCTCTCCCTTCGACCCAATTGCGCGCCCGCCCGCCCCCGAAACCGCCTGTCCAGCTTTCCGCCCGGCCATTGAGCAGCCATGTCCTTCGTGCGCGCCGCATCGAGGGTCTCCCGCGTGGGCCTGCGAGTTCCGGCCTACCGCGCCAGCCCCGTAGCCTGGACCGCCCAGCGTGCTTTCTCCCAGTCGGCCATCCGATGCAGCGAACACGCCGAAGAGACGTTTGAGGAGTTCACTGCCAGGTATGACGCACCGTGGAGGTGGCCGCCGCCGTGTAGAGGAAGGGGGTACCTCGGCTAGGAGGGAGCCATTGAGCTCTGTTGGGCTGTGCTAGAGCTGTGTTGCTGACTTGACTTGCTTCGCTGCAGATACGAGAAGGAGTTTGACAAGGTCAACGATGTCTTCGAGCTCCAGGTACGTCTACAGCCCGTTCCGAGCAGAGCACCGGCACCGCGATCGCGGAGCTCTGCAACAAGCAAAGGCTCGCTCAATCGCGGACTTGGAGCTGACGAACACACAGCGAAACCTGAACAACTGCTTCGCCTACGATCTCGTCCCCTCGCCGACGGTCATAACCGCCGCTCTCCGCGCTGCGCGCCGCGTCAACGACTTCCCTTCCGCTGTCCGGGTTTTTGAGGGTACGTCACTCAAAACACATGTAATACATGTTTAGCTATCCAGCACCAAGATCACTCACAGCTGCCATGCCACAAATGTGGTGCATGTGTCCCGGCTGCGTCGCAGACTACGATTGGCGAACGCTTACTAACGCGGCGATGCAGGCATCAAGTTCAAGGTGGAGAACAAGACCCAGTACGAGGAGTACCTCCAGGAGCTCGAGCCCATACGTGAGGAGCTCGGCATCCCGCTGAAGGAGGCCATGTACCCGGAGGAGAAGTAAACTCCTCGTATCAGTGCAATGCCTCCCTCCCAGAGGAGTAACTCAACGCGACTACCAATGTCACCATTTCGATTTCTTAGAGTCTAGAGGGATGGAAGACGAGATGGGAGGGATGGAACGCTGTACTATAAGTGTGAGTTTGTACTGCAGCCTGGACGGGATCGAGGGTGTGGAAGGGGACGTAGAGCGGTACGCCGCTGTAGTTGCTGTACAGAGTTCCTTTTTGCTTCCGCCTCTCTCGCTCGTGAGGACCAGCCGCAGTGACAAGTCAATTGCTCCTCGCTATCCGAGATGCACGCAGCATCCATTGTCTTCACATGCCACCTGATGTGCCTTGAATTGCGGGAGACCAGCAGACGATCTACTAACACCTGAGCAGAGACAGGTCAACAGCGCCTACCAGTCTAGTGGAAATGGATGAACCTGCCAGTGGCGCCTTGGAATCTCGTTTGCTGGGTGCTCAGGTCCAGTCATGGTGGCTGCCCTGCCTAGGGATGGTAAGTCACCCGAGAAGACTTCAAGCCCCGCCAAAATTATTTATCTTTTAGCCACCCGCATCCACCCCGCCATCGCGCGCCGGCCACCTGCCACCACCACAACACAATGGCGTCAGAGGAGAGTCCCTACCTCGTGCTGCCCGGGTCTCTGGCCTTCTCGGACTTCCGTCTGAAGCGCCTGGCCGCGTTGATCGGCGCAACCGAAGTGCGCGCGCTCTGGGTGCACTATGTTAATCCCACCAAGGAACTGAGCGCCGACGAATTGAAGACGCTCGAGCAGATACTGCACTATGGCGAGTATCCGCAGCGGGATGACAGGCTCTCGCAAACCCTCATCCACGCCGTCCAGACGCCCACCGCCACCACGGCTGTCGATGACGGCACCGCGCTCTTCTACGTCTGCCCGCGCCCAGGCACCATCTCGCCCTGGAGCTCGCTGGCTACCATGATCGCACGCACATGCACGCTCGACCACGCCGTGAAGCGCATCGAGCGTGGCATGGTCCTCGCCGCCACCTTCGAGAAGCCGCCCGCCGCCGGCGAGATCCCCAACGCCGACTCGCTCCACGACCGCATGACCCAGACCATAAGCCGCACGCCGCCTGATCTCGATCTGCTTTTCGGCGAGCACGAGCCCGCGCAGGCCACGACCATAAGCTTCGACGAGTACAGCAGCCCTCATGCTGCGCTGGAACACGCGAACCAGGAGCTGGGCCTTGCCATGGACAAGTCGGAGATTGAGTACCTGGTCGAGGCATACTCGCAGGAGCTGAAGCGGGGCCCGGTCGACGTGGAGCTGTTCATGTTCGCGCAGGTCAACTCGGAGCACTGCAGGCACAAGCAGTTCAATGCCGACTTCACCATTGACGGCATGCGCAAAAGCTACTCGCTGTTCGGCATGATCCGGAACACACATCAGAAGCACCCCGAGTACGTGGTGAGCGCATACAGCGACAATGCTGCCGTGCTCCAGGGCGAGGAGGCCAGCTTTTGGGCCCCCAACACCCTGACCGGCGAGTGGACCGGCACAAAGGAGACGGTGCATATTCTCTGCAAGGTGGAGACTCACAACCATCCTACAGCCGTCTCGCCCTTCCCTGGCGCGGCCACCGGCTCGGGTGGCGAGATCAGAGATGAGGGCGCTGTCGGTAGAGGCTCAAGGCCGAAAGCTGGGTTAGCAGGTTTCACTGTATCCGACCTCCTCATACCTGGGCACGAGCAGCCATGGGAGCTCGGCGACGTGGGTAAGCCAGCACACATTGCGAGCAGTCTTGATATAATGCTCGAAGCGCCCATCGGCAGCGCGGCCTTTAATAACGAGTTCGGGCGCCCGTGTACGATTGGGTACTTCAGAACGCTGCTTGTTCGTGTATTCACCAACGAGAAGGAGACGGAGATTCGTGGCTATCACAAACCCATCATGCTGGCTGGAGGTGTGGGAACGGTCAGACCGCAGCATGCCCTCAAGGATCCTGATATCGTCCCGCCGGGGTCTCATCTACTGGTCATTGGTGGACCTGCGATGCTCATTGGTCTCGGTGGCGGCGCTGCATCGAGTGTGCAATCTGGGGAAGGCAAGGTCGAGCTTGACTTTGCCAGTGTCCAGCGAGGGAATCCTGAGGTTCAGCGGAGAGCGCAGGAAGTCATTGACACTTGCCGATCTATGGGCGACAAAAACCCAATCTTATTTATCCACGACGTCGGTGCCGGCGGTCTGTCAAACGCTCTGCCGGAGCTCGTTCACGACTCTGGACTCGGTGCCATCTTCGAGCTTAGGGAAGTGGACAGTGCCGACCGAGGCATGAGCCCACTACAGATCTGGTGTAACGAATCTCAAGAGCGATATGTACTCGCCGTGGGTCCGGATGACTTGGATCTCTTCAAACGTATTTGCAAGCGCGAACGTTGCGGATTTTCGGTTGTAGGCACGGCGACGAAAGAACAACGTTTGGTCCTCAAAGACAAGGAGTCACAAGGCACGCCCACTCCAATCGACCTTCCAATGCCAATACTATTCGGAAAACCGCCAAAGATGTCGCGCATTGTTGAGTCGCGGAAGCTGAGATTGCCCGCATTTGACAGTAGCCTGTCCATTTACCTCCCAGTGACGCCGAAGGATGGTCTGTTGGCCGAAGCCGTGGACCGAGTGCTTGCGCTTCCTGCCGTGGGCTCGAAATCTTTCCTCATTACGATTGGTGACCGTACCGTTGGAGGATTGACCGTCCGCGATCAGATGGTTGGGAAGTGGCAGACACCAGTTGCGGATGTCTCAGTGACCGCCACCTCGCTCCTATCTGGTGTCAAAACCGGCGAGGCGATGGCCGTGGGCGAGAAGCCTACACTTGCCCTCATTTCCCCTGCAGCATCGGCTAGGATGGCCGTCGCGGAGTCTCTCATGAATTTGGCTGCTGCCAGCTTGTTCGACAGATTGTCAAGAGTGCGCCTATCTGCGAACTGGATGTCCGCTTCCAGTCACCCTGGCGAGGGTGCTGCGCTGTACGAGGCTGTCGAGGCTATCGGCATGGATCTCTGCCCGCGCCTGGGCATCTCTATCCCCGTCGGCAAAGATTCCATGAGCATGAAGATGAAGTGGAACGATCAAAATACTAACGAGGCCAAAGAAGTCACTGCTCCCATGTCTCTGGTCATCACCGCCTTTGCCCCTGTGAACCGTATCGACCGCACCTGGACACCTGCCCTGGAACGCCTCGAAGATGTTGGCGAAACAGTCCTCATGTTTGTCGACCTTGCCGCCGGCAAGAAGAGTATGGGTGGTTCCGCCCTCACGCAGACATTTGGACAGATTGGAGACGAAGCGCCAGATGTATGGGACGTAGATATACTCAAAGACTACTATGACGCAGTCGAACAGCTTCACGATTCAGGCATCGTGCTCGCATACCACGATCGCTCGGACGGTGGGCTCTTTACCACTCTTGTGGAGATGATGTTTGCTGGACGCTGTGGACTGGAAGTCATGCTGGATGGCATTGCCAAGTCACCTGACACCAAGGACATCGTCGAAACATTGTTCAACGAGGAGCTCGGCGCTGTGTTCCAGGTCCGCAAGAAGGATGAAGTCAACTTCAACCGTTGCTTCGCTACATGCGGACCACCACCGGGCATGATCAAGAAGATCGGACGTGTACCCGCAGCCTCGAAGCAGGAGATCAGCTTCGCCTTCGGCTCTCAAGTCATCTACCGCTCTTCTCGCTCCAAGCTCCAACAGCGGTGGGCCTCGACAAGCTATCAGCTCCAACGCATGCGCGACAACCCTCAGTGCGCAGACGAGGAATTCTCCTCCCTCCAAGACGACTCCGACCCCGGTCTTTCATACAACCTTTCCTATAACCCCAAAGAGAGCATCCTTCCGCTCAAAGCTTCTCTTACTTCGCCCTTCACCAACAAGCCTCGCGTTGCTATTCTTAGAGAAGAAGGCGTGAACGGCCAAGCTGAAATGGCCTTTGCCTTCTCCAGCGCCGGCTTCTCCGCTATTGACGTCCACATGACTGATCTAATCTCGGGCCGTGTCTCGCTCAGCCAGTTCACGGGGCTTGCTGCATGCGGTGGCTTCTCATATGGCGACGTTCTCGGCGCAGGACAAGGTTGGGCCAAGTCGGTTCTGCTGCACCCGGCCACGCGCTCCGAGTTCAAGACCTTCTTCGAAAGAAAGGACACATTTGCCCTCGGTGTGTGCAACGGATGCCAGTTTCTCTCCAAGCTGAAGGAGCTCGTTCCCGGGGCGGAGGCTTGGCCCAGCTTCGAGCGGAACACTTCGGAGCAGTACGAAGCGCGCGTGGCCATGGTCGAGGTCCTCGACGCGCCCGTCACGCCCGGCCAGCAGCCCTCCGTCTTTCTTCACGGCATGCATGGCTCCAAACTCCCCATCGTGACGGCCCACGGTGAGGGCCGCGCGCACTTCGCACCCGGCTCGCATAGCCCCGATACACTGTACAGCGAGGGCCTCGTTGCCATGCGGTATGTAGACAACTATGGGAAGGTCACGGAGAAGTATCCCTACAACCCGAATGGAAGTCCCAAGGGAATTACGGCGGTGAGGAGTAGTGATGGCAAGGTGTTGGCGCTGATGCCGCATCCCGAGCGGACGATTCTGAAGGAGGTGGGGAGTTACATACCAAGGGAGAATGAATGGAGTGAGGTGGGACCGTGGGCACGTATGTTTAGGAGTGCGAGGAGGTGGGTCGGGTAGGTTGATGGGACATAGGCACAGCTATGGAGCGAGGCTGCATTGGGACGGAACGGCTTTTTGTTTTGCTGGGTTGGGTGGGCGTTTATGGGCCATATGCATTTCCCAACACCGAAAAGAGTGAATTGATACCAAGAGAAAAAACGACGCTATTTTGTCCATTTGCTATAGGCTATACTTTTGGGGTATGTTATGTATGAAATATACACAGATTCACCATTCGGCCACGGACGTGTGTCGAACGTAGCGATGCTCCCAAACGCCATGCCTAACCATCTCATGCTGCGGTAACGAGCTCCGTTATAATATTTCCCCCAACCTCAAAACATGTAAATGAATTGCATATGTAACGGCAACATATAGACCTATTGTACAAGGCATGAGCATAAGCGAGGATCGGCCAGCGACCGCGAAGATGTACAGACGTGGCTCTGACGATGACGAGTATAAGCACGTGTGGCAGCTCAGTCCATACCGGCATTTTTGAACCACACGTTGCGGCAGTCCTGCGAATTGAGCCAGTCGTCGCCGTCGGTGAAGCGGCCGGGCTCGCAGCCAGAGCACTTCCCATTGTTGGGGCAATTGAAGAAGGGGATGTGCTGGTAACCAATGTCACGGAACCTGGTGTTTGTTAGCTACTGCTCAAACTGAGTTTGCTCATGATGCCGAGTGGAATTTGGCGTCTCGCGAAACGGGAGGGGGTGACAAACCAATGGACCTTGCTTTTATCCTCGAACAAGGCGACGGCCACGCTGTGGACTGGGGCGTCGCCCCAGCGTTCGTAGAAGAAGCCGCCAGCCTTGTCGAGGTGCTCAAAGTACTGCGTGTAGGCCTTGCTCCTCCACAGGTTCAGATCGGCGATCTCAAAGTTGGACCAGAAGTGGCAGGTAGAATAGCCGCCGGTGATCTGGTTGTGGCCCTTCTCCTTCTCCTCTGTCAGGAAGCCTTTGGCGTTGTTCTTGGCTTCGTGCTCGGGATGATCGGCCAGGAACTTGAGGGTCTCAGGCCACAGGGTCCTGACGCTATCGGGAGAGTCGAGCAGGGTCAGGGTAAAGCCGTACGTCTTGTTGTGGTCCTGCATCCATCGGAAAACATCGTAGTCGACGCCGCAGAAGAAGTGGACCTTTGGCTCGACGCGCCAGTAGTACTGGACGTCCTTGAGGGCTTCGTGCTGGTAGAAGACGCCGCTGTTCCAGCGGCACATTTGGTGGTACGAGTCCATCTCGGAGTACTGGACGCCTTTGTCTGCGAGGGCCTTCTTGGAGGCGGCATAGAGGTCCTTGTTGATCCACGAGGGGATGTCCCAATGGGCTTTGGGGATGGTGTGGTACGACGTCTTGGCCTTTGTGGCGGCCGTCGTCTTCTGCTTGAAGTCGTCGGTGAAGGGCACGTCGTTGAAAAAGGTCCAGGGGTAGTTGAACTTGTGGTTCCAGGTGCGCTCGAGGTCATGCATGCTCTGCAGCATGTCGTCGAGCTCCTCGTTGCGCACCAGACTCAGCAGCGTCGCATTGATGCGGTCGCTGTTGGCGTTGTCGGGGGCATAGTTGTTGCCGCTGACGCGGCGCAGCGGCTCGGGAGCCTCGCCAGACTCTGCATCGACAGTCAGTGAGGGGGCCTCTGGCGCGTCGGGGGCGCGCAGCACTCACGATCCAGCTGGGGGTCGTGGTCCCAGCCCTGCGGGCGCGGGCCCGGCTTGACAGGCTCCTTGATTCCGGCCGTCGGCAGCTTGATGGCCGTGGGGTCACTGCGGTAGAGGGTGACGAGCACGAAGAGGAAGACGAGGAAGGTGGCGCCGCCCAGGAGGCGCATCGCCTTGGGAATCGCCATGGGTGCGCGAGGGGTTGCGGCCGGGTCGGTGGCGGCGGCGTGCAAGACTTGGGCTGGGACTCGACGGCAAGACACTGAGGCACCGTGACGGCGACGGCGACGGGGCTAGTGTGCATCAGCTCTAGGGCCCGTTGCGCTCGTTGCGCCGCACACGACCTGCGGGCCCTGCTCATGCTCCCGGCGCGGGCCTTGCCAAGAGCAGGGCAGAGCAGAGCGGGTGGCTGCGAGCCGCCGGCGGGGCGGAACCGACGCCCCGAAACAACACGCGTCGCACGCGCACTGCGCATCGCCACAGCTGCCCGCCGCGTCCCGTGCAAGAGACGGCGCAGGCCCAGATGGCGCAGCATGCAAGAGTGGCTGCCCTGACCGACGAGCTGGTCCACTCCATCCTCAACTTCGACCCCGCCGCCAACAAGCGCGCGTACCGGCACGCCAAGGACATCGCCAAACAAGGCCTGCGCGCCCACGAGTATGCCCGGACAAACCCGTTCGACGTCCGCACCACCTTTGCTGGCTTGGACGAAAAGTTTCGCGTGCTGAACCGCGACGATCTGGCCGATGCACTGGACGGGCGCCTCAAGGAGCTCAGCGCCAGACCCGGCAAGTGGATTCCAGACTGCCTGTCGCTCCTGCTTCAGCTCTCGGATCGACCCACGGAGAATTCCCGCATCGAGGCCCTCGAGCTGCTGCGCCCGCCTACACCCCTGCCCGAGTTGACCTGGAACGAGATCCTGCAACATGATCCTTACAGTGACGACGAAATCTGGAAAGACATCGACTACGGCGCCGACTCGTCCGAGGACGACTTGCTGCCAGCGAAGAGAGACGTCGCAAAGCCTCCGCCCCCGACAGCTGTGGACCATGACGGCACGTGCCATCCTCAAACCTGCCTTGTCGCCGTGGATGCGACTGCTGTCGACAGGTTAGAAGACGCACAGTTTTGGAAACACGAAGCAGAACCAGACCATGGAAAGATTGACATTACCGAGCTCCAAGCCATCAGGGAAACCCTCTTTATGCTCGCTGGTCTACCGACTTCTTTGTTCCATGCTGATAGGCGTGTGGGACTCGAGTACGAACTCCGCCACACCTTGACCAGGACGACAATCCATCTACTCGCAGAGTTGAGCGACACAGGTCGCGCCATCCACCAACTGCGGCACTGGCTAAAACGACCGTCGTCACTGCCGCTCGTTCAGACTTTCGAGGCTGCGGTCTCGAAACGATTGCTAGAATACCATCAGGCGCTCGCTCGTCTTCAGCAGAAGTACCTAGTGCCCGAAAACTCTACTACCGTGAGTCTGTTGGAACTACACAACAACGTGAGGGCCCTTTCTCGACCTATGCTACGCTTAGCCCAAATAGTGGCAGAGATTGAACCCCAGCTGCTCATCAACCCTTTCATCCACCTCGAGATCCTTTTCGACCAGGTCAGTCTCGCACAGATGACACTTGAGCACGATATCTTCCGCTTCCTGTCGCACATCTTCTTTGAGTGTCTCCAGACCTACTTGAAGCCTATGCGTAAGTGGATGGAGAATGGCGAGCTTGGTCTGAACGACGAGACCTTCTTCGTCTTCGAGGACGATTCTGGTAGTGAGGCGTCTTCCCTATGGCACGATCGATTTGTGCTTCGCCGCGGTCAAGAGCACAAGCTGCGCTCGCCAGCTTTCCTTGAGCCTGCGGCGCAAAAGATCTTCAACACCGGTAAAAGTGTAGTATTCCTCAAAGAGCTGGGTTTACATACCTCTCGTCTACCCGCAATCGCTGAAGAGCCTCGTCTGGACCACGAAGCAGTCTGTGGCAGCTTCGTTGATCTGCCGCTCTCACCTTTCTCAGAGCTTTTTCAGGCAGCGTTCCAAACGTGGATTGAAAGCAAATACTCGCTGGCTTCGAACGTGCTCCGAGAATACATCTTCAACGATTGTGCCCTCATCCAGACTCTGGACAGCTTTAGGTTCATGTACCTTAGTGCCAACGGCTCCGTCTTTCAAGAATTCGCTGATGCCATCTTCGAGCGAATGGATGTTGGTCAGCGCACCTGGAACGATCGCTTCCTTCTCACCGAGCTTGCTCGCGGCATCTTCAGTGCGGAATTAGACAGTTCTCAGTCCGAGCGTATCATCGTCCGCTCTCTGCGCAAGAGCTCCAAGTCCCTCTCTGCTTCTGTCAAAGTGCTCTCGCATGTTTTGCTTGATTATGCCGTAAGTCTCCCCTATGCATGTGTTCCGCGATGGCAGGCAAGGCTGTACTAAACTACACTAGCTACCCTGGCCCATCATGAACATCATCCAGCGGTCGTCGATTCCCATCTATCAGCAAATTTTTACCTTCCTTCTGCAATGCTATCGTACGAAATATCTTCTACAGCGCATCTCACCGCAAAGTATCCGCGAGCTCAAGGACAGCCGGCTGCGCCAGCTAAGTTATAAGCTCCGCCAGCGGTTGATCTGGCTGGCCGACGTCTTGCGCTCGTACTTGACCGGAACCGTCATTGATCCTTGTTTTGCGGACATGAGAGCTGTGATGAGCAAGGCAGAGGATATCGATGAGATGTCGGCTATTCACATGAATTATGTCGCTCGATTGCAGGACCAGGCCTTACTCTCCGAAAAACTGAAGCCTATCCACAAAGCTATGCTCTCGTTGCTGGACCTTGCAGCTCCCTATTCACAGCAACACGCAAGTCTAGGGTCTATCGATCCGAGATCGATGCGCCAACGCAACACTGAAAAGATTAAGTCCCGTCGCAAGTCCATCTTACCCATAAAGTTAGAAGAAGAAGATACTGATAGTAGTAATGCCTGTGACGACGAGGTAAGCGCTGAGTCGGATTTGCCGATTGCGTCTGAGCAGGATGTGGTGCTTGGAGGTATCGATAAAGAGTTCGGACGGTTGCTCCCGTTCGTGACGGCGGGATTGAGAAGTGTGGGACGCGTGGGTGCGGAGCCCGTTTGGGAGATGCTTGCCGATAGGCTCGAATGGGAAGGAGGATGTGGTCAATGATATCAACTAAAGACGCATTTAGCAGGCTCATAGGCATTACATGGCCGCTGTTTAGAAACATGTCTGTGGGCGATGTTTACCCGGGCAAAGGCTTCGGTAGCAGCGTGTCTTTCGTAGTCCCTACTACGAGTTAGAAGTCTTTCGCAATTGGCAATTACGAAGTGTATATTACAGAGTTCGCTCAGCCATCCGAGATACTAGCTGAGTCCTCGCAGCTAATATTCGTGATTCTCTAACATTCACACGATCTTGTGAGCGTTGGCATCGCAACGCGAAAAGAGCCCGATGAATATTGCAATCTTCTATGCTACATCGATTCTCCTGTCCTGCAAGCTATCCTGCCCAAGTTGCGAAAAGAGTGCCAAATCCTGATCCTAAATTTTTATCGACGGTGGTGGTGTGAGGCTGTCGTGAGCTTACATAACCAAGCGTCGATCTGAAATCGAGGTGCGAGCAACATTGCAAACCGTTCGCGAAAGGTGCAGCTACTGGCCTGTTTAGCCATACCCGCACTCCGTTCCCGGGCCTCTCCGACAACTGTCCCCTCGGACTCGAAGTGATCTTACTCGGCGCCATACGGTGTGCACCCATCTACTCTCGATACCGTAGCTGGGAGTACGCCAGGCCCCGCCGTTCCGCTGCCACGTCCTGCCGATGCATCCACTCTGGCGGCGTACCCAAGGGTCACAATAGCATCGACCGTGTATTCCGATTCGCCGACCGAGTGGCAGGGTCCGTAAATACTGGCCTCACTGTTACACTGCGACACTGCGTGGGGTCAGCGGCTTCACCGACCTGTGGCAACACAGATTGCGAAGACCGCTCAGTGGCTTCTCGCCATGGGCTTCTCTGGCAAACCTAGCAAAGGCTGTCTGCCCTGTCGCCAGAAACGAACAAAGTAAGCAAAGCAGCCTGTCTCGTTCGCTCGTTCAATCCCCTCGCTCGGCGCCTCCAAATCCCAATCGGGTAATGGTTTCGCAGAAGAGCGCTCGCCCCAGCCGTGCACTAATTAACTACCAATTCAGATGCGACCTAGCCCTACCTTCATGCACACAATGCGTGCGGAAGAATAGGATGTGCTTCGGCTATCGAAATGAGCAGGACATGGTCTTTCGTAACGAAACCGGCTTGGTTATTCGCAAGGTCAGGCGCAAGAATACAGAAGACCAATCGGGGCACCCATCAAATGAAGATACGTTTGCGACATTAGACTTGGGTGCGCTGGTTCAGCATCCTAGTCGGAGGGCGACGCTGCAGGACGAGGCCATCATGCATTGGTTGGCCAATTTCAACGAACGCTTCTTCTCCAGTAACCCCAATTTGAACGCTGGCTTCGAGTACATACTACCTGTCTACCGAAGTGATCTTGCACGAGGGGGGCCGGCGGTGGAGATAATCAAGGCATGTGAGTTGCCAGGACCCCGAATTGCACGTGGGGGCCGGGGTCGGCGTACATCTTACTTACTCTCCTGATCTTGCAAGGTGGCCTTGCCGCATTAGGAAACTCAAAAAATGCACCTGACTTGCTACGTGAGGCAAGAGTTCAGCAAATGAAGGTGCTGCGTCGATTGTGAGCAGACCGAAGGTATCTCACGATTGCCGTTGCTGACGCGGGGCTTCTTAGAAACGAACAGTTACAGGATCCCGAACACGCGCTATCTGATTCGTCTGTGCTTACATGCCTGTTATTATCCTCCTTCGAAGTAAGTGCGTTACACTGGGTCGATTTCTTTCATTGATATGAGACATAGAACATAATGTGCGAAGGGACACACTCGATGGCAGCTTCACAGATACATCTAAAAGGTGCAGCAACCCTAATCAAACAGAGAGGTGTGTCTCAGTTCTCCAACTTGGTCGGCCATGGTATGTTCGTGCGTCTGAGAGGCTCTCTTGTAAGTAATCACAGCGACCTACGTGTGATAAGCTTACCCATTGCCTCCAGCTCGCCCTCAGCCTCATGACGAGTGAACCCCTTCCTAAATATTTTCTGCAGCATCTGAAAGAAGAGGGCCACAAAGAGGATGACTTTGAAGTTGTATTCTTCAGCCTGCTAAGCCGCGTCTGCACCCTTCGGGCGCAGCTTAAAAATGAGGGCTTTATTTCCGACGCTATGGCCGAAGATGCCAAGGCTACATTACAGCTCTTTGACGATTGGCATCCGGACTTCCCAGCTTGGGTGATGCCGAGCGGGCATCGGAGTTTCAATAAGGACGCCTCGGCACCAGGCGTTAACATGGCATCAGACGCAGACAAAGCTCATCGCTTTATCTGGGTCGCAATGTCCTGGCTCCTCTTACTCGCAGCGCGCCTCCTTGTACACGACATCCTGATCGTGTACTATCGCGCACAGCAAGCCATTGTGCCTTCTTTGGACACAGAGGCTGCCCTACAAATCGCGACAAACGGACAAATAGACATCGCCCAAGACACACAAGACGCGGTGGAGTACTACTTTGAAACCCTCCTCTCTACACGAGCTACCACCCGCAGCATTGGCGCACATATGCTAATGTTGCCCTTGTCCATACTGTTGGGTTTGAGCACAACGGGCCCGGAAACATCGGCATGGATTGCGAAGATGGCTAGTCAGATTGCGGATGCATTCGCGCTGAAACAGGGGAAAATGGTGGCAGATTTCTTGTTGAAGGGCTGGCAAGAAAAGACGTTTGCATTGGCTTTGGTCAAACAATCGCCAGGTCGAACAGGTACAGCAGATTGTTAGGATCTGCTCGCGCGTGGCGCGGTGCATCGGCTTATTGTACTCCTAGACCATGTTACGATCACAGGAAACACAAGCAGGGAGTCGGTAGGAAATAACGCGAAAAGAGATAAAGCTAATAGAAAGCAATAAAGGAATAGATTAATCTATAAGGATTACTAAGGACTAATATTACATAATCATTCTCCTATTAAGAAGATATTCTCCCTAGGGAACCTAGCCTTAGTAGGAGAATCTTCTCT